ACACTCGTGTTGGTTAATGGCGGATTGGTGTATACATTTTCTTTTATCCAATGATTGGACATAACTCATTTGTTTTTTGTAATGTGAAATATCGCTAAATTTTGTGTGTTTTGTTTCTTCAAAAGGACTGATCGAATTTGTTGGTGAATTTGTGATTTAGAATCAATAAACAATGGTTATAAACAACCAAGAAAAACAGAAATTGTCCTCCATGGGTAAGTTGTAGTAATTTATTTTCAGGATGTGTCTGTGGATAATCATAACTTATATTCTAAGGACAATGTTTTTCATATGGACATTGATTTACAACTTCCAGCTCCCATGTAAGTTTCAAAGTTTATTGATAATGAAACCCACAAACTGTTTCATTCGAGAAGGCCTGTTCAATTGCAAAGAAAAGTGAAAACACTGAAACAAAAAGTTGAATGGAGTAAGTATGAAAATCTTGTTGAGGTACTAAAAAACATTTTGAAGGTAAAAACTACAAGTCCATACTTTTAAACTCAAGAGCTACATCATAACTTTGTGTTTTCAGATTTTCCTTTGGAGCTTCTCCTTCTCCAGAAATGAAAAAATGGAGGTGTACATTCTGGGCGACGCAGGTATTCATCTTTAATGAAAAAAATCGCCCTAACATTGTACTTTCATTCACTTTTTATTCACCTTCCATTCATCTTCAAATAGTGAAATGTTTATGGAAAAATAAGTACTCTTGAAAATTAGGCTTAAAATAGACCTTATGTACTCGATACCATTCAAGAACCTCTATTCAAATTTCATTTTTCTATTTCTCCTGAAAGTGCTGAGACATTGAGCTTTGCTCACCCTGTACAATATATTGTGACATTTGAATGAGAATATAAAATATCAATTTTGAATTCATTTTTCTTCTTATCCTGTGAGAATAAAAATGGAATTTCACTTTTGATTCAATGAAAAAATCAATAATTATATTTTCCAATAATAGTTGATTGCATGTTAATCCACTTTCCTAAATGAATATGTATATTTGATCACGTGTACTCTTAAATGAAAGCAAAAAACAAGAAAATATTTCGAATAATGCGAGCGCTTCCCATTAGCCAACATAAGATAGAAAGAGATGAGTATCCGTAATCCGTAATCACTGCGGGTTGCCTGAACAATATTTTTGCCTCTCTCGTCGTTCACAGAGGTGTTTATATTGAGTCACAGAATACATGTTGAGTATTCTGTGATTGAGTTCATTGCCTGTGGAGACCAGTTTGCTCGCTATTCGCGATTGAAAACATAAGCGTACGCCACCTATTGGAGTTTTTGAAAGCTGTTAAAGCGGTCTATTTACTTTTGATCTTATTGGTCCATATTCGGTTTTGTTTTTGAACTGTGTTCAAGTTGTTGCCGACGTGTTATTTTCTATCTCGAATTATTGAGAATATTCGAGATAATTTTCTATCGCTTCATTGTTCACGAAATTGTTGTGCCGAGTAACACCACAAGTCCGTCAGGATTAGTGGTATTGCTGTACTGTATTGTACTGTATTGAGAACACAGTGGAATTATTATAAATGATTGATTCATTCTGAGTACAGCCCTAATTATATTATGCCAAGCTGATAGACATTTTTTGCCATCCATGGTTACATCGTTAAAAACATCAACGTTGATAGACCAATCAGAATTGAAAAACAACTAATTTTTTCGCGATGAGCACACGTTGTTCTGACTTGTGATTGGTTAGATTATATGATGAGTGAAATAGTCAAGGATATATTTATTTGTTCGGAGACTGATCGACAAAGTCGTGCAAGTTCATATCTGGCCAAGCGTTCAGCTAAACCAGAGATTATACAAACAAGTAGTCAAAGCGTTGATTCTGAGTGTTTGGTGAAAGTGAAGGTAATAGATAATATTTCTCGTATTTAATTCTTATATTTTTTTAGTCAAAAAATTACCACTTTATTGGTGTGTATATTTGTATGTATTTAGTTTCAGATGAGAGGTGCTAGCTCAACATCATGATGAAAACAGGCACAGATCTAATATCTAACTATTGTAATAGAAAATACGAAGTGGGGAATGTTGTCACCGCACATTTCTGCTAGTAGGAACAGTTATTATTGCATTTTCGGACCACCTGGGAAATTGCTATACGATCAATAAATGCAAGCCATTTAATTTCAGATAGTGAGGTGTATAAAATAATAGGTCGTTAGGAATATGTTTCATTTTATAATCATTTTTCTCCTGTTTCAGTTTTGTATTTTCAATTTCAGATGAAAAGAAAAAGAAGAAGTTTATTTTTCTTACCTGATGTTTGTTGAAATAAAATCGTGATTTTGTAGAAAAATATTATTTATTCAATTTGGGTATAGGTACCTATAAGAAGGTGATTACGCAAGATTTTCCTAAATCATAATTTGTGGCCAATGTTGACTTCAAACCAGTTAAAATCTCTCAAACATAAATGTTTGATAGGTTTTATCTATATCTTTGAATCGGTTTCGTATGGAATTCGATATGCTTATCATATAAAACTGTCACTTGAAGTAAAGATAAACAATAATTCACTTAGTTTCGGAAATTTGCTCTGCCTGAGTCTTGTGAAGAACAAAATTGAATATCTTCATGAGCAGAAAGTAAATTGTAAAGCTGTGTTTGATTGATACGTACTTCAATTGTATGTGATTGCAAAATGAAGCATATATGAAAAGCCTACATGAAATGATCGAAAAAAGTTAAGGATATTGTCTTTTGCTATCAAGATGGCTGCGCCTCGTTAAAAAAAATCAGTTCTCGATCACAAAAGTAGCATTTCGCGCACTAGATGCAAAAATAGCTATTTCATTCTTATCGCAAACTTGCACAATTCCTTAAGTTATCTTTTCGCATGTTTATGTCAACAACCGTACGATAAATGTTCAAGCATTAGTAATAAGTACTTACTATTTGTACCAAGCTTAGCTGGAGGGAATATTCCTAATAAGCAATAAAGCGTTTCGTCAGTTTTTGCGAACTCGTAGTGAATCCCTGAAGCAGAAGCAGAAGCATTAAAATATGTATGTTTGCAATAAAGCTATGAATTCATCTAACCTGCTGATCAATCGAACCTCATCAAGCACATTTTTGCTCTAAATTCAACATTGAATATTTTCGCGAAAATTCCACTTAGTCGGATGCGGTTTTCTTTATTCTGAAGATTGATCCATTGGGTATATGACAGATAGACTGCTGATGGAAATTCATGGTAACCTCTAGCTATACAGGGTCATAAAATATTAATATTATAAATGCATCTTCATTCAACTATGTCAAGCTAAAAAACATTGTTTACTCATAAATAGGTATGCATTAAACTATACTGTGTAAAACATGTCGTTATCACCATACATACTTAGTATTGAAACCATTAATCTTCTCTCTCTTTCTCTCTCGCTCTACTTTCGCAGTTTTTCTCTTCTCCTTCTCTTTTGATAATGTCTACCAACCAATCTTATTTTTAATGTTAGGTATATATATTCAAATTTAGCTTAAGGTTCTTTTTTTTTCTTTGTAAAATGACTCTCTAGCATGGGGTGAGTTGTAATACAAGCCATAAGGCTTAGACAACGCACCTAGTGCAAATTCATAAAATTCTCTTGTAAACATGTCTGAATAAATATATCATATATCATATATCATATTAATATTGGTCTATTCCTCGTGATGATTTTGTCCTTGTTGATGACAATGCGAGACCACATCGAGCACGAATCATCAACCGGTTATTGCAAAGACTCAACATAAATCGTATGGAATGGCCACCTAAGTCACTCGATTGTAATCCGATTGAACATGTGTGGTCACGTTTGAAGTAACAAATACGATCGAGATCGCATCTAATCGAAAATATCAATCAACTGTTAACTGCCATTGAAGAGGAATGGGAGCGCATTCCACATGAATCCATTAGGACGTTTATAGAAAGTATGCCACGAACATGTGAAGAAGTGTTGAGGGTGCGAGGGGGACCTACCAAATACTGAATCATGTTTTTTTACCATTTCAGTGCTTATTATTTCATCGTTTTCAATTAAAAATCTCAGTTCTTGCCTTGTTTCACTTTTTGAGTAAAAAAAGTCTACTTCTCCAAAATTTCTATTCAGAGGAATAAGCAGGTTATTGTGAATCACCTCGTATATTCTACACTAAGCAACATTCCAATGATAAGTAAGAGTAAGAGAGATGAGTAAGAATTCATTGATATATCACATACATTTTTGAACTCCCAAAGTTTCATTGTATAAAACTTCCATCAATCGTGGTGAATCACCCTGTATATTCTTTCTCCCGTTTTTTTTCCTTCATCAAATTCGAGGAAAGTTGCTGTCATTCAATCTCGAACACTATACAAGTTGATCAATGTGTTGTGCTCGGTCTTCCTGTAATAATATCTATCACTCTGTAAATAAACAATATAAGATTTCATACGATGAAGGTGACAATAACTCATCTAAGAGAAAATCTGTGATATTTGAGCTACAAATGAGAATATTTCTGGTCAGTAGTACAAATTATCACATTTTTCGAAAAAAAAAAAAACTGTTTCTCGAAAATCTGGAGAGATAAAAGAAAAATTGCGAAACCGTTTCGAGGAATATATGCTCGCGAATTATGAAAATATGCTTGAAAAAAATCTCAAAAATTTCCCATCAAATTGGGAGTATGGAGAATTTTTCAATATTTTGCAGAGGTTTGTTTGTCACCCTGTATAGCCAGAGGTGACCATGTATTTCCATCATCGGTCTATCTGTCATATACCCAATGGATCAATCTTTAGAATAAAGAAAACCGCATCCGAATAAGTGAAATTTTCGCGAAAATATTCAATGTTCAATTTAGAGCAAAAATGTGCTTGACGCGGTTCGATTGATCAGCAGCTTTTGTCAGAATAAGCTCATATGGATGAGGTTTATTTGATGATTATCAGGATCAAGAATATTTGATTTGTTAGATGTTGAAGAATCAAAGTGCATTATTTGCTAAATACTATAATGATTATTCGGATTGGTTAGATTCAGTTGATAAAAATATTTACTCATTCTGGAACCAGCTACAATAGCATCTTCTGGTAAATACGGGTCACTTATTCCAATGGCATTCCTAGCAGTTATTCGGAATTTGTAGCCATGACCCTTTTCCAAGTAGTTGACTGCAATGTTAGTGGCGCCCTCCTTGGTCGCTCCGATTTTCTTGAAGACGTTCTTCGTTTTGGCTTCCTTCATCTCGACTATGTACTCGATGATAGGAGAGCCACCGTCGCTTTCTGACGCTTGCCACGTGATCGTGAACGATGTGTCAGACATGCCAGATATTTCCAGAGGACCTCTTGGTGGAGATGGTTTATCTAAATGAAAATATTTGCGGAACGTGAAAATACATTCTCTGATGGAAATGTGCCTTCCTACTCTGTCTTATAGTAGATGAAAATGTTGATTATTCGACTGACAATATTGCTTTCTATCTGTGGATGTGAGTATTTATAATGGGTCCTCAACATCAATGATTGAGTACCTATCACTTGATAAAATTACCATTTTTGATGTAGCATCTATCTTTCAGACACATACAGGGTGTTTCCTAACTACGGTTCCTAACTGCAGGTGGTGATTCGTTAGGTCATTTTAGGAAGAAAAGTTCCTATTAACATTTGTCCGGAGTTGCTTCGTTTCTGAGATACAGGGCGTTGAAATTAAAGAAGAAAAAAACGGTGATTATAAAATATCATGAATATCCTAGAACCGATTTGGTTGAAATTTGGTACTTTCATTTGAACTAATAAGGCGCTTATTTATCCCTATTTAGATTGAAATTATTGGGGCCAGTGGCGTATCAGTGGGCACCACAGCCAACAATATTGTGAAAAAAAAGTAAGCCACTGACTTCTTTTAGTGAATTTTTATTTTGTTTAGATTGAGCAACTCAAAATTCAACTTTTTGGTCTCTTGCATTTTCTTCATATCCAGCTTCGTTTTCGAGAAAAAAATCAAAGCCATAGTATTGCATATCATGAACACCTGCATTGGAGAAATGAGTTTTTCATTATCTCCGCCAAAAATTTAATTGACACTTGATATGCTGAAATTTTGAAAAATTTGACAAATAAAAGTACCAAATTTCAACCAAATTGGTTCCAGAATATTCATGATATTTTATAATTATCGTTTGTTTTCTTTAATTTCAACGCCCTGTATCTCAGAAATGAAGCAACTCCGGACATATGTTCATAGAAACTTTTCTTCTTAAAATGACCTAACAAATCACCCCCTGCAGTTAGGAACCGTAGTTAGGAAACACCTTGTATATTAACTATAATCTTTCATTGATCAACTAATCTCATACGTGGTTCTCAATCATTGTGGAAGACCCTGTTTCAAAAAGGTTCGATTCACAATAAAAGCAAGAAGGATCTGAACGAAATATTACACCTGAAAGTGGTTTTTCTCATTCTAAACTAAATTTACTTAGTTTGAAGTTTATAGTGTTTCAACCCTACCTTCCCCATTTCGAATATAAGGTGCTGAGGTAACATGTGCCTCTATCCATACCATATGCGAGGGATACACAATCACACAAATTGTGTGGATACACAGTTGTCTTATTTCCAGGCACACATTGATATTTTTTCAACCTCTCAAAGTAATAGAATTATTCTTTCATATGATGGCAATAAAAGCTTTTTTTTTACTCTTGATGGTTTCGTGAGTCGATCGTCAACTTGCCGTGTGCAACTGATCAGGCTTGTCAATTGACGAATGATACATCAATAACCACTATAGTTTCTTTTGATTTTGAGAATTTATAGCTGTTATGAAAAATATGAAAAAAATTGCTCACCTCCAATTTTCAATTTCGATGTAGTCTTCAGTTGATGTTTTTCAACCGTACAACTGTACTCAAATTCATCTTCAAACGTAGTTTTCTGAACCACAAGCCGTCGGATCCTACGTTCTTCATACATTGTGTATCTCGATGATTTTTTAATGCGTTCATTCTGTCTATACCATGTCACCTCGACGTCTTCCTTAGAAAGTTCTACCTCAAACTCCGCGTTGGTGTTAATCGGAACAATAGTGTATTCGGGTAATGGTCTTATGAAGATGCATGTGGGGACTTCTACGGTCAGTCTGGCCTTCGAAGACTGAGTGCCAACCTGGAAAAATGAAATATTTTGTTATTCACTCATATTCATAAAGTAGGGGAGACTGCATGGACACTAAAATTTTTTTTGGCTACGAACCTCGCATGAAAATACGCCCTCATCTTCAGGTTCGGTCTGGTAGATCTTCAACTTTTGCACTTTACCATCAATGGAAAGCTGAATATGTTCTGAGAACTGAATCTCTTTGCCATCTTTGTACCATCTTGCCAGAGCGTCACCTTTGGACAGCTCTATCTCGAACACCGTTTTATCACCCTTGTTCACGGTTTTATCTTGGAGCGGTGTTATAATCTCCGGAGGCAGTTCGATTACTGTAACATCAGCCTTACATTCATCTTCGACTAATGTACAGCTGTATTCACCTTCGTCATGGATTGAGGTGGTACGAATCAACAGTTTTCTAACACCACCGAGTTTTTCAATATCGAATTTATCACTAGAATCGTCTAGAATTTGTCCGTCTTTGAGCCAAGTCACATCTGCAGTATCTGAAGTGATTTCGACTTCCAGAATTGCAGTATCTTTTTCGGTGATTTCTAGGTCCTGAAGCCTCCTTACAAACTCCACTTTACGCTGTTCAACTTCCACTCGCGTTTCAGTCTTCTGGTTCTTGACTGAACACTTATATTTGCCTTCGTCGTTCTTTGATACGTTCTTGATAATCAGTTTATGCGTTCTGCCATCTTGAACCACTACTCTGTGGTCCATTCCACTGATCTCGGTGTTATTGTACCACCATTTAGTTCTCACAGAGTGGGAAGTTTCACATTCGAGCTCAATGGTTTCGCGTTCTAGCGTTTCGTAGACTTCTCTGAGCGTTTTCGTGAATTTAACGGTGTCAACTTCGATGGAAATCTTTGCACCATGTGATGCTTTTCCTACGGAATTGATGGCGACGCATTTGTAATCGCCACTGTCCAGTTCTGAATCCGTTTCTTTGATGGACAGTTCGACATTTTCCCCATCGTATATAATTTTAACTCTTTCAGAGGGTTCCAGAGGTTCGTTGTTGCGTAACCAGGATACTTCGGGAATGGGGTTTCCAATAACTCTGGCTTTGAGAACCAAGGGACTCTTTGCTGGAATGTTTTGCTCTTCGAATCGTTTGACAAACATAGGCGGTTCTTCATTTTCAGGGAATTCTGAAAAATAATGGTTGATTCATTTGATGAAATATTCACAGCTATATGGCTTGTGAGTAATCTACAAGCTAAGTTAATGTAAGCAGTAGATGGTTGGGAGTAATAAAGCATTCAAATTCGTATCGCATTTATTATAGTATTGCAAAAATTATATTGTCGATATAAAGCATGTTGTTTCTACGAGGAGGAAGCTGCAAACTGCGAAGCATATGTTTTCGTTAGTCATTATAGATTGCGCCTTCTAGTAAGGAGCAAAATGGTACCTACAATTGAAAGATAAGCAGTGAAATTATCACATTTTATATCACACACATGATAGTACAAGTCACAAAAATTCTGAATTTTATAAGCATTTTATTATTCGAAGCCCTTGGACATTCAGATTACTAGTTTTTAACTTCACAGTGAATCTATATAGTACCTAGAATATCTAACCAATAGAATCAGTGACTTGACTGTCACTTTATTATTACAGATTGAAAATCGAATCCTTTGTGAATGAGTAAGTTATTCTCTTGCCCAAATACTTATTATTTATTACAGAGTTCCTTCGTTTGGTTCATTTATTTTGCATGCCAAGGGCTCGATCGCTTGTCAGATATAGCCAGAAAATCACTCGAAATGATTCGAGAAAAAATCAGAACAATAAGAGTGGTTATTTTACCTTCAACCGTCAAATGTGCATTTGTTTCAGCAGAACCCAAAGAGTTCTTCGCTTTGACGGTATATTCAGCAGAATCATCAAGTTTGGCGCTTCTTATTGTGAATCTATAGGTATTTCCATCATCCTCTTGTTCCGAAGGTTTAATCGGTTTACCATTTTTGAACCATTCAATACTCGGTTTTGGATTACCGAAAATGGTAGTGCTCAAAGTTACTTTCTCCGATTTCTTGATGGTAATAGACCTCAGTGGTTCCAATATTTCCGGAGGTTGTTGGTCATCTGTGATAACCCTAAGTGTAAATTCTACCGAAGCCTCACCTTCCCTATTCTTGGCCACGATTTTGTAGCGACCTTCTTGTTTCTTCAATACCTTCTTGATTTTCAATATTGTCCTATATGTGTAAGTTTCTGAGCTAGAGACAATTGTGACATTACCCTTCGCCGATACTCGCTTTCCATTGCAGTACCACTTAATCTCAGGTTCTGGTATAGCCACCATGGTACCTTCCACTACAACATCAGTTCCTTCGGGAACACACAGTGGTTTGGGTTCATTGGCGAAAGTAGGTGGCATTCCTTCGAGCATATCTGCCAAAGAAGATGTACGAGATAAACTCTTTCTCGAAACGTACGTCATATCGGATCCGTGAGATGATAACGGATGCTCCACTATCAATTCTGTTGTGCTGGAAGCGAATCCCGCAGAGTTCTTCGCCACACAAGTGAAAGTTCCTGCATCTTCTGGGAACACTTCTTTGATTATGAGAGTCGCAACGTTATCTTCATTGTAGTACATCTTGAAATCCATAGAAGATTTGATGATGTGGGTTTGCCTGAACCACGTTATCTTGGGTCTTGGGAAACCTTCCACTTGGCATTCGAACTGAACTGTGTAACCATCTGGAGTGAGTATTGGTTTGAGTTTTTTGACAAATTTGGGAGCGGTTGCTTTCTCATGCTGGTTTTGTTCTGAAATTGAAGCTTATGTTACCACTAATGATGAATACATCGGAAGGGATGAAAAACATTACATGTTCGGAAATCAATAATAAAAAAGGTTAACATATCCAGAAATTGAGCAATACGTTTTGAGCGTGGTATAATAGAAATTAAAAACTTTCTGAAAATAAAAAATGGGGACTCACTATCAAATACTGGTAGTTTGTCGATTTTCTCATTGAGCTTCTTCTGTACATATCTGGTATATTGCGGTTCACTCATGAGAATTTTGGCAGGGACCCATCCACTCTCTTCAGTGAGATGTTTCTTCACAAACCACCAGTCGGCATCTGGGGTATCTATAACGTAAACTTTCTCACCCTCCACCATGTCAATAGCTTGGCCTGCTTCTGCTTCATAGGCTGTGATTGAATAGAAAACGTCACCTTCTTCTACTGTTTCTTCGTGAACGACTTCCTCGACAATTTCCTTTTCTTTGGTGATACTTAGTGTGACAGCTTCCACTAGAGAGAACAAAATGAGTTAATACATGGAATAGTCATTGACTCAAACTAAATGATTTTTAATAGAAGCCATGATAAATGTCAGCTGATAATTACCTTGATCAAAAGTGACGGATTCCTTCCGTTTCGGTTTGACAGTGATAGATTCTTCTTCATAATCATCTTGTTTTACTGGAGTCTTCAAACTTACTTCTTCCTCATTTTCTTCAACGATTGAATATTTACGGGATGGTCTGCGTTTGAATGCTACATGGAAACTTTCTGATATGTCATCGTCTTCTAGTGGTATTTCTTCTGCATCACTTCCTTCGTCCACGATTTCTTCGATAGTTGGACCATCATCTTCAATTTCTTGGGTAACTTTGACAGTATCTTCTGCAGCTTCCTCAGAATACGTCAGCGGCTTCTTTTTCTTCAGTTTTACTCTTGTAGAGAGATTTATTTCTTCTTCAGCGTATGAATCAAGAGAAATTTTGAATTCTTGTTCAACATCTTCTTTTGTTTTTGTAACTCTTGGTCTGAATGTTACAGTTTCCACTTCAGTTACCTCAGGGATCTCTGGTTTCGAAGTTTTCCTCACTGGTTTCAGTTTTTTTACCGTTATTTCCTCAGAAAACTCTTCAATGGATGGTTTTCTTATGGAAGGTTTCTTGATAACCATCTGGACTGCATCCTCTTCAGGCTTGTCTTCACCCTTGATTTTGAATTCAGACTCAGTATCCAGAGGCTCACCTGGTTTCTCTGGTTTTTTCAATTTGAATACTCCTTCGCTCTCTTCTGAATCTTCCGAAGGCTGCTTCACAACTTCAATTTTCTTAACTGTGATTTCGGCATCACCATCATCTATTGTCTTTGGTTTCTTCTTGGATTTTTTAACAGTTATAGTAGCATCTTCCTCTGGCAGAGGTTCAATCAAGTCTTCTACTTCTTGTTTCTTTATTGTTATTTCGGCCTCTTCTTCATCTTCAGGTTGTACTTGTTTCTTCGGTCTTCCAATACTTATGGTTGCTTCTTCTTCTGATGGGGGCTTCATTACGTCTTCGACTTCTTCATATTTCTTGACAGTAATTTCGGCTTCCCCCTCATCTTCAGTTGGTGGTTTCTTCTTGGGTTTCTTGATAGTTATAGCTGTTTCTTCCTCTGGCAACCCTCTAATGATATCTTCTATTTTTTCTGATTTCTCGATTTCAATTTCAGCCTCAACTTCAATTTCTGGCTCTAGTTTCTCCGCTCCTTCGAAGGGAATGGTATTTTCTTCTTTTGTTGGAGTTTCCGTTACGTCTCCTACTTCGTATTTTTTCACAGTTATCTCAGCTTCATCTTCCTTTTTAGGCTTTCGTTTTTTCTTGGGTTTCTTCATGGTTATAGTAGCTGATTCATCTGAGGGTGTTTTGAATTCTCCTTCTATTTCTTCATGTTTCTTGATTGTAATTTCCGCCTCGACCCCATCTTCTGGTCCTGGTCTCTTATCGCGTTTCTTGACAGAAACTGTAGTTTCTTCTTCTGTTGGAGGTTCTATCGCTTCATCTTCGTATTTCTTGACAGATAGTTCTGCTCCACCCTCGTCTTCTGGTTGTGGTTTCTTTTTTGGTTTCTTAACAGTTATAGTAGCATGCTCTTCTGGTGGAAGTTGGAACACGTCTTCCACTTCTTCGTGTTTCTTAATCGAGATTTCAACATCGACCTCATCTTCTTCATGTGGTTTCTCATCACGTTTTTTAAGATGGATGGTAGCATCTTCTTCACTTGAAGGTTCTATCACGTCTTCTATTTCGTATTTCTTGACAGTTATTTCAGCTTCGCTCTCTTCTTCCGGTTGTGGTTTCTTCTTGGGTCTTTCAACTCTTATTGTAGCTTCTTCTTCTGAGGGCAGTTGGATACTGTCTTCCACTTCTTTATGTTTCTTGATCGTGATTTCAGCCTCAATCTTATCTTCTGGTTTGTGTTCGTCTTTCTCAACAGGAATGGTAGTGTCTTGTTCTGGTAGTACGTCTTCTACTTCGTATTTTCTGACATTCAAATCAGCCTCACCCTCATCCTCTGTGTGTGGTTTCTTTTTTGGTTTCTTCATACTAATAGTAGTTTCTTCCTCTGAAGGTGGTTTTATCACGTCTTCCACTTCTTCTTGTTTCTTAATCGTGATTGCTGTCTCTTCGTCATCTTCAGGTGTTGGTTTCTTCTCGTTTTTCTTAATTGTTATGGTGGTTTCTACTTCTGTTGACGGTTCAATAGCATCTTGTAATTCATCGGGTTTCTTGATAATTATTTCGGCCTTAATCTCATCATCCTGTCTCGATTTCTTTTTGGGTTTCTCCACAGTTATAGTAGCTTCATCTTCTGAGGGCACTTTGATTACATCTTGAACCTTGTGTTTCTTTAAAGTCATTTCAGCCTCACCTTCATCCTCTGGCTTTTGTTTCTTGGGTTTCTTAGGTTTCTTAACAGTTACGACAGTTTCATCCTCTGTTGTGTGTTTAATAACATCCTCGATCACTTCAGGTTTCTTGGTAGGTTGATCCATTTCCACTCTTTCAATTGTAATGGTAACGTCTTCCCCTGTCGGTGACTGCACATGTATTTTTTCAGGCATTTTTTCATGATCCAAAACTATCTCACCAACTTCTACCACTTCTTCTGGGTTTTCATCATCAGGTTTCGGTTTATCTTCTTCCTTCTTCTTGATGATGATTTCTTCGTCTGCTGGCGGTTCTATTTTGTCTTCAACTTCGACAGGTTTCTCAACTGTGATATCAGCAGTACTTTTATCATCGAGTTTTGGTTTCTTTTTGACCTTTTTACTCTTTACTGTCACTTCCTCTGTTGGAGGTGAGGTAACATCTTTCACTTCTTCAGTTTTCTTGATTGTTATTTCGGCTCCACCTTCATCATCAATTTGAGGCTTCTTCTTCTTGACTATTATAGTGACATCATCTTCTGGTTGCGACTTTACAACGTCTTCTGTTTCTACTGGTTTCTTTAAAGTTATTCCAGCATCATCTTCATCTTCTGACATGGATTTCTTTTTAGGTTTTTTGAGTGTTATAATTGTTTTCTCTTCGTCGTTTTCAAGTACCTCGGCTGGTATCTTGATTTTTTTCTTTTTTGCCTCCGAAGCTTTTTCTTCTTTTTCGTCTACCGGTACCTTTATCGATGGGAGTTGTTCTTCTATTTTGTCACCTTTTTCTGTTAACTTTGCTTCATCCATAATCAATGGGACTTCTTTCACAGTTTCTTCGATGTGCTTTTCGTCTTCAAATGGCCTTTGTTTCAATAAAACTACTTCTTCATCCTCTTCCGGTTGTGGTACTTTTCCTTTACCAATTTTCAAAGGTAGTGTCGTCTCCTCAGGCTCTGGCTTCTCCTTTGGTATCCGTTCATATTTAAATGCCTCGTCTACCTTATCAGGTTTAGATTTCTTGAGTTCATCGAACTCTAAATCCAATTTTTCTAAATTTTCGAGGTCTTTATCCACATCTTTCAGTTTTCTTCGCTTGGTTTTCGGTAACTTCTCAGCATCCTTGATGTTTCTAGAAATAACACCGCTGCCTCTTATCGTATTCAAATCAGTTATTCGAGGCTTCTGTAGAATTTCGGTAAATGGTGGAAACACAACATGGTTTATTCTACTCTTCAGTTTGAATTTGGGCAATTTGATGTCCCCTTTTGGTTTCAGTGGAATTTTAGCTTTCTTTACTATTTTTTCTGCAACATTTTCAGCAGTAGGCAAGATTTCAGGGGAAGTTTTGATTTCCTCAGATTTTTCAACTTCATCTTCTGGTGTTGTCTTCTTCTCTTCAGACCTCGGTATTTCATCTTTCATAGGCTCAGGTATATCTTTGGGTCTATCGATTATGTCTGATTGATAATTTCCATCAGTAGATACTTCAGTAATTTTTTGATTATCTTCCAATTTCGATTCTGATGGTTTTTCTTCTTCAGGAGTGTCATCTTCAACAGGTTTCTTCTTTTTGATTTTTTTCGTTTTCTTTCCTTCTGGTTTTTCTAATCCTAGCTTGATGTCATCTGCATCCTCCTTAATATCCGATACTTTTTGTGATGGTTTGTCAGGTTCCGCAGATTCAGTTTTCATTTCATCTTTGTCATCGCTCTTCTTGAAGGGCTTCAATTTTATTTCTTCAGGTTCATCTTCAGGCTTGTCCTTCTTTGGAATCCTGAATTTCACATCTGGTGCCTCTTCTGGTTCAGGCTTCTTTGGTACACCCTTCACTAGAGTTACTTCTTCGACTTCTGGAGCAGGCTTTTGCTTCTTCTTCTTGATGTATTTTGTTTTTGATTTTGGTTTCTCACCTTTATCTTCTTCATCACTTTCCGGAGGAGAATACTTTAATCTGTCTGGTTCGTCACGCGGTATATCGAACGGTTCGAATTTGATTTTGTCTCCGACTTCTTTAGGGACTATGTCACTTGGCGCAAGCTGTCCTTCTAATTTTGGCTTGAGTTTCACTGTTTCCTCTTGTTTTTCTTCGATTCGTTTCTGAGGTTTCTTCTTGAGTGTCACTGTTTCCTGTACTTCTTCTTCTGGTTCTTTCCGTTGACCCTTTCCAATTTTGATTTGGTGAACTTCTTCAGTGTCTACTGGAATTTGTTTTGGTGCCTTTTGATACATTATAACTTCTTCCTCAATCTCAGATTCTGGTTTTTCAGCAGCTTCCTCATATTTCTCAACTTTCTCAAGTTCTGGTTGCTCGTATGTGTCCTCTTTGATTTTTCTCTGCTTAGGTTTTTTGAGTTTTTCAGCTTCTTGAATATTTCGAGACAACACACCTTTGTCCTTGATTGTTTGTAGAAGAGTGATTTTCAATTTTTGTAATAGCTCCATTATTGGTGGGAAATCGACGAAGATGATTCTACTCTTCAGTTTTGGTTTTGGAAGTTTACTTACTTCTGGTATCTTGTCAGTCACTTTCGCTCTCTTCAGTTTTATATCGGCGAAATTGACCTTTTCAGATATAATTTCAACAATTTTGGGTTTTTGTGCAACAACTTCCACTCTCACTATCTTCATTAAAACTGGCTTTTCCGTTTTAGATCTTTGTGGCCTTTTTCTATATTGACTGTCGACTTTTTCGGGTTCTTTCTTCAGATCTTCGAATTCTTTGTCCAATACCTCGAGTTCTTTTATTCTCTTCACTATCTTCTTTCGTTTTGGCTGGACATTCTCTGCCTCTTGTATATTCCTAGATAACATTCCATTATCCCTATATACAGGTTCTAATTCAGTAATTATTGCCTTCTTCTCGATTTCTGACAATGGGGGAAAATCCATATAATTGATTCTGCTCTTCAATAAAACTTTTGGTAACTTTTTCTCAGGAATATCTTTTTTTGGTACCATTTTTGGTTTCCTCAGTTTTATTTCAGCGAATTCTGGGATATTCTCAGTTATGACAGGTTTCAGTGGTGTTTTAGCTGGAATGCGTTTTATCTCCATAAGAATAGGCTTCTTGGCCGATATTGGAACGTCTTCAATTTTTTCTTCCGACGCTGCTGTTTTTGGTTTCTTCAGTTTGATTTTACGTACTTTCTTCTCTTCAGTAACAGTCACCTTGGTATCATCAATGACTTTACTGTCTTCTGAAAGCTGTATTTCCGTAATTGACCCAGTTTCTGAAGGAAGATCTACCCGATCCTCAGCTTTTTCTTCTATCAAAATATCGGCTTCGTTGCTTTCTTCTGGTTCTAGCTCTTGAATCCTGGATTCTTCAACTAGTTGACTTTCAGGTGCTATATCAGGTTGTTCGTCTGGTTTGATTTCAGGTACTTTTTTACGTTTAGTGACCTTCTTTTTCACTACTTTGATTTCAGTATCTTTAATAACGACAGCTTCTCCTGTTTCGACATCTACTTGCTCTGCTTTCATATCTCCAGGTTCATCAGATTTTTTGAACGGTTTCAATGTGATTTCTTCTGGAACTCCTTCTGTTCTCTCTTTTTGTTCATAGCCAAACTTTGTTGGTGTATCTTCAGTTTCTTCTTGTTGCTTTGGAATGCCTTTCTCCAATTTGGTGACCGTAGTGTCTGGTTCATGTTTCTTCTTAGTAACTTTCTTTTTCTGTGGTTCTTTATCTTTCACCTCAACTTCATCAGCAATGAATTCTGTTGGCTTATATTCTTCTAGCTCTGGTTTGGAAATATCATCTATGTCCTCTGATACAAAGGGTGCTAACTCAGTTGACGATTCAGCTTCATCTGGTTTACTAGATTCACTTGTTTCTGGAGACTTCTTGTCTTTCTTTGCTTCAGATGGTGTCGGTTTTTGTTTCTTTTCAATTACTTTCTTAAGTTTTATTTCTTCTTGTTCTCCTTCCCCTTTAGGAATCTTTCCACGTCCGATTTGGAGTTTCTGTTTATCCTCAGTTTCTTCTACTTTTTCCTTGGGCCGTTTGGGGGTTTTATATTCATCGTCAACTTTCTCAAGTTCTCTTCGTTTCAGTTCCTCAATTTCAGAGTCTAATTTCTCGAGATCCTTCAGCTCTTGTTCAACATCGTGAATACGTATACGTTTTTTCTTCGGAGCCTTCTCAGCTTCTTTGATATTCCTCGAAATCACTCCATTATCTCTATAAACTGCTGGAAGCTCTTTTATTATAAGACTTTGGCATGTCTCTCCTGACGGCGGGAAGGGAACAGGGACAATTCGGCTTTTCAGCAAGAATTTGGTTACTTTAGTAGGTTGAATATCTTTCTTTACCATAGGTACTTTTGGCTTTTTCAATTTGATATCAGCAAGCTTGATAGGTTTTTCCATAGGAGTAACCACTGCTTGTTGCCATGTTGATGGTTTTTTGTCTGCATTCATCAGTTTTGGCTTGAGCTTTACTTTTTTCTCAATTTCCACTATTTCTGTTAACTCTTCAATTGGTTCTGCTTCTACGTCTTGGGGTGTTTTCTTCCTCTTTATCGTGGTCTTTTTCTTTGATTTCTTTACAATCGTTTCTTCTATTTGTTTTTCATCAGATTCTCCAGTTTCAGGAACAATTTCTTCCAATTCATCAATGATTTCTTCTGGCTCTTCTTGGATAATTTGTCCGAATGTCAATTGATCTGTTGATTTTTCATCTGTGATTTCACGGTCAGTGACTGTCTCCGTTACGTCTGGAATTTCTATTTCGATCTTTTCTTCTATTTTTTCTGAAGGAGTGCGTTCATCAGATTCCTTGCCCTTCGGTTTGATTTTCCTTATGATTTTCTTCTTTTTAACCGGTTCCTCAATTTTTGGCATTTCCCTATCTGTTTCTCCTATTTTCTTATCTTCGATAACTTTCGGAATTTCTGCAGATTTCAGTGTTACTTCCTCAGTAATGAAAACCTCATCCTGTTGATCTTTTTTGAAAGGTTTTAGCTTGATATCTTCAGGTATTTCATCCTTTTTAGGTTTCTGCTTGTATTTGAGGTTCATTTCTGGTATATCTTCTTCCCCTTTCGGCTTAGGTATACCTTTGATGAGAATACTTTCATCTGTTTCCGGTACTGGTTTCTGTTTTGGTTTTTTGACAAATTTCTTTTCTCCTTTCTCTGGTTTTGATTCATCATCTTTGTCAAGAGGAATTGGTTCATAATGAATTTTATCTGAGATCTCCCTATCAGTATCGTATGGTGTGAACTCAATTTTATCCCTTGGCATTTCTTCTTCAAGTTCAATTATTTTTTCAGGTTCTGGGATGTTTCTATTCCTGATAGTTTCATCTGATTCATGATCTTCCGTTTTTTTGACCGGAACCGGCTTTAATTTCAATTGGTCAACATCGATGGGTTCCTCCGGTAGTTTTCCCTTCTTGATAATTAGTTTTTTTGGTTCCTCTTCTTCTGATACCTTTTCCTTGGGTTTCTTGATAGTTTTGAATTCATCGTCTACTTTTTCCAATTCTTTCTTCTTAAGATCATCAAATTCCAAGTCCAATTTCTCCAATTCTTTCAAATCGATATCTTTGTCTCTGAGCCTACGCTTTTTTGTTCTTGGTATTTTCTGAGCTTCTTTCACGTTTCGAGATAATACTCCATTATCTCTGTATACAGGTTCGAGTAGTGAAATTCTTGGTAATTGTTCGAGTTCCGATATTGGTGGGAAATCAATGCGATTTATTCTACTTTTCAGTAGAAACTTGGGGAGTTTAACTTTTTCATCTTTTTTCTGGGATACCTTGGGCTTTCGCAACTTCACGTCCGCAAGTAATGGAATCGATTGGCTGTCAACGATTTTCAGTTTTTGGACTTTGGTTTCCTTTTTCTCAATAGGCATCAGAACCGATATTTCCCTTCTCAACTTGCCTGACTCAGCCGGTTTGGATACTTCATCCTTTTTCGGCTTTTTCTTCTTTGGTTTACCACGAGTCTCTTCAACTTCTCTTATTAAAATACTTTTTTCTGGAGGTTTTCCCTCTTCTTCAATGATCTTGATTTCTATTATTTCTTCTGTATTCCCTTTCGGTTTCTTGATGATTCGTCTCCTCAGTTTTCTTTCTGGTTTTCCTTCATCTTCATCTGCAGGTATCACAACAATTTCTTCAGGCATTTCTTCAATAGGACAGTATACTGATTCTTTGGCTGTTATCTTATCATCTTCTTCAATGTCTCTAACTTCTACAGTGACAGTTGTTTGGGGCTCTTTTCCATCTTCTTCAATAGTATGGATTTGAGTCGTTTCCTGTACGCTACCCTTTCTCCTCTTGATAATCTTATTCTTCACCAACCGTTTCGTAGGTTCACCTTCTGTCGGAATTGTTTCGATCACCTTAACATCTTCGGGCATTTCTTCTATGAATGTTGGTCCAAGAACATCAGTTTCTTCAGTGGCTTCTAATTCTTCGATAGTAACGGTTGTCTGAGGTGCTCTGTTGTCCTCTTCGACTGTGACAATGTTAATAATCTCATCATGCTTCTCCTTGTGTTTCCTCAGCTTTCGTTTCTGTGTGACTTTTCTGATCGTGTGGCCATCCTCAGATGGTTCTTCACTTATCAAAATTTCGGAAGGAAGCTCTTCAATAACTTGTTCTGGTTTGATCACTGACGGTTCGTGAACAGAAACATCAATATCTTCAACCACCACTGTGGTTTGAGGTTCTTTTCCTTCTTCTTCAACAGTGATGAAAGTTATGATTTCCTGTTTTCCTCTTGTCTGTTTTCTCAATACTTTCTTCTTTACTTCCGTTTTCTTCACACCGTCTTTTGTCTTTTCTTCTATCAATTGTATTTCTTCTGGGAGTTCCTCAATGTAGATAGGTTCTTTTTCAACAACATCCGTTTCATTTATAACAACGGATGTTTCTGGAAGTTTTCCTTCTTCCTCTCTCGTTATTATCTCCGTAGTTTCCAGCTTTTTCCCTCTCTGTTTCTTGACAACTCTTTTCTTAACAACGGTCCTCTTTGGTCCTTCATCTGTATTTGTTTCAATTACTTGAATATCTTCTGGCGTCTCTTCTACGACTGTGGATATGAGAGGTTCCTTTCCGAACTCTTCGATAGTCTGATTTTCTGTGAGCTCGAATTCTTGAACAGTCGTTTCCGGTATTTGACCTTCTTTTGTCACTGTTCGAATCTCCGTAACTCCTATTCTTCCATCCTTCTTCTTCTTTATAATCCTCCTCCTCACTATTTCTGAAGTCATTCCGTCTTCTGATTCAATGATTTGAATATGTTCAGGGAGTTCTTCTACTAGTTCGGGTACATCAGTGGCTGTCACTAACGAAGGAGTAAGGTCATCTGAAATGTTTTCTTCTGGTTTGATTTTCTTCACTACTTTCTTCTTCTTCGCTGGTTTTTCCTCCATTTCAGGTATTTCATCACGAATATAAGGTATTTCCGATTCTTCAATGACTGTAGGAAATTCTGCAGATTTCAGTGTTATTTCTTCAGTAGTATATACTTTGCTTTCATCAGTTTTTCTGAAAGGTTTGAGTGTGATATCATCTGGTGTCTCCTCTTCCTTCGGTTTTTGTTTATACCTCAGTTTCAATTCTGATTCTCCATCTTTATCAGTTGGTTTAGGTATACCTTTTACGAGAGTTATTTCTTCAGTTTCTGGCGCAGGCGTCTTCTTGCCTTTTTTATCCAATTTCTTTTTCTCTGGTTTAGATTTGTCATCTTTTATCTGCTCTGTCAGAATTGGTTCATATTCTTGTTTCTCAGGAGATTCTCTATCGATATCATGTGGCGAAAATTCAATTTTTTCATCTAACTTCTTCCTTTCATCTTTAATTTTTTTATCAGCTATCGGGACGATGTCATCTTTGATCAGTTCATCATTTTCTAAAATGTCAGGCTTTTTGTCAGGAATTGGCTTCAATTTCACCTGTTCACCGTCACCTGGCTTTTCTGGCAGTTTTCCTTTCTTGATGATTAGTTTTTTGGCCTTCTCTCCATCTGGCAACTTATCTTTAGGTTTTTTCTCAAATTTGAATTCATCAGCGACTTTCTCTAGTTCTTTTTTCTTAATTTCTTCCAATTCCAGGTCTAATTTTTCTAAATCTGTCAAATCTATATCTTTGTCACGCAGTCTTCGTTTTTTCGTTTTTGGAACTTGTTTAGCTTCTTGCACATTCCTTGATAATACCCCATTTTCTCTATAAATTGGTTCAAGTTGTGATATTTTTGGAATCTGTTCATTTTCTGTTTTTGGCGGGAAATCAATACGATTTATTCTACTTTTTAGTAAGAATTTCGGAAGTTTACCTTTTTCTTCCTTTTTCTGAACTATTTTTGGCTTTTTCAATTTTATTTCCGCGAGTTGTGGTATTGATGTACTTTCCACAACTTTAATTTGCTGAGATTTGATTTCTTTCTTTTCAATTGGCATGAGAACAGATAACTCTCGTCTCAGTTTCCCAACTTGAGGTTTATCAGTCATTTCTTTCACCTGTTCATCATCCAACTTTCTCTTCGGTTTTTCGTTTGAAGGTTGAGTTTCATCACTTTCATCTATAGAAATGCTTGTCTGTTGAACTTTTCCTTCTTCCTCGATAATTTCAATCTGTATAATTTCCTCTTTTTTCCCTTTGGGTTTCTTGAGAATTCGTTTTCTAATCTTCCTTTCGGGTTTACCTTCTTCTTGTTCAGCTGGTATGATGAGAACTTCTTCAGGTAATTCTTCTATGGGACGATATACCGATTCTTTCATGGGTGACAAACTTTCTTCTGCGACTTCTATTTCTTCTATCACTACGCTTGTTTGGGGCTCTCTTCCTTCTTGTTGGAAAGTGAAAATCTGGGTTGTTTCCTCCCGGCTTCCTTTACGCCTTTTTATCACCCTTTTCTTCACCAACTGTGTATCATCTCCAGGAGTGTGTTCTACCACTTCTTCGGGCATTTCTTCAATATAACTTGGTTCCAAATATGGGGTATCTTCGTAAGTTGTATCAAGTTCTTCGATAACCACAGTGGTATGAGGTTGTTTATTTTCTTCTTCGATAGTATCGATATGTATGATCTCATCATGTTTTCCTTTGCGTTGCTTCCGTATTTTACGTTTTTCAATTATTGTCGTAGTCGGTGGACCATCTGTAGTAGGTTCTTCGTATATTTTGATTTCCGATGGTAGTTCTTCGATCAATACTTCTGTCAATTTTATTGGTATTCCTTTTATGGTTTGAATAGGAATATCACTTTCTTCCACTATGACGCGCGTTTCTGGTTCCTCACCTTCCCTTTCTACAGAAGTTATAGTGGTTGTTTCTTGTTTATCTTTTGATCGTTTTCTCAATACTTTCTGTTTGATCTTTGTTGTTTTCAATCCGTCTGGCGTGATTTCTTCTATGATTTTTATTTCTTCTGGTAGTTCTTCAATGTAATCTGGTTTTTCATCAGAAATATCGGTTTCTTTCATCACAACGGAAGTTGCAGAAATTTGTTCTTCCTCCGGTGTTATAAATTTCGAGGTTTTCTCTTTCTTCCCTTTCTTAACAATCTTCTTCCCCACCATATTCTTTTTGGCGCTATTATCAGTGATCGTTTCAATATCTTCATGTTGCTGATCTGAAGATTCAATAATTTCTTCTGTCAGAGTAGTTTCCGGAGTTGGTAATGCTAGAGCTTTCTTAAGGAGTTCAATTTTGACCAAGTCAATAACATCTGCAGATTGTAATTCTGGTTCTGCGAGTGTAGGTATGAATAGAATATTATCTTCAGTAATGAGGGGAACTTCGGCTTCTGTCGCTCTCTTCGGCTTAACTCTCTTCTTGACCTTTTTGGTTAATTCTAGTTTATCTGTTTCTTCAGGAATATCGGTTTCATGAATGCTGACAGTTGATACTGGTTTTTTGCCGTCTTCTTCGATAGTGACAATTTCAGCTAACTCTTGTTTGCTTCCCCTACGTTTCTTTATGACTCGTCTTCTCACTGTAGTCTTCTTTGGAATTCCATTTTCGAATACCTCAAATTCCTGAACATCTTCAGGCAACTCTTCTACCTCATAGGTGAGTGCAGTTGATGGTTCCTTTCCTTTCTCTCCAGCTGGAACAACAGTTTCAGCCTTCTTCTCTGTTGCTTCCTTTCTAGTTTTCTGTTTGGCAACTTTCAGTGGTTTTTCCTCCTCATCAGGAACTTCGACAATCCGAATATCGACTGTTGAATGAGGCTCAACGCCATCTTCTTGTATCGTCACTAGTTCGGTTATTTCCACTTTACCATTTTTGGGTTTTTTGATGACCCGTTTTTTGATTACAGTTTTCTTGGAAATACCTCCATCCACGATTTCTACAACTTGAACCTCTTCGGGTAGTTCTTCGATGAATCCTTCTTCTGGAGTGGTTTGTGGTTTCGTACCTTCTTCTTTCAATGTAGCTACTTCATTTTCTACTTTTTGTTCAAGTTTTTTCGGTGTCTCAGGCTTTGCTTCCTTTGAGTGTGGGCCCTCAGTACTTTCAATTTCTTCGATAGTCACATGAGATTGTGGATTCTTTCCGTCTTCCTCTACCGTTACTATCTCAGTTGTTTCTTGTTTTCCTTCTTTGGTTCTTTTGATTAAACGTTTTTTTATTGTTGTTTTCTTTAGTTGGCCTCTATCCAAAGTTTCCAAAACCTGCACTTCTTCAGGTAGTTCTTCTATTTCTTGTATAATTATGGAAGTTTGTGGTTCCTTTCCTTCTTCTTCGACAATGAAAATTTCTGTGTTTTCTTGTCTACAACCTTTCCGTTTTCTCAAAGTTCTCTTTCTTGAAACCCTTGTTACTGGTCCTTCATCTGTATCTACTTTAGTAACAGTGACTTTTTCAGGCAATTCCTCCAGGATAGTCACAGACTCGAATGGAATTCCTTCCGATTCATTTTCTGGTATGTCAGTTTCTTCGATCGTGACAGTGGATTGGAGTTGTTTTCCTTCTTGCTCAGCTATTTCCAAGTGAGTTGTTTCTTGCTTTTTACCTTGCCTTTTTCTAATGGTCTTTCTTCTGATTGTACGTTTTTTCTCTCCTTCTTCAGTAGCAACGTATGTCTCTGAAACTTCCTCTGGAAGTTCCTCTACTAAAATAATTTCGGGCATTTCTTGGACTTCAGATTCTTCAACCACCACAGTAGATTTTGGTGTTTCTCCCTCTTTCTCAACAGTTATAATTTCTGTAGTCTCCTGCCTTGATCCTCTTCGCTTTTTGATCACACGTTTCTTCAATGTGGTTTTCTTCGGAATACCTCTTTCTATCGTCTCAAATACTTGGACAACTTCAGGAAGTTCTTCTATTAAGGGCGTATCTGAAAACATGATCCGTTAATTATTGTCACATGTAACTTGAATAGAAATAACTGTTTAATTATCAAGGAATGGAGGATTCCAGTTTGGTATTATAAAACAATATATTTACCTCCAGTTGGGATCATTTCTTGTCTGGAAAGATTGGCAATTGGTTTTTGAGTTTGAATTTCGTGTACTACTACTGAATGTTTTATTTCTTGTGAGGAAGTTTCCTTAGCTACTTCGTATTGAGAGATGATGTTTCCTAAAATATTAACATATCGATAAATTAGAACATGGAAATAATTTATGTTGATCATTTTTATATTCAATTACTGGACTGGAATTAATAAAAAAAAACAGTGTCTTACCTTCAGATGTTCCCTGTGTATTTTCTAAAGTGTGCACTTCTGTTATTGTTTTTGTTGACGACTGTGGTGTAATTGTTGGTGTAACTGATGATAGATGAACTATTTCATCAATAGCTGTAGGGACTATTTCCTCACAAAGCTTAAAAGCTGGTAATTGCAGAACCTCCGGATATTCCTCTTCAATATCATCATATTCATATATTCTGACACATTCCAACGGTTTATGATCATCCTCCTTGGTAGACGTTATTTCGATGGCTTCTAATTTGGATCCAGATTTCTTTAATAGTTTCCTCTTCTTCGTGATTTTCTTGGTAGGAAATTCACCATCAGTGCTAATTTCAATCACATTTATATCCTCTGGTAGTTCGATGAGGGCAGCAATAGGATTTTCATTTGTCAACTTGGGCATTTCTTCTATGTTCATTTCGATAATTGGTTCTTCGCCGTCTCTTTCTCTGATGAATATGTTCAGAACCTCATCTCTTTTACCTTTTGGTTTTCGCAGTGTTCTTCTAGTTATAGTTTCTTTTCTTCCGTCGAGTAATTTCTTAGATTTCACTCTATGAGCATATTCCAGAACGATGACACATTCTGAGATGGGAATATTCATTCCGACAGGCAATTCTGGCAAAGGATGGGCAAAGAATTTCTTTATCATTTCCAATTTGACCAAGTTCAACACTTCATGTTCAGTAGGTGTTTCTTGATTGGCTGATAATGTGGGAACAAAAAGAATTTTTTCTGGTTCTTGACTGATTACCTTCACTGCCGCTATTGTTTTCGTTTCCGGTTCTTCAATGGCTTGGATTTGTTTCTGTTTGCCTTCCTCAACATCTTCTTTAGGTACAATTTCGGCTTTTTTCTGTTCTCCATCTTTCTTCTTTTGGGTGACTCTTTTTCTGGATACTCGTTTAGGCTTTTCTATGCTGCAATCATCTGGAACCAATGGTTCTTCTACCGTCACTGTTGTTTCTGGTTTCCTTCCCTCTTCTTCTACAGTCACATTCATAGTTTTCTCCTGTTTTCCATCTTCCACCTTCTTGATTACTCGTTTTTTCATTACTCGTTTTCTTGATTTTCCATCTGATATCACTTCTGATACCTGAACATCCTCAGGCAGTTCTTCTACTGTGTACATGGGTTTTTCAATGATGAGTTCATCTGGAACCAATGTTTCTTCTACCGTGACAGTTGTTTCTGGTTCCTTTCCCTCTTCTTCTACAGTCATAATTTCGGTTTTTTCTTGTTTTCCATCTTTTACTTTCTTAATAACTCGTTTTTTCGTGACCCGCTTTTTAGATTTTCCATCTGATATTACCTCTGATACCTGAACTTCCTCAGGCAATTCTTCTACAGTGTACGTAGGTTTCTCTATGAGGAGTTCATCTGGAACCAATGATTCTTCTACCGTCACTGTTGTTTCTGGTTCCTTTCCCTCTTCTTCTACAGTCATAATTTCGGTTTTTTCTTGTTTTCCATCTTTTACTTTCTTAATAACTCGTTTTTTCGTGACCCGCTTTTTAGATTTCCCATCTGATATAACCTCTGATACCTGAACTTCCTCAGGCAATTCTTCTACAGTGTACGTAGGTTTCTCTATGAGGAGTTCATCTGGAACCAATGATTCTTCTACCGTCACTGTTGTTTCTGGTTCCTTTCCTTCTTCTTCTACAGTCATAATTTCGGTTTTTTCTTGTTTTCCATCTTTTACTTTCTTAATAACTCGTTTTTTCGTGACCCGCTTTTTAGATTTCCCATCTGATATTACTTCTGATACCTGAACTTCCTCAGGCAATTCTTCTACAGTACATGTAGGTTTCTCTATGAGGAGTTCATCTGGAACCAATGACTCTTCTACCGTCACTGTTGTTTCTGGTTCCTTTCCTTCTTCTTCTACTGTCATAATTTCAGTTTTTTCCTGTTTTCCATCCTTCACCTTCTTAATCACTCGTTTTTTCGTAACTCGTTTTCTTGATTTCCCATCTGATATCACTTCTGATACCTGAACATCCTCAGGCAGTTCTTCTACTGTGTACATGGGTTTTTCAATGATGAGTTCATCTGGAACCAATGTTTCTTCTACCGTGACAGTTGTTTCTGGTTCCTTTCCCTCTTCTTCTACAGTCATAATTTCGGTTTTTTCTTGTTTTCCATCTTTTACTTTCTTAATAACTCGTTTTTTCGTGACCCGCTTTTTAGATTTCCCATCTGATATTACTTCTGATACCTGAACTTCCTCAGGCAATTCTTCTACAGTGTACGTAGGTTCCTCTATGAGGAGTTCATCTGGAACCAATGATTCTTCTACAGTCACTGTTGTTTCTGGTTCCTTTCCTTCTTCTTCTACAGTCATAATTTCAGTTTTTTCCTGTTTTCCATCCTTCACCTTCTTGATGACTCGTTTTTTCGTAAGTCGTTTTCTTGATTTCCCATCTGATATTACTTCTGATACCTGAACTTCCTCAGGCAATTCTTCTACAGTATATGTAGGTTTCTCTATGAGGAGTTCATCTGGAACCAATGACTCTTCTACCGTCACTGTTGTTTCTGGTTCCTTTCCTTCTTCTTCTACAGTCATAATTTCAGTTTTTTCCTGTTTTCCATCCTTCACCTTCTTAATCACTCGTTTTTTCGTAACTCGTTTTCTTGATTTCCCATCTGATATCACTTCTGATACCTGAACATCCTCAGGCAGTTCTTCTACTGTGTACATGGGTTTTTCAATGATGAGTTCATCTGGAACCAATGTTTCTTCTACCGTGACAGTTGTTTCTGGTTCCTTTCCCTCTTCTTCTACAGTCATAATTTCGGTTTTTTCTTGTTTTCCATCTTTTACTTTCTTAATAACTCGTTTTTTCGTGACCCGCTTTTTAGATTTTCCATCTGATATTACCTCTGATACCTGAACTTCCTCCGGCAATTCTTCTACAGTGTACGTAGGTTTCTCTATGAGGAGTTCATCTGGAACCAATGATTCTTCTACCGTCACTGTTGTTTCTGGTTCCCTTCCCTCTTCTTCTACAGTCATAATTTCGGTTTTTTCTTGTTTTCCATCTTTTACTTTCTTAATAACTCGTTTCTTCGTGACCCGCTTTTTAGATTTCCCATCTGATATTACTTCTGATACATGAACTTCCTCAGGCAATTCTTCTACAGTGTACGTAGGTTCCTCTATGGGGAGTTCATCTGGAACCAATGATTCTTCTACAGTCACTGTTGTTTCTGGTTCCTTTCCTTCTTCTTCTACAGTCATAATTTCAGTTTTTTCCTGTTTTCCATCCTTCACCTTCTTAATCACTCGTTTTTTCGTAACTCGTTTTCTTGATTTCCCATCTGACATTACTTCTGATACCTGAACTTCCTCAGGCAATTCTTCTACAGTGCACGTAGGTTTCTCTATGAGGAGTTCATCTGGAATCAATGATTCTTCTACAGTCACTGTTGTTTCTGGTTTCTTTCCCTCTTCTTCTACAGTCATAATTTCGGTTTTTTCTTGTTTTCCATCTTTTACTTTCTTAATAACTCGTTTTTTCGTCACCCGCTTTCTTGATTTCCCATCTGATATTACTTCTGATACCTGAACTTCTTCAGGAAATTCTTCTACAGTGTACGTAGGTTTCTCTATGAGGAGTTCATCTGGAACCAATGATTCTTCTACCGTCACTGTTGTTTCTGGTTCCTTTCCTTCTTCTTCTACAGTCATAATTTCAGTTTTTTCCTGTTTTCCATCCTTCACCTTCTTGATGACTCGTTTCTTCGTAACTCGTTTTCTTGATTTCCCATCTGATATTACTTCTGATACCTGAACTTCCTCAGGCAATTCTTCTACAGTGTACGTAGGTTTCCCTATGAGGGGTTCATCTGGAACGAATGATTCTTCTACCGTCACTGTTGTTTCTGGTTCCTTTCCTTCCCCTTCTACAGTCATAATTTCAGTTTTTTTCTGTTTTCCATCCTTCACCTTCTTGATGACTCGTTTTCTTGATTTCCCATCTGAGACTACTTCAGATACCTGAACTTCCTCAGGCAATTCTTCTACAGTGTACGTATGTTTCTCTATAAGGAGTTCATCTGGAACCAATGATTCTTCTACCGTCACTGTTGTTTGTGGTTCCTTTCCTTCTTCTTCTACAGTCATAATTTCAGTTTTTTCCTGTTTTCCATCCTTCACCTTCCTGATGACTCGTTTTTTCGTAAGTCGTTTTCTTGATTTCCCATCTGATATTACTTCTGATACCTGAACTTCCTCCGGCAATTCTTCTACAGTGTATGTAGGTTCCTCTATGAGGAGTTCATCTGGAACGAATGATTCTTTTACCGTCACTGTTGTTTCAGGTTCCTTTCCTTCTTCTTCTACAGTCATAATTTCAGTTTTTTCCTGTTTTCCATCCTTCACCTTCTTGATGACTCGTTTTTTCGTAACTCGTTTTCTTGATTTCCCATCTGAGATTACTTCTGATACCTGAACTTCCACAGGCAATTCTTCTACAGTGTACGTAGGTTTCTCTATGAGGAGTTCATCTGTAACCAATGATTCTTCTACCGTCACTGTTGTTTCTGGTTCCTTTCCTTCTTCTTCTACAGTCATAATTTCAGTTTTCTCCTGTTTTCCATCCTTCACCTTCTTGATGACTCGTTTTTTCGTAACTCGTTTTCTTGATTTCCCATCTGATATTACTTCTGATACCTGAACTTCCTCAGGCAATTCTTTTACAGTGTACGTAGGTTTCTCTATGAGGAGTTCATCTGGAACCAATGATTCTTCTACCGTCACTGTTGTTTCTGGTTCCTTTCCTTCTTCTTCTACAGTCATAATTTCAGTTTTTTCCTGTTTTCCATCCTTCACCTTCTTGATGACTCGTTTTTTCGTAAGTCGTTTTCTTGATTTCCCATCTGATATTACTTCTGATACCTGAACTTCCTCAGGCAATTCTTCTACAGTGTATGTAGGTTTCTCTATGAGGAGTTCATCTGGAACCAATGATTCTTCTACCGTCACTGTTGTTTCTGTTTCCTTTCCTTCTTCTTCTACAGTCATAATTTCAGTTTTTTCCTGTTTTCCATCCTTCACCTTCTTGATGACTCGTTTTTTCGTAAGTCGTTTTCTTGATTTCCCATCTGATATTACTTCTGATACCTGAACTTCCTCAGGCAATTCTTCTACAGTGTATGTAGGTTTCTCTATGAGGAGTTCATCTGGAACCAATGATTCTTCTACCGTCACTGTTGTTTCTGGTTCCTTTCCTTCTTCTTCTACAGTCATAATTTCAGTTTTCTCCTGTTTTCCATCCTTCACCTTCTTGATGACTCGTTTTTTCGTAACTCGTTTTCTTGATTTTCCATCTGATATTACTTCTGATACCTGAACTTCCTCAGGCAATTCTTCTACAGTGTACGTAGGTTTCCCTATGAGGAGTTCATCTGGAACCAATGATTCTTCTACCGTCACTGTTGTTTCTGGTTCCTTTCCTTCTTCTTCTACAGTCATAATTTCAGTTTTTTCCTGCTTTCCATCCTTCACCTTCTTGATGACTCGTTTTTTCGTAAGTCGTTTACTTGATTTCCCATCTGATATTACTTCTGATACCTGAACTTCCTCAGGCAATTCTTCTACAGTGTACGTAGGTTTCTCTATGAGGAGTTCATCTGGAATCAATGATTCTTCTACAGTCACTGTTGTTTCTGGTTTCTTTCCCTCTTCTTCTACAGTCATAATTTCGGTTTTTTCTTGTTTTCCATCTTTTACTTTCTTAATAACTCGTTTTTTCGTCACCCGCTTTCTTGATTTTCCATCTGAGATTACTTCTGATACCTGAACTTCTTCAGGAAATTCTTCTACAGTGTACGTAGGTTTCTCTATGAGGAGTTCATCTGGAACCAATGATTCTTCTACCGTCACTGTTGTTTCTGGTTCCTTTCCATCTTCTTCTACAGTCATAATTTCAGTTTTTTCCTGTCTTCCATCCTTCACCTTCTTGATGACTCGTTTTTTCGTAACTCGTTTTCTTGATTTTCCATCTGATATTACTTCTGATACCTGAACTTCCTCAGGCAATTCTTCTACAGTGTACGTAGGTTTCCCTATGAGGAGTTCATCTGGAACCAATGATTCTTCTACCGTCACTGTTGTTTCAGGTTCCTTTCCTTCTTCTTCTACAGTCAGTATTTCAGTTTTTTCCTGTTTTCCATCCTTCACCTTCTTGATGACTCGTTTTTTCGTAAGTCGTTTACTTGATTTCCCATCTGATATTACTTCTGATACCTGAACTTCCTCAGGCAATTCTTCTACAGTGTACGTAGGTTTCTCTATGAGGAGTTCATCTGGAATCAATGATTCTTCTACAGTCACTGTTGTTTCTGGTTTCTTTCCCTCTTCTTCTACAGTCATAATTTCGGTTTTTTCTTGTTTTCCATCTTTTACTTTCTTGATAACTCGTTTTTTCGTCACCCGCTTTCTTGATTTCCCATCTGATATTACTTCTGATACCTGAACTTCTTCAGGAAATTCTTCTACAGTGTACGTAGGTTTCTCTATGAGGAGTTCATCTGGAACCAATGATTCTTCTACCGTCACTGTTGTTTCTGGTTCCTTTCCATCTTCTTCTACAGTCATAATTTCAGTTTTTTCCTGTCTTCCATCCTTCACCTTCTTGATGACTCGTTTTTTCGTAACTCGTTTTCTTGATTTCCCATCTGAGATTACTTCTGATACCTGAACTTCCTCCGGCAATTCTTCTACAGTGTATGTAGGTTCCGCTATGAGGAGTTCATCTGGAACGAATGATTCTTCTACCGTCACTGTTGTTTCTGGTTCCTTTCCTTCTTCTTCTACAGTCATAATTTCAGTTTTCTCCTGTTTTCCATCCTTCACCTTCTTGATGACTCGTTTTTTCGTAACTCGTTTTCTTGATTTCTCATCTGATATTACTTCTGATACCTGAACTTCCTCAGGCAATTCTTCTACAGTGTATGTAGGTTTCTCTATAAGGAGTTCATCTGGAACCAATGATTCTTCTACCGTCACTGTTGTTTCTGGTTCCTTTCCTTCTTCTTCTACAGTCATAATTTCAGTTTTTTCCTGTTTTCCATCCTTCACCTTCTTGATGACTCGTTTTTTCGTAACTCGTTTTCTTGATTTCCCATCTGATATTACTTCTGATACCTGAACTTCCTCAGGCAATTCTTCCACAGTGTACGTAGGTTTCTCTATGAGGAGTTCATCTGGAATCAATGATTCTTCTACAGTTACTGTTGTTTCTGGTTTCTTTCCCTCTTCTTCTACAGTCATAATTTCGGTTTTTTCTTGTTTTCCATCTTTTACTTTCTTAATAACTCGTTTTTTCGTCACCCGCTTTCTTGATTTCCCATCTGATATTACTTCTGATACCTGAACTTCTTCAGGAAATTCTTCTACAGTGTACGTAGGTTTATCTATGAGGAGTTCATCTGGAACCAATGATTCTTCTACCGTCACTGTTGTTTCTGGTTCCTTTCCTTCTTCTTCTACAGTCATAATTTCAGTTTTTGCCTGTTTTCCATCCTTCACCTTCTTGATGACTCGTTTTTTCGTAACTCGTTTTCTTGATTTCCCATCTGAGATTACTTCTGATACCTGAACTTCCTCAGGCAATTCTTCTACAGTGTATGTAGGTTTCTCTATAAGGAGTTCATCTGGAACCCATGATTCTTCTACCGTCACTGTTGTTTCTGGTTCCTTTCCTTCTTCTTCTACAGTCATAATTTCAGTTTTTTCCTGTTTTCCATCCTTCACCTTCTTGATGACTCGTTTTTTCGTAACTCGTTTTCTTGATTTCCCATCTGATATTACTTCTGATACCTGAACTTCCTCAGGCAATTCTTCCACAGTGTACGTAGGTTTCTCTATGAGGAGTTCATCTGGAATCAATGATTCTTCTACAGTCACTGTTGTTTCTGGTTTCTTTCCCTCTTCTTCTACAGTCATAATTTCGGTTTTTTCTTGTTTTCCATCTTTTACTTTCTTAATAACTCGTTTTTTCGTCACCCGCTTTCTTGATTTCCCATCTGATATTACTTCTGATACCTGAACTTCTTCAGGAAATTCTTCTACAGTGTACGTAGGTTTATCTATGAGGAGTTCATCTGGAACCAATGATTCTTCTACCGTCACTGTTGTTTCTGGTTTCTTTCCCTCTTCTTCTACAGTCATAATTTCAGTTTTTTCCTGTTTTCCATCCTTCACCTTCTTGATGACTCGTTTTTTCGTAACTCGTTTTCTTGATTTCCCATCTGATATTACTTCTGATACCTGAACTTCTCCAGGAAATTCTTCTACAGTGTACGTAGGTTTCTCTATGAGGAGTTCATCTGGAACCAATGATTCTTCTACCGTCACTGTTGTTTCTGGTTCCTTTCCTTCTTCTTCTACAGTCATTATTTCAGTTTTTTCCTGTTTTCCATCCTTCACCTTCTTGATGACTCGTTTTTTCGTAACTCGTTTTCTTGATTTCCCATCTGATATTACTTCTGATACCTGAACTTCCTCAGGCAATTCTTCTACAGTGTATGTAGGTTTCTCTATGAGGAGTTCATCTGAAACCAATGATTCTTCTACCGTCACTGTTGTTTCTGGTTCCTTTCCTTCTTCTTCTACAGTCATAATTTCAGTTTTTTCCTGTTCTCCATCCTTCACCTTCTTAATCACTCGTTTTTTCGTAACTCGTTCTCTTGATTTCTCATCTGATATTACTTCTGATACCTGAACTTCCCCAGGCAATTCTTCTACAGTGTATGTAGGTTCCTCTATGAGGAGCTCATCTGGAACCAATGATTCTTCTACCGTCACTGTTGTTTCTGGTTCCTTTCCTTCTTCTTCTACAGTCATAATTTCAGTTTTTTCCTGTTTTCCATCCTTCACCTTCTTGATGACTCGTTTTTTCGTAACTCGTTTCCTTGATTTCCCATCTGATATTACTTCTGATACCTGAACTTCCTCAGGCAATTCTTCTACAGTGTATGTAGGTTTCTCTATGAGGAGTTCATCTGGAACCAATGATTCTTCTACCGTCACTGTTGTTTCTGGTTTCTTTCCTTCTTCTTCTACAGTCATTATTTCAGTTTTTTCCTGTTTTCCATCCTTCTCCTTCTTAATCACACTTTTTTTTGTAACTCGTTTTCTTGATTTCCCATCTGAGATTACTTCTGATACCTGAACTTCCTCAGGCAATTCTTCTACAGTGTATGTAGGTTTCTCTATGAGGAGTTCATCTGGAACCAATGATTCTTCTACCGTCACTGTTGTTTCTGGTTCCTTTCCTTCTTCTTCTACAGTCATAATTTCAGTTTTTTCCTGTTTTCCATCCTTCACCTTCTTGATGACTCGTTTCTTTGTAACTCGTTTTCTTGATTTCCCATCTGATATTACTTCTGATACGTGAACTTCCTCAGGCAATTCTTCTACAGTGTACGTAGGTTTCTCTATGAGGAGTTCATCTGGAACCAATGATTCTTCTACCGTCACTGTTGTTTCTGGTTCCTTTCCTTCTTCTTCTACAGTCATAATTTCAGTTTTTTCCTGTTTTCCATCCTTCACCTTCTTGATGACTCGTTTTTTCGTAACTCGTTTTCTTGATTTCCCATCTGAGATTACTTCTGATACCTGAACTACCTCAGGCAATTCTTCTACAGTGTACGTAGGTTTCTCAATGAGGAGTTCATCTGGAACCAATGATTCTTCTACCGTAACTGTTGTTTCTGGTTCCTTTCCTTCTTCTTCTACAGTCATAATTTCAGTTTTTTCCTGTTTTCCATCCTTCACCTTCTTAATCACTCGTTTTTTCATAACTCGTTTTCTTGATTTTCCATCTGACATTACTTCTGATACCTGAACTTCCTCAGGCAATTCTTCTACAGTGTACGTAGGTTTCCCTATGAGGAGTTCATCTGGAACCAATGATTCTTCTACCGTCACTGTTGTTTCTGGTTTCTTTCCTTCTTCTTCTACAGTCATTATTTCAGTTTTTTCCTGTTTTCCATCCTTCTCCTTCTTAATCACACTTTTTTTTGTAACTCGTTTTCTTGATTTCCCATCTGAGATTACTTCTGATACCTGAACTTCCTCAGGCAATTCTTCTACAGTGTATGTAGGTTTCTCTATGAGGAGTTCATCTGGAACCAATGATTCTTCTACCGTCACTGTTGTTTCTGGTTCCTTTCCTTCTTCTTCTACAGTCAAAATTTCAGTTTTTTCCTGTTTTCCATCCTTCACCTTCTTGATGACTCGTTTTTTTGTAACTCGTTTTCTTGATTTTCCATCTGATATTACTTCTGATACCTGAACTTCCTCAGGCAATTCTTCTACAGTGTACATAGGTTTCTCTATGAGGAGTTCATCTGGAACCAATGATTCTTCTACCGTCACTGTTGTTTCTGGTTCCTTTCCTTCTTCTTCTACAGTCATAATTTCAGTTTTTTCCTGTTTTCCATCCTTCACCTTCTTGATGACTCGTTTTTTCGTAACTCGTTTTCTTGATTTCCCATCTGAGATTACTTCTGATACCTGAACTACCTCAGGCAATTCTTCTACAGTGTACGTAGGTTTCTCAATGAGGAGTTCATCTGGAACCAATGATTCTTCTACCGTAACTGTTGTTTCTGGTTCCTTTCCTTCTTCTTCTACAGTCATAATTTCAGTTTTTTCCTGTTTTCCATCCTTCACCTTCTTAATCACTCGTTTTTTCATAACTCGTTTTCTTGATTTTCCATCTGACATTACTTCTGATACCTGAACTTCCTCAGGCAATTCTTCTACAGTGTACGTAGGTTTCCCTATGAGGAGTTCATCTGGAACCAATGATTCTTCTACCGTCACTGTTGTTTCTGGTTCCTTTCCTTCTTCTTCTACAGTCATAATTTCAGTTTTTTCCTGTTTTCCATTCTTCACCTTCTTGATGACTCGTTTTTTCGTAACTCGTTTTCTTGATTTCCCATCTGAGATTACTTCTGATACCTGAACTTCCTCAGGCAATTCTTCTACAGTGTACGTAGGTTTCTCAATGGGGAGTTCATCTGGAACCAATGATTCTTCTATCGTCACTGTTGTTTCTGGTTCCTTTCCTTCCTCTTCTACAGTCATAATTTCAGTTTTTTCCTGTTTTCCATCCTTCACCTTCTTAATCACTCGTTTTTTCGTAACTCGTTTTCTTGATTTCCCATCTGACATTACTTCTGATACCTGAACTTCTTCAGGCAATTCTTCTACAGTGTACATAGGTTTCTCTATGAGGAGTTCATCTGGAACCAATGATTCTTCTACCGTCACTGTTGTTTCTGATTCCTTTCCTTCTTCTTCTAGAGTCAAAATTTCAGTTTTTTCCTGTTTTCCATCCTTCAGCTTCTTGATGACTCGTTTTTTCGTAACTCGTTTTCTTGATTTACCATCTGATATAACTTCTGATACCTGAACTTCCTCAGGCAATTCTTCTACAGTGTACGTAGGTTTCTCTATGAGGAGTTCATCTGGAACCAATGATTCTTCTACCGTAACTGTTGTTTCTGGTTCCTTTCCTTCTTCTTCTACAGTCATAATCTCAGTTTTTTCCTGTTTTCCATCCTTCACCTTCTTAATCACTCGTTTTTTCGTAACTCGTTTTCTTGATTTCCCATCTGAGATTACTTCTGATACCTGAACTTCCTCAGGCAATTCTTCTACAGTGTACGTAGGTTTCTCAATGAGGAGTTCATCTGGAACCAATGATTCTTCTATCGTCACTGTTGTTTCTGGTTCCTTTCCTTCCTCTTCTACAGTCATAATTTCAGTTTTCTCCTGTTTTCCATCCTCCACCTTCTTAATCACTCGTTTTTGCGTAACTCGTTTTCTTGATTTCCCATCTGACATTACTTCTGATACCTGAACTTCCTCAGGCAATTCTTCTACAGTGTACGTAGGTTTCTCAATGAGGAGTTCATCTGGAACCAATGATTCTTCTACCGTAACTGTTGTTTCTGGTTCCTTTCCTTCTTCTTCTACAGTCATAATTTCAGTTTTTTCCTGTTTTCCATCCTTCACCTTCTTAATCACTCGTTTTTTCGTAACTCGTTTTCTTGATTTCCCATCTGACATTACTTCTGATACCTGAACTTCCTCAGGCAATTCTTCTACAGTGTACGTAGGTTTCTCTATGAGGAGTTCATCTGGAACCAATGATTCTTCTACCGTAACTGTTGTTTCTGGTTCCTTTCCTTCTTCTTCTACAGTCATAATTTCAGTTTTTTCCTGTTTTCCATCCTTCACCTTCTTGATGACTCGTTTTTTCGTAACTCGTTTTCTTGATTTCCCATCTGAGATTACTTCTGATACCTGAACTTCCTCAGGCAATTCTTCTACAGTGTACGTAGGTTTCTCAATGAGGAGTTCATCTGGAACCAATGATTGTTCTATCGTCACTGTTGTTTCTGGTTCCTTTCCTTCCTCTTCTACAGTCATAATTTCAGTTTTTTCCTGTTTTCCATCCTTCACCTTCTTAATCACTCGTTTTTTCGTAACTCGTTTTCTTGATTTCCCATCTGACATTACTTCTGATACCTGAACTTCGTCAGGCAATTCTTCTACAGTGTACGTAGGTTTCTCTATGAGGAGTTCATCTGGAACCAATGATTCTTCTACCGTCACTGTTGTTTCTGGTTCCTTTCCTTCTTCTTCTAGAGTCAAAATTTCAGTTTTTTCCTGTTTTCCATCCTTCAGCTTCTTGATGACTCGTTTTTTCGTAACTCGTTTTCTTGATTTACCATCTGATATAACTTCTGATACCTGAACTTCCTCAGGCAATTCATCTACAGTGTACGTAGGTTTCTCTATGAGGAGTTCATCTGGAACCAATGATTCTTCTACCGTAACTGTTGTTTCTGGTTCCTTTCCTTCTTCTTCTACAGTCATAATTTCAGTTTTTTCCTGTTTTCCATCCTTCACCTTCTTAATCACTCGTTTTTTCGTAACTCGTTTTCTTGATTTCCCATCTGACATTACTTCTGATACCTGAACTTCCTCAGGCAATTCTTCTACAGTGTACGTAGGTTTCTCTATGAGGAGTTCATCTGGAACCAATGATTCTTCTACCGTAACTGTTGTTTCTGGTTCCTTTCCTTCTTCTTCTAGAGTCAAAATTTCAGTTTTTTCCTGTTTTCCATCCTTCAGCTTCTTGATGACTCGTTTTTTCGTAACTCGTTTTCTTGATTTCCCATCTGATATTACTTCTGATACCTGAACTTCTTCAGGCAATTCTTCTACAGTGTACGTAGGTTTCTCTATGAGGAGTTCATCTGGAACCAATGATTCTTCTACCGTCACTGTTGTTTCTGGTTCCTTTCCTTCTTCTTCTAGAGTCAAAATTTCAGTTTTTTCCTGTTTTCCATCTTTCAGCTTCTTGATGACTCGTTTTTTCGTAACTCGTTTTCTTGATTTACCATCTGATATAACTTCTGATACCTGAACTTCCTCAGGCAATTCTTCTACAGTGTACGTAGGTTTCTCTATGAGGAATTCATCTGGAACCAATGATTCTTCTACCGTCACTGTTGTTTCTGGTTCCATTCCTTCTACTTCTACAGTCGTAATTTCAGTTTTTTCCTGTTTTCCATCTTTCACCTTCTTAATGACTCGTTTTTTTGTAACTCGTTTTCTTGATTCCCCATCTGATATTACTTCTGATACCTGAACTTCCTCAGGCAATTCTTCTACAGTGTACGTAGGTTCCTCTATGAGGAGTTCATCTGGAACCAATGATTCTTCTACCGTCACTGTTGTTTCTGGTTCCTTTCCATCTTCTTCTACAGTCAAAATTTCAGTTTTTTCCTGTTTTCCATCCTTCAGCTTCTTGATGACTCGTTTTTTCGTAACTCGTTTTCTTGATTTCCCATCTGATATTACTTCTGATACCTGAACTTCCTCAGGCAATTCTTGTTGCGGACCTTCAAGTTCCACAACAGTGACTGTAGTTTCGGGTGTTTCTCCTTCCTCTTCGACAGTAACGGTTTCAGTTTGTTTTTCTTTGCCATCTTTTTCTCTTTTGATGACTCTCTTTGTAGTACGCTTGGTTTTCTTACCTTCATTAATCACAACCTGAGTAACTTCCTCTATTTCTTCTGGGAGTTGCTCCACCAATATGGAAGGTTCTTCTTCTTGCGGACCTTCAAGTTCCACAACAGTGACTGTAGTTTTTGGTGCTTCTCCTTCTACTTCGACTGTAACAGTTTCAATTTGTTCTTGTTTGCCATGTTTTTCCCTCTTGATGACTCTCTTCTTTGTAACACGTTTGGTTTTCTTACCTTCATCAGTCACGATCTGGGTAACTTCTTCTTCTTCTGGGAGTTGTTCCGCCAAGGATGGTTTTTCTTCTTCCGGAACTTCTAGTTCCACAACAGTGACTGTAGTTTTGGGTGCTTCTCCCTCCTCTTCGATAGTAACGGTTTCAGTTTGTTCTTGTTTTCCATCCTTTGTCCTTTTGATGACTCTCTTCTTTGTAACTCGTTTCGATTTCTTACCTTCATCGGTCACGATCTGAGTAATAACTTGTTCTTCTTCTGGGACTTCTACCACAAAGGATGGTTCTTCTTCCTGTGGACCTTCAAGTTCCACTACAGTTTCAGGTGCTACTTCTTCGACGATAATGGTTTCTGTTTGTTCTTGTTCACCATCTTTTACTCCTTTGATGACTCTCTTCTTAGTAACACGTCTGGATTTCTTGCTTCCATCTGTCACTATTTCTACAGCTTCCACTTCTTCTGGAAGTTCTTCAACTGAGAGGGCTAGCTCTTCTTCTTGAGAACCGTCAATTTCCACAACAGTAACTATAGTTTCAGGTGCTTCACCTTCCTCTTGTACAATTTCGATCTCAGTTTTTTCTAGTTTGCCATCTTCCTTCTCTTTTATAAGTCTCTTCTTCGTAACACGTTTAGTTTTCTTGCCTTCTCCTGTCTTAATCTGGGTAACTTCCACTTCTTCTGGAAATTCTTCTACCAAAAAGACTGATTGTTCTTCTTTCTGCTTGTTCGTCTTTGATTCTATACATGTCACAAAGTCTTCCGAATCTGTGGTTTGTAAAATATCTGTGATTTGGTGTCCTGCCATGTTCAATAGTGGAGTTGTATGTGTAAATCTGGCTTGTGTTGTATGTGTTGCTGTTTCATCCAGTGTGCCTGTAATTTCATAATGTGTAAGTAGTTATATAAAATTCCAGTTTTTTTTGGTGTCGGTGTGAATTTGTGGATATATGTGTGACTAATTATCTACGCTTCTCCTACTTAGAATTTACTTCCAGATATATGTTTTTCTACTCACCTTCCTGTTCTTGTGGAATGATCTCACTTATTTGCAGACTTGCAGATAATGCATCCACAACAATCTTTACATTTCTTGAAGTAGGTTCTTCATATTCAATGAATTCCAAATTTTCGCTTGGCATTTGCTCAGTTATAGTTAATTCACGATGAGGAAAATCAGCATAACCAAGTTGACCTCTAGTAGTTTTGAATTTTTCTGGCATTATGACATCGTGACTCTGAAGTGGTATATTTTCTTCATTGATAACAATGAATTTCTGATCGTCTAGTTCCTTACGAGCTGTTGTCTCTATTGCTGATGATTCTTCGATTTCAGTACCCGTTTTCCCAAGCACTGTTATATCTGTAACCGTTATGCCTTCTTGAACTATTAGATCAACGTTTGCCATTTTGTAAGGAGGAGTCGATAAAATGATTGTTTCGGTATTACCTTGTAATAAAACATTTGTTTCCGTTATCCCCTCTTGTATATCCCTCTGAGATGTAGCCTGTTGGGGTACATCGAATTTACCTATCTTTAAGTTTCCTAAGCTGTCCATTATATCGATATCTTCCTGTTGGAACACTCTGTGCTCTGAAAATTTAGTATCTGCAGTTCTAGTGATCTCATGTTCAAAATCAACGGCAACTTCTTCTTGATTTGTCCTTATTTGCAGAGTTGATACTGCTTTTCTTGGTTCTTCCAAAGAAATCTCTGCAGATTTTCCTTCTTGAACTACTTTATCGAAAGCAGTTTCTTTTTCTGTGATGGTAGTTTCAGTAATATCAAGTGAGGAATGTGGAATGTGACCTTGTTGTGCTTGGCTTTCTTGTGCTAGCTCAGGATTCATTTCTAACAAATCTTCCTCGGATTTTGTTTCTGTTACCTCAGTTGCTTCAAGTGGAGCTATTACCTGTTCGGCGGTTGTCTTACTGATAATTGTATCCAAAAGTACATTCTCCGATTCATTTGCTACTGTTTCTGATACGGATATACTCTCTTCTGGTGAATAATCGACATTGATATATTTTTCATCATTAGGTGTTTTTTCAAAATGTCCTTCTTTTTCATGAAATTCATTGGCTGTTACAACCAAACATGCAGATTTCATCTGAGTCGCTGCTGCTGTTTCTTCAATTGGTGTTACAACATTTAATGGTCTGATACCATCTTGTGCAATAACTTCGGATTGTCCTAAAGCCGTATTAGGTAGTACATCAATTGAAGATTTTTCTCCTTGAGAAGGTTTTTCTATGAATGGAGATTCAGAATCCTGACCAATCACTTGAAATACATTTATCGACGTTGCTTGGCTTATAGTTCGTTCGGCCTGTCTCAAATTTCCAGCTTGAATATCCATTATACCCTCGGATTCATGTATTAAATTCTCAGTTAATATCAGAGAATCAAAAGCATCTGTATGTACCTTGATATTTGATAATGGTACATCTGTTGAAACTAAATCAGATGAATGTTCGGACACCATTGTTTCAGAAACCACAATTGCGCTACTACCCTGAATATTAGAAGCTGCTGATTCATGTTTGCCCTCTTGAGTAACTAAATTTTCTGATATTGCCTCTGGATATACTTCGCTCACCGTTACTTCTGATGACATATCAATTGTTTTTTGAGCTTGCATCCCATCATGTTTTTTCATGTCTTCGAGACTCGATATATTGTCTATCACTAGAGGTGTGCTCTGAACCAAACTCTCTGAGATGTCATAATCTGATTGAGCTGTAGCAGTTCTGAATTTTTCGATATCTAGCTCATCGATATGCATGTTCGGCAGAATTTCTGTAATAACAGAACTCTTATTAGTTGATACCGTCGTTTGTGCTATTGATGACTCAGGTAGTACCGAACTTTCGAAGGTTGTTTCAACCTCCACGGGCACTATTTCTGTTGTTGATATAGCATTGGTGCCTTCAACTATGCATTCTGCATTTTTTCTAGTAAATTCAGGACCGTTCTCGTAAATATATTCCTTTTCCTGAACTTGAACCTGAGTTTCAATTAATTCTTGATACGGCACATGTGCGATGCTTGCTTCAGAAGAGAGAGTTTTTGTGGTTTGTAAATTTCCTAGATGATCTTCCACTTGAGCTACCGTACTTTCAGGCAGTCTTATGGTATCCAACTCAATGCTGGCATTCTGTTCAGTTGGAAGTCTAAAACTATCTAAATCTGCCTCTTTGTCTGGTATCACTATCTCTGTTACGTTTAAACTCTGAGTTTTTTGTTCTAAAGTGACAGACGCCTGACTAGTTATCGGCTCGAACTTACCAACAAAACTAGTTTCTTTGTCCTCAGCCATGCTCTCGGTGACGATTAAACTATTCAATGATTCTTCACCCTCAGTTGCTTTTGCCTCTTTAGGCATTTCTGCCATTTTGTGATAGTTGATGTTCTCGGATACGTCAGCCACGTTTCGTTCAGCAATTTTTCTTGAAACATCTATGGAAAATTGCGCAGATTTTGAATCTGGCAATTCAAATTCATTCAGAACATCTTCTCTATCTACCAGTGTAGCTTCAGTTGTTGAGACAGTTTGTGCTACTTCAAAGGCGACGGTTGCTGATGATTCGTTTTGATTACTGGTTACGACTAAAGTGGTTTCCTTGTCTAGTATCGGTTGTTCCGAAACAACAGCTGAATCGAACAAGCTAGTTGATTCGACTGCTTTGACTTCATCTGGGATGATTTGCTTCATATCTCCCAGATCATACTCAACGCTAGTTTGTGTTTGCGAAACGACAGTCATACTACCACCAATATTTCTTTCCGCATACGCTTCCATCAGAGGTTTCTCTGAATATTCTGATTCTTTATCGTGTACAATAACAGATTCCACCGATAAACCTTCCCCTATATTCACGTTAACGGACCCTTGTTTGAAACTAGGTTTTTGTGCGTCTAATAAAACCTGCTCTTGCTCAGGAAGTATCAGTTCCTGTTTGATAGCTGTTGGTAAAGGAGAAATTTCTGAATGTGCTGAAAATTTTGTTGATTCCTGCTCGACAATATCTACGATTGTGTCGATTGTTTGCGTTTCAGTATTCATAGGAATTTCATGGCAAACGATTTCAACCGAAGCTTGCATTTCAGTTGGTTTCACATTCACTTCTAGGATTGATTCCTTCTCGCTACTCATGGTTTCCATAACGCTTATGCTACGGTCCTCGAGTATATCTATTTCTGCATCTTTTGTTTCCATTTCTTCAGTTACCAATGTACCGTGACTCTCTTGAACAAAAGCTTCTGTTCGGATGACACTGTCAAGAAGTGACTGACCTGTTTTCGCCTCAGCAAAAGAAAAATGTTCACTGGTGAAATCACTTGTAGTATCTTGTGAGACGGTCTCACTACTTTCAGCAACTGGCTGTACTGACAAAGAAATTGTAGCAGTTTTTGAATCCAACGCTTCGTTCAACGTACAGGTATTTTCTTTTTCTGATGGTGTCGTTTGTGAGATTTGCGCGGATATGTAATTTTCAAATTCTACACCTGCCATTTGCATGGGAGCTGCTCTTCTTTCTTCTATTGGCTCTTCTGATTCATTCGAAATGGCTTCCACAGTTATCAGACTATGATGCTCAGAACGTTTTTGGGTCGCTGAAAATGTAGTTCTTGATTCCGTTGGGAGTTCTTTTATCGTTTCATGTACCATAGTTTCCTTTATTTCGATCACTTCCTGAGGGAGAGATGACGTTTCTGCCGTTTCGAACAAAGGAGCTTCTTTTTGAATGTTGCCTTCTTTCAAACCTGATGTTACACTAGTTACGTACAAACCTTGTGCTTCGTCATATTCAGTAGTAGCTCTTCTGTTTGCTGGTTGTACTTCATTAAGATCACTTTCTATTTCCATCACCATTGGTTCGGTTATCATGAAGGTATTTATCGGGATACGATCCGATTTAGCTTTTTCTGATATATATCCAACGGTCTCAATATTCTCCACGCAATCGCCTGCCAATACCTGTTCAGTTAATGCTGAAGTGAGAGATTCTATCGAAGGTTTCCCTTCTACAGGGTGTGGCGTTGACTTCTGCGGTAGAATACTTTCCCGCTCATCAATATTTATCTCAGTTACTTTCAAACTTTCAGTTTCAGTGAAAGTTAAATTTCCCTGTTGTTTATCTGGCATTATATCAGTTGATTTATCCGATTCTTTTTCGCCAGGTGTAATTTCCGTTTGTACTATGGAGTGTGATAAATCTTGACTAGAGAACGCACTGAAACTTTCGGGAGAGAGTTTTTCCAGCTCTGCTGGTAAATCATTCGCTTGAGTTTGCTCATTAACAGCAACTCGATTTTCATTTATTCCGATATGTGCTGATGTTTTTTCGACATCTTCTGATTTCAATTCTACTTCTCTATCATCTGCAACTATTTGAGTGACTGACAACGATTCTCCTGGCAATAATTCTATGTTTGCCTGTTTCTCGTATGGAAATATGTCAGATTCCAATGTTTTTTCAATTTCTGTTACATTCGTTTCTGTTACTATGAGTTCAGTGTGAGGTCTAGCATATTTCTTAGCTCTTCCTGTAATTATTTCTTCTTCTTCGATTATATCTGCCTGTACAGCACTTTCGACTTCAGAAGTTACGATACTTTCGTATGTATTCATTGCCAACGAAGCTAATAGTTGCAGAGGCTTAGGTTGATCTTCATAAATATTCTCTTTTTCATTAGTTAATATTTGTGACACGTTGGCCCCAGTAAGTGTTTCTGATAAATCCATTCGAGCTGTTTTCAAATCTGGTTGCATTTCCGTATGTGCAGATTCCTTCTCACCTGTTTCATGCTCTAGTATTTGCAAAGTTTGAAATGCTTCTTGTTCCGATATCGCTATAGCTTCAGAAGGAATATTTATGTCTAGTTTACCAGTGGTGTCGTGATGGTGAACAACAGATTTATTAGCTACTTGTTTACTATCGATATCTAATGTTGCAAGCATTGTCTCAGGTTTCTGATCAGGTTTATGTTGTTTCTCCTTATCTTGTACGTGAACCTCAAGTACATTGATAGCTTCTTTAGGAGAGAGAGTGGTCGCAGCTTGCTTACTTTCTGAAACTTGTGTAGTAATTTCATCTGTGTCTTCATTAGCCACAGTTTCTGAAACGATGATCTGGCTTTGCAGTGACTGTTTATATTTTGCTGTATCCTCAGCAATTTTTTCAATTTCAAATTCTGCTAGGCTGTGTTCAACTGCCGTTTCTTCAGTAACACCAGTAGGTAATAAATTGAGGATAACCTGTTTTCCTTTCCGAGTCTCTGGTAAATCGAATGGATTCAAATTACTTTCGCTTTCAAAAATTTGTGACTCTGAGACTTCAACTTGATCTTGTGGTCTACCCAAAGAATGTTTCAATGTTATGTATTCTCTTTGTTGTTGAACATAACTTTCTTCTCTTTCTCCTGCATGTGTTTCGATAACACTAGTGGACTCCTGAGTCTGGATATTAGTAGAAGCTACTTCTGTATTTGGTTTGAAAGAATCCTTAAAATCCACTGGGATAATACTGGATTCAGTTTCCTCAACTGTAATTGGTTCATTCGGAGATATAGTTGGCTTCACGGTAATTTTGGTTGGTTTTATATCATCTGGTAGGACATCTTCTGAATCGTGGGTGAAGGTGACAGATTTGCTGCTTGTTTCTAAAAACGTGAATGATGTTTGTGCATTTTTAGTATCTACTTCTGATTGTTCATAGGTATTTTCAGATTCGTTTGGTAAGACAATCTGCGATATGATCGATTCCATTGGTGACATCTCCACGGTAAGATTTTGGGGTTGGATAATTTCAGAAACGATATCATTTTGTGGTGCCTGCGAATCGGTCACTGTTACTGAAACTCCTTCTGATATTGCCAAGTTGACTATTGCATTTGCCGTATCAACCAAGTCTGTCTTTTCTAAAACTTGTTCTTTTTCGGATATATCTATTTGGGACACAATCAGACTTGAATCAACATTCATTGCAGGACTTGCCGTCTGCATTGGTGGTAATCTACCTGGTACGTACTCACTCTCCAGTTCTGGAGCAACCATTTCTGATTGGAATAATGAATGTTGAGAAATGAACTTTCGTGTTGCAACTTCTGTCGGAACAAATGATTCAGGAAGATGCTTACCAGGCTTAATTTCTGCTAATACTTCCTCGACAATCAAAGGTTCTCTCGAATCGATTTTATATTTCGGTGAGATCGTTACGTTTTTCACAATTTCCAGTTCCCCTTCGAATATAGCTTGATTGACTTCTTCGACATTTACACTTTCCTTAGTAGAGAATGACCCTCCAGCAAATATTCCTTTGGGTTTGATGAAATCTTCAAGGGACTGTTCATGTTGAGACGCCTGTATCTCTAAAATGTTTGTCGCTTCTTGTTGTTGTAGAGTTACGTGAGCTGAGTTCTCTATTTTTTGTGATTCATATATGTCAGAAGGTACATCACCAAGATTATATTCCTGTACAGATATTCCTTCATTCGGTATGAATTCCAGCAGAGCTTGTGAGCCGCTAGGAGTATTTTTTTCAATTAACTGCTCAGTTAAGTTTTGCACGCTAGTCTCTGATACTTCAAATGCTTCGACTGTATCGAAAATTTTCATTGCTGATGCAGTTGAAGCTTGCACATATTCTCTTTCTTTTTCAGTGTCGATCGCTTGTGTTGTTTCACCTGATACCGCTGTATGTGGCACTATATCGATATCTGCGCTCAACTTCTGTACGCTCTCGTTTATATGAGGTACTTCTTGGGAAACTGTTGCTTCAGAAGTGATACTGGTATTGTGGATCATGAGCGGTGTCACTGCTTCTTTATGAGGAATATCCAGGGGAATTTCTCTCATTGAAACTTCGATTTCCGAGATATTTTTAGCTTCTTGAGGTGTGAGTTGGAGTACTGCTCTGTCTTCAAACGTTTGTTGTTTGATGAGGTCAGAAGAAGTATGATCTAGATTGTATTCTTGTATCATTATTCCTTCATTTGGAATGAATTCTTGTAGAGCTTGTGAACCGCTGGGAGTAGCCTTCTCGAATAATTCCCCAGCTGAATTCTGCACACTAGTCTCTGATACTTCAAATGCTTCGACTGTATCAAATGTTTTCATTGCTGATGCAGTTGAAGCATGTACGTCTTCTCTGTCTCTTTCAGTTTCGATTACTTGCGTTGTTTCTCCAGACACCGCTGTATGCGGTACTATATCAATTTCTGCGTTCAACTTTTGGAAACTCTCGTTCATATGAGATATCTCTTGAGAAGTTGTGGCCTCAGAAGTTATACTGGTATTGTGGATTATGAGCGGTTTCACGGTTTGTTTTTGAGGAATATTGAGAGGAGTCTCTCTCATTGAAACTTCGGTTTCAGAAATGTGTTTAGCTTCTTGAGGTGTCAGTTGTAGAACTGCTTTGTCTTCGAATGTTTGTGGTTTAACGAAGTCAGAAGAAGTATCATCGAGGTTATATTCTTGTATTGATATTCCCTCATTGGGTATGAAATCGGAAGAAACTTGAAAGCTGGTAGGAGTAGCCTTCTCAACTAATTTCTGAGCTGAATTTTGTACATTTGTCTCTGATACTTCGAATGCTTCCACTGTATCAAGCGTTTTCAGTGCTGATGCAGTGGAAGTCCGTTGGTCTTCTCGATCTTTCTCAGTTTCTATCAATTGTGTTGTTTCTCCTGATACTGCAATATGTGGCACTATATCAATTTCTGCGGTCAATTTATTAACATCCTCGTTTATTATATGAGTGACTTCTTGTGAAGCTGTTGCTTCCGAAGTGATACTAGTATTATGGATTATAAGTGGTTTTACGGTTTCACTTTGGGGGATGTTGAGTGGAATTTCTCTCATTGAAACTTCGGTTTCGGAAATATGTTTTGCTTCTTGGGGCGATAATTTGATGACTGCTTTTCCTTCAGATGTTTGTAGTCCAACAAAGTCCGAAGAAGTATCACCTAGCAAAATCTCATGGATTAAGACACCTTCTTCAGAATCCATGGTTTCAGTTGCCGTTGAAGTTGTGGGTTTGAATTTCATTTCGAAGGACCCTGTAGTATCTTTTACATCTTGTTCTGATATTTCTATAGCTTCTTTATCACCAATTGTCGATTTAGCTCTAACTGCAGGACTAGATATCTCAGGGCGCTCTGATTCACTCTCTTGGACAATCGTGTGTTTCTCAATGATGGCTGAATGTGGTATGATATCGACACTCGCTGTAGAAGGCACTGTCAATTCATCGATTCGTGCCACCTCCCCAGAACTGATAGCTTCCGAATGAACAGAAGGTAGATTCATAGCAAGTTCTTTTGAAGGTTGCATTTCTAAAGGCCCAAGGGTTATAACGGATTCTTGTTTCATATCATATTCACTGGTTTGGGGTCTTCGTGCTTTGATTTGGTTTTTTGTTTTTCTAGTTTTCTCGATCTCTTCTGTCATTTCAACTTCGGAATCTCGTTCAACTTCAGAGTCTGTCATCACTCTACCAGAGTCTAATTCAATGATTTCAGTTATTTCCACTGAATGTTTTTTCTTGGGTCTAACTGAGCGCTCTTGGTGTTCTTCGACTTCGTGGGTTTCTGTGAAAGTGTATGTATGATTGTTTTTGTGTTTAACTCATCGAATAGTATTACTTTGTCAAGAATCATGCCTATAAGGCTAAGCATAGCTCAAGCCTAGGCATGGGTGTCAATAAGTAGGTTTGGAAGCGTTAAACTGAACTAGAGTAAGATATTTTGTGTGAATGGTGAGTAGAGTGAAGATATACTAAATTATGAACTCACCTTAAGCTGGGCAGTTAACACTAATAAGCAATTACCGGTTCAAATTATCACTGCGTCTATGCGTGGAAGCACTAGATGTTATGCGACGAATATTATAGCAATGCGAATTACGAAGCGCAGAAATGAGTTGTGCAAATCTTCAGCAAGCGATCTCGTGACGGCATATCTTTGCGCTTCATTTTCTTTTCGATAGAATGTATAGAAAAACATGGAAGATAGTTAGATTCTTCATTTATATTTCAACATAAGTCAGAATCAAACAGAACGCTTACTCACCCTCTGAATCTTCCTTCTTAGACTGTTTTCTCGTGATTCTGTTTTTATCTATACAAAACAGACTCATTTGAAAATCGTTTCATTAGGAAATATACTTTGTAATTTTTCCGAAAGATACTCGGTCATAGAAGTTATTCGATATTTATATATAATATATTTATATATAACAATGAAATGAATTGTTTCTTAACATTAATGAAAACTGAATAAGTAATCAATGGCAATCACAATATCACTTCAATCAAATGGGGAAACAATACAATAAAAAGTAATGAGTGAATTTCTTGATAGAAAAAAAAATGAAATCTGTGAGACATGTTGTTTGATTCTAGAAAATCATTGATCACGAAAAAAAATTGAGGATTCTAACTTCCCTGAACGAATATAGAACCGACGTTCCCTATGTACAGCATTTTAAAACTTCCATATAGGCACAAGGAGAAACTGATATAAATATATCAAGCTTTTTTTTGGCCTAGCCAGATTTTGAGCTCATTTTTAATGGTGAAGATGTTGAATAAATCCGGCACTACATCGTTGAAATTAATTTTTTAATTTTATTCTGATATTTATTTACGTTACTGTCAGTTTTGAATCATGATTTCTATGCAAGAAATTCTGAAATGTTTTTTCATTGAATACCGCGTCATTATTCGTCAATACATTTCTATATCATTGATATCAATATTTCAACTCACCTTCCAAGACTTCCGTTTCTTCGGAGATTGTGACCATTTCAGAAACTGATTTCACTGTCTCCTATAAAAAAATTCAATTCACTATTTTGTTAAATACTGTCTGTATGTTAATCGACGAGGTGGTACATTCATTATTCCAGATATTTTGGGATTTTCTCTCCTTGTTTCTGTAAAGTAGGAAGGACAAATCAGATGATTTGCCCCAAAATGTCACTTCGTTTAAAGAATTTTCCTATCAGAGAGCCTAAAAGAAAAATTCACTAGCTTGTCAGTGACAATTTGTATTGAAAAAGGTTTGGAGAAAAGAAATATAGGTATAAAGAAGAAATATCAAATTTTCACTTAGCTTTGGACGTTCCGGGACCGAATCTGCTCCAGTTTTCAACATAAAAAATGGTTAGGTATTTGAATAGCAAATTCGTATCTGTCTTGAAACTTTTCAGTCCTCAGTGACAGTTGGTGACGTTGGCAATCAAATAATTTACAGGATGTTTTCATTAATTAATCTTGAATTTCCCAAGGCTAAGTGAAAATTTGATATTTTTTCTATATACCTTTATTTCTCTTCTCCAAACCTTTTTCTTTCAGGCTATCTGTTAGGAAAATTCTTTAAACGCAGTGACATTTCGGGGCAAATCATCTGATTTGTCCTTACTACACGTATATTGAGATAATATTCATATTTTTATTGTATAGAAAAGAGCAGAGAAAATCCCAAAAAATCTATTTTGTACTCTCATATGGAAATGCTATTGCTATTCATTTTCAGAATCAACCTAATGATTCAATACTCACTTCTATTATTTCTGTGGACTCCCATGAACGTTGAATGAAATCTTCAGGTGTGAAACTAGCAATCACTTCTTCAATGGTTACGTAATTAGCCTCTACCATTTTCATGAAGGCCCTGAATCCGACAGTAGCTGCAAGTTTGCTCTCATCAATTGTAGTTTCCTGTGTCAAAACTTCCGATATCAGAGGACCATGGCCCTTTCTCTCTACCACATTCACCATGGCCGACTGAGCTTGTGGGGATTTGAGAGATGGGAATCTGTCCTCATCATAGAGGACAGTTACTTCTTTGACTGTTATTCCATTATTGAGTAAGTAACCGATTTCAGCGATTTCACGTAGATGACTTTCTCCTGGTCCGAACTCTTTGGTCCGAACGAATTTGAGCATTTGAGTTACTTCCTTAGCCATTCTGAGTTCGCTACTTCTTATGATCTTCTCGCATCTTTCTATGATTTGTTCAAGATTGATTTCAGTTATATCAGCGACTTGAGAAGCTCCAGGTTGTAGGGTGGTAGTGGCTTTCCTGGTGGTTGGAATTATTTTTTCAATATCTTTAATTATCTCTTCTGTCAGTATCTCCTCCAAATACGTTGCTTCAGCTGGAGATAATAGTTCTTTCGCCTTTTCCTCTGGCATCTCTTCTAGTTGCTCGTCAATCTTCTTTGCTGTTGCTATGGCTTCTGTCTTCAATGGTTCTTGGATATCCAGAACTGGTTTGGCTCTGGCTTCTTTCGTTGTTTCGGTAATTTCTTCTGTTGTTTCGATTGTTTGAACTTCAGTGATACCCAGAGGCTTATGTTCGTCTTCTCTAGAAGTTGTGACCATTTCTCTTCTCTCCTTTCGCTTCTTTTCTATCCTCACGCGTTCTTTCTTCACTTTTTCTTCTTCTTCTTTGGCTTTCCTCAGTATTATTTCTTTCTTTTTGTATTCGGGAATTTCTTGTACATATAGTTTTGCTTTGGTAACGATCGTTCCCAAATCGCTAACAGCTTTGCAAACGAATGTTCCAACATCTTCATCTTTGACCTCGCTTATGGTTACACTAGTTTTGTTATCTTCAATTCGTATCTTGACCCGTTTGGAGTTTCTCAATATCTGGTCGTTGTGGTACCATATTATATCTGTGGAATCATATTATTGTCATTGCTGAATATGCTTACATGTTGATATTTGACTCACCTGGAGTAGGTGTTCCAGAAAACAGACATTCGAATTTGACTGTCTCAGCCTCTGTTGTACGAATGTCTGTGATTTCTTGAATGAAGGTAGGAGGACTTTGAGAAGCTGGAATTACATTGGATTTAATTAGATTTTCAAAGTATTATCGGAATGGAATGCTTCGTTTAACACACATATATAATTTTCATGAATTGAACCTACTGATCTCAAATTCTTCTTTGTTGTTCAATTAAGATTGGAAACTGGCCAGGTCTTGGTTATCCCACTACTCGAGAAAATCTGTTTGGTACTTTAGAATGGCCTTGAGTTTTTTCAAGCAGTAACTGAAGTTACCTATCTGATCATTGTTATGTGTTTCTTTCATAAAGAGTATTTTCGTGAAACAATTATTCATGAATAAATATATTTTCATTATATAATATTATCATCTTCGAATCATGATTGTCTCAAAGGCTATTTTTGAGAATATGACAACTGTCATGGAAGATTACTCGCAGATGGTTGATGTAATGCTTTTATTGAAGCAATAGGTAATCAGTCATGCTATTTCTTCAATTTACAAAATCTTCTACTACATGCTGCACATAACATCATCTTCATGCATTCTTGCTTCCATTTCACTGGATATACCCGCCTCACATATTATATCATCAATGCTGTTGGGTATAATATAATCTGATATAGCTACCTACCACTCATATTTTTATTATTAATGATTTGGTTTCACCGAGATTTGAAACATATCACAATTTTGTGTACATGAAGATTCATTTGCTCAGGCACATGTATCAGAAATGAGGTCATGCATATTATCTGAATAAAAATTCAATAGTTTATTACTTCGAGTTTGATAGGGTTCCCTAACAACACAGGGATGTCCTAGGTACGTCCCTTTTTTGTCCCGCGGTACAAGGACATGATTGGGGCATACAGGGGATGTCCCGCAGTGTTTGTCCAGTGGATATCCCGCCCGGTACATCCCTAGGTTATCCTATTCGTGTCCCTGGAATATCTGATATCCATTCACATCAGAGTCATTGAATTTCATCAAACTATTGAGTTGAATATTTTTGAAAATGTTTGTTTTTCTTCCGGAAAATAATTGTAATGAAAATAAAGAATAAAGTCTCGGAACTTCTTAAGAAATGACCATTTTTCGCAAACAGAAATCGTACATGCATAATGCCCCTCATTTTCAAACACCCAAGAATGATAATAATTATACCCAAATCCTAACAAAGTTGTATTTATTCAGGTTTCTGTAGTTAAGTCCTGTTTATAAACCTGTTCAGTACATAAATCTTCAGGAGACATAATAGCCAATGGAATAAGGTGCGTGCCTGATAAGCTAAAGGTCCCGGGTTCAATCCCCACTCGACCTACATTTTTTTCTTTTGTCGAAGGGATGTCCCTGGGATATCCTTGGGACGTCCTAGGGATATCCTTTCTTCGTACTTGGTACATCTCAGGGACGTACCAGAAGGACATCCCTTGGATGCCTTTTTCGGCGGCCAGCGGATGTCCCTGGGACATCCTTAGTATGTACGTTGTCCCGACAAAGGACATCCCTGGGATGTCCTAGTATAAAATCTGGGACGTCCATGGGAAGTCCCTAGGATGTACTGGTGTTGTTAGGGTTACATCTTCCATGTGCCCAATGAATTTGAGATACTTACTTGAAGAGTATTTTGCCTATATTTTTGTTCTCTTTTTACCTAAATATGCAATAATGAACTGGAGAATAACTGTTCATTCGATTCCTGCTCAAATTAATCTGATCGTTGCTGATAGGGTTGAGGAAATAAATGACCTAATTGTATTCCTATATTCATTATAACGTTAGTTTCTAGTACTCCGATCAACAAAGGTACATATATGTCGTTAATCTGAGGTGCCGACTGAAAACAATAATATAAAAAATATTTTACCTGTTTCAAAAATGTTTATTGCCGGGCCATGCTGGTTGGTAGGGTTTATAGGTCTAAATCAAACACAAAAATCACAAATAATTAGTATGCAGCATACACATTTGATGTTAGTTTACCTTCAGGGCTACTACAGATGTGGGCAGAGTTATCCTCTGATGACACGAAAGCAGAAGCTAAACCACATCCTTTATTATTGTCGCTCATGCATTCACTTTCTAATAAGAGGAATTCTTGCAACTCTTCTTGACTGTCCGCCGTGTGTAGTTGGAAAAAGGCACTAGGGTCCAACTCCCTGGGTTCCAATGGAAACATAGTGTAGTTATCTTCGAAATCGTATTCGGAGTCTTTGGGAGCCGAGTCATTCTTGACTCTGGGGAAGGTTTTGTATTTCTCGGCCAACTCTGTTATCTCAATGGTTTCAGAGGAAATTGCATTGCACGAACTGGAGTACCTTCCTAATGACTCATACCCGTATCTACGCCTGTCCGAATCATTATTGCTACCTTTCAGACTACTGCTCCTAGTAGATGGTTCGCTCTTCTCCTCAATTGGAGATAAAATATAAAATGGTTCAGATTGACTAGGATTCTCTATAAAAGTTTTATCTTCAGTTATCACGGATTCATTGTCTACTAGCCCGTTTTCTTCGGTATCTTCGTCATTTCTTGAGAAATGTGGATCTAGTAACTCCAATACAGAGCTGAGTGAATGTCTATGGGAATTGAGATAATCTTTCATGGTGACATTAATGAAGTCATCTTTTGTTGTTTCGTTTTCCTGTGGTTCGCTGTGTCTGCGAATGTGAGAATGGGCTGTTGAACGTTGGAGTGAATCTCTTTCCACGGCAGTTGTTGCCTTACCTTCCTCTGTTCGCGATTGCGGTTTTGGAATGGTTTCTAAGCTGTCAGCTGATAATTCGTACGAACAAGCATGCGGCAAAGAACAATTACTGTTGGTATTACCTTTGAGAGCTGCTGATAGTTCCTCCATATGTGTAACCCACTCAGGTTTGCGGTATTCTTTGGTACCTAGGATACCTAAAAAATAATCTGGTATCAGAATTTATCGAAAATGAAAATGTGGATTGTTTTTGATTGTGGCATATGTGTAGAGAAAAAAATATAGGAGCATTTGGAAGAGAGATTGAGGAGGAACTCGACGATAGCTGGAACTGAAAAAGCACAACATTGAAACAATGTTCTGATAATGAGAAATCGATAATGGTTACCTTCTACTGTTTCAACAATCAATTCGGTACTTGTTACCGCAACTCCGAGTGGATTATATGCCTCATAAACTATCTGTCCAATATCGTCAGGGTATACTTCTGATATTGTTAGAACAGAAGTGCCATCTTCTAGGTTTTCAATCACAAACTCATTTGATGGCACTATTTCTTCTCCATGCTTAAGCCACCTTCCTTCGGGCTTGGGCTTACCAACAGCAATTACTTCCAACCTGAAAAATCAGTTTTTATATTGGCAAAAGTATACAGTATATTTTCCAAATGATCGAGGAGAATATCGAATTGCAGTCTATATCGAATGGACTCATGGGGATATTATCTTTGTTACAGATTTGATGCCATACCTAGTGACGTCACCATCTTTGGCAGACACCATTTGAGGTAGCTTCTTCACAATCCTTGGAGCATATTCAACATCACTGTCAGACTGGATATCTGTTTCACTGATAGTCTAGAAAAATGTGCAACATTAGAGCCAATGCATATAGGTAAGCTATAGTTTGTAGATGGCATATTTTATCTATTGCAACTATAATTGATTGTTAGTAATGTATACCTTGTCAGCTAGAAGATCTTCTTCAGAACCAGTCATATGACCCAATTCAGAATCAGGAACATATTCATACGACTCCACAACCAGGGATGATTTGCAAATTGCTTCTCCCATACGGTTGACAGCCATGCAAGTATACTCTCCAGCATTTTCAGGGAAAACTTCCGAAATAGCTAACGTGCATACTCCTTCAGTGTCCTGTGAGACGACCACATCTTTGGCTTCTTGTACTGGCATATCATTATGATACCATTGTACTTTGGGTATGGGTTTTCCAGTGACTACACAACTGAACTGTACTTTTTCTCCATCCATAACGCGTATAGGAGATAAACGTTTGACGAATCTGGGATACTCTATTTCTCGTGTTTCTTCCCATTCGCTTTCTTCAATTACTGTCAAGGTGGCCGTGCACGTAACTGAGCCAACTGCATTAGCAGCTCGGCAAGTTATAGATCCAGCAAACTCTGGAGTAGCATCACTTATGAATAATATCGACTTGTTTCCTTCAGATAGTATTCTCGTGACCGGTGTGGATTCTAGAGGTGTGGATTCATGGAACCACTGGAATGTTGCATTTGGTACTGCAGTTACAGCTGCTTCCAGTATGACTACTTCTCCAGTAGTTGCTTTTTGTGGTTTTATGGTTTCTATGAATTGAGGAGGTTGTCCTTCACTGATTTCTTCAACAACCGTAACAGAACCTGAGGATCTGGCTTCGCCTTTTTGATTAACAGCTCTAACCTCATATTTGCCACCCTTTTGACGTTTGGTGACCTTCTTTTTAATTTTCAATCTTGTTGTCGCATCATCAGTATTTATTTCGTAATCAATATTTGGTTTTATTTCCTTACCATTTCTAAGCCACGTTATCGTTGGTTTCGGTGTGCCTTCGAAATCAGCTTCCAAGATTATTTCTTCGTTTGGTTGAACCAGAAGTGCCTGTACTGGCTTAGTGATTTTGGGAGCATGCATCACTAGAGGTTTTGTAATTGTCACGGCTCTGGATGTAATCAAGTTCGCACGACATTCTGCTCTCCCAAACTTGTTCTCTGCCTTCACACTATATACTTTTTCATCATCTGGCGTAGCTTCCAGAATTTCCAGCGTAGCTTCACCGGTTTCTGGATTGAAACTCAATTTTCTGGTAGTGCTCGGTTTGATTTCTTCATCATCACATAACCATATAACATTTGGAGTTGGTTGTCCTTCAACTGTACAGCGGAGTGTAGCAGTATTTTCTTGTTCTACAACTTGTGGTTGTAGAGGTTGAATGAAATGTGGTGCGATACCAGTTTCATCTTTCTCTGCAAATAATTGAATGATTTTCAGACAACGATAATTGTAGATAATGGTATCATAGGGTTAAGATTGATCATTTTTTGCTGCGTAAATTAATTCAATGAACATTTCATGTTCATTTATCATTCCACTCAATGATTTCAGAGGCATTATTGCATGTAAGCAAGCATCAAGAACAGAAATCCTCATGATATCATGAACTGAAATCTGTTTGACTGCAGATGAACAAAATCAATTTCAAAACCCCCCCATGCACTGAAGAAGACATGAATATTTTATAAATTGCAGGGAGCGGAATTTTTTCTTCTGTTCATCCTCAGTCAATTCAGAGAAGTAAGGAAATACTTACTCAATTTCTGCGTGGAGTCTGTATAAAAATGGGTTATGAAGCACAAAACCATTGATTGAAAAAGCGAGATACAAAGTATATGATTGTTATGCAGCCATCACACGGTTACCTATTGTGATTGTATAGACAGTAAACAATTTTGCATATATTATTTGAGAAGCTCAACAAAATCACTGAAATAATCTCAGCCATATACCTAAGATGACGAGATTTGCTGTTGACGTTGCTACACCAGCAGAATTCGAAGCTTTGCAGGAATATATTGCTACATCCTGCGGCTCAACGTTAGCGATTTCCAAGGTGACAGTGCTCTCGACAATATTGATGAATACCCGTTCAGTGGCATGAAGCACTTTCTCATTTTTGAACCAGATAATTTCAGGGAACGGAGAACCTTCAACTTCACAAACCAGGCTCACTGGTTTACCATTTTCAGCAACTACAGGCTCAACCCTTTTGACGAATCTTGGTGCCACGGTTTTGGTTTTGAATCTCTCGCCAATGGTTTTTTGCACCTCGGACCTGCGTATGAGTTTTTCCTCTCTTATATCCATATCTTCCCTCACTTCTTCGGTAGGAACTTTATCGATCACTTCGGTAATACGTTTTTGGGAAATAATTTCAAGTTCAGGGATAGGTTGGCTATCATCGAATGAAACAACTTTTGTTTTCGGTTTTGGAATTTTCTTCGAGATTATTTGTACGTTCATGTCTTTTTGGAAAGTAACCTCTTCGATATCTTCTTCAACTGGTTGCTTTTCAGTTTCCTCATCAATCTTTGATATTTCTTTTTTCGGTTTTATCAATCTGATTGCTGTCTCCGATTTCTCAATGATGGTATCTTCGGGAGTTTCATCTAATGTGTCTTCTATTTTTGTCGGCGTGAGCTCAAGAACTTCCTGTGTCTCTATTTCATCCATCTTTATTGGCTTTGAAACTGTTTCCGCCACAATTGTGTCAGTGGTTGTTTTCGTACCTCTCCTCCATTGTCGTATTTCAACTTTTTCTTCTACTTTCTCAACTTGTGCTAGTATTGGTTCGATATCTTCTGGAATAACCTCTGCTGGTGCAGAAATTTCCGCTCCTTTGAATTCTGTGTCAGTAGGTTTTTCTGTATCTCTTGGTATCTTCCCTCTCTTTCTTGGTTTATCAGTTTTCTCAGCAGGTCCTAATTCTATACTATCATCGTGTTTTTTTAGGGGTTCTTCGAGAGCAGTTTCGAATTTTATCGTTTCTGTCAACACTTTGAATTCTGGGGCCTGTGGATATTCTTTGGAAATCGGTTTCAGTTTTATTTCTTCTTTTTCTCCTTCTAGTTGAGGTTTCCTCTTGCCTCTAGGCCAGTCTTTCACTTCAGGAGTTTCTTTTGATTGCATTTTTGGCGTCTTTCTCCAAGGAGCAGTTGGTTCAGGAATTGAATCGGTTGGTTCACGAATTTCCTCAGTTAATGAAGTTTCTTCTTTGATAACAATTTCAAGTTCTTTCTCTTCCGATTTTGTAACCGAATCAGGAATAGATTTATCAATATTTTCTAACTGAAGGTCTGATTCTGGAATTGTAAAGGGTTTCGATTTTTCTGGAATTGACTCAACGGACTCTTTCTCTTTTTTAACTGGTTTCAATTTCACTGTTTCTTCTGTGTGTGTTTGCTGAGGCATTTTACCTTTTCCTATCTTGAATTGAACCGTTTCTTCTGGAGCACGCTCTGGTTTAGGCTTAGGCTCACGTGTCCATGGAGTGGTTTGCGTTTCTTCAAGTTCTTTTGTAGGTTTTTCCAATTGCATGTCTTCTGGTAGCTCTGGAACGTATTTTTCACCATCTTCGATTTCTGGAAGCTCCTCATCACGTTTTTTAGTTTTCTTAGTTTTTGGCTTGACCTTTATTCCTTCTGCAGTGATCAACTCTTGCTTTGGTAATGGTTTTAGAGTGACTTTCTCGATGTGAGTCTCCTCTAAAGGTATATCTCGTTTCTGAGTAGGTTTTAGTTTTACATACTCAGGTTTTGAGACTTCTTCAACGATTACTTTCTGTAATTTCGGATGCTTACGTTCATCCACTTTCAGAATGACAGTATCTTCAATTTCAGTAATTGTCTCAACTATAATAGAGTCTGAAGGAGTTGGATAAACTTCTTCTCTGGCAATTTCAGGTTTGGTCTCAGGTATATCTGCTTTTTTGTCGGAAACAATTTCCTTTTCGAGTTTATTGTATTTCCTTTGTCTCCGTGATGGTTTTGTTTCTTGGGCTTCAGGAACTTCTGGAATAGTAGACTTCTCTTCCACCAGTTCTTCATGAGTCTCCGGTTCGTCTGGTTTCTCAGACTCCATTTCTCGATCATCTTCGGAAATTACAGTTGTTTCAACAAAATCATCTGGTTTCTGACTTGCCAACACTTCTGGCTGTTTTTCATCGACTGATAACCTTTTCACAGGTTTGAGGTCTACTTTCTCGACTTTTTCCTCAATTTTTTGTCTGTCCTTCTGAGCTCTTTTGAGAACGATTTTCTGTTTGTTCCAAGGAACTGGTTCCTCAGGAGCAGTCGATATCTCATCTTTCTCTGTTTCTTCAGGTTTCTTACCATCCGATGTTTCTTCTTTTTTGTCTGTAATCCTTTTCTCTTCCTTTCTCTGCCTACGCCAAGATTTCGTTTCCGGAATTTCCCCCTGCGGAATGGAAGTTGCTTCTTTAGTTTCATCTGGTTTATCTCTTTCCGATTTTATTTTATTTACAGGTTTCAGTTCAACTTTCTCAACCGCTTCCTTGATTTCTTTCCTATCCTTCTGAGCTCTTTTGAGAGTTACTTTTTGTTTGTTCCAAGGGATTGATTCCTCACTTGCGATCAACTTTGTATCATCCTTAATCTCTTCAGGTTTCTTTTCATCAGTCATATCTTCTAGAAGTTCTTGTTTTTCATCCTTTCTTTGCCTGCGCCAAGATTTTTTCTTAGGACTTTCGACTTCCGAAATGGGAGTTGTTTCTTCAGTTCCATCTGGTATCGCACTTAGCAATTCTTCTGGCTGTTCCTCATCAATTGATAACCTTTTGAGTTCAACTTTCTCAACTTCTTCTTTGATTACTTTCCCATCCTTTTGAGCTTTTTTGAGAGTTATTTTCTGTTTGTTCCAAGGAATTGGTTCTTCAGTTGTAATCGAGATTATATCTTTATCAGTTTCTTCCGCTTTCTTATCTTCTGGTGATTCTCCTAGAAGCTCTTCTTTTTTGTCTGTGCTTACTTTCTTGTCTGTCACTTCCTCTTTTCTTTGCCTACGCCAAGATTTCGTTTCTGGACTTTCGACTCCAGGAATGGAAGTTGTTTCTTTAGTTTCATCTGGTTTTTCAATTTCCAATTCTTGTGGCTGTTGCTCATCATCTGACGGCCTTCTCACAGGTTTCAGTTCAACTTTCTCAACCACTTCTTTGACTTCTTTTCTATCCTTCTTAGCTCTTCTGAGAGTAATTTTCTGTTCGTTCCAAGGAATGGGTTCCTCAGTTGCAATCAAGATCGTATCTTTATTAGTTTCTTCAGGTTTCTCATCATCTGGTGATACTCCTAGAAGCTCTTCTTTTTTGTCTGTGAATATTTCTTTGTCTGTCACTTTCTCCCTTCTTTGCCCACGCCAAGATTTCGTTTCTGGACTTTCGACTTCAGAAATGGAAGTTGTTTCTTCAATTTCATCTGGTTTTTCACTTTCCAATTCTTGTGGCAATTGCGCATCATCTGACGGCCTTCTCACAGGTTTCAGTTCAACTTTCTCAACCACTTCTTTGACTTCTTTTCTATCCTTATGAGCTTTTCTGAGAGTAATTTTCTGTTTGTTCCAAGGAATAGGTTCCTCAGTTGCAATCAAGATCGTATCGTTATCCGTTTCCCTAGGTTTCTCATCGTCTGGTGATTTTCCTAGACGCTCTTCTCCTACGTCTGTGATTATTTTTTTGTCTGTCATCCTTTTCTCCTTTTTTTGCCTACGCCAAGATTTTGTTTCTGGACTTTCGACTTCAGAAATGGAAGTTGTTCTTTTAGTTTCATCTGGTTTTTCACTTTCCAATTCTTGTGGCTGTTGCTCATCAAATGATGGCCTTCTCACAGGTTCCAGTTCAACTTCTTCAACCACTTCGTTGGCGTCTTTTCTATCCTTCTGAGCTCTTCTGAGTGTTATTTTCTGTTCGTTCCAAAGAACTGGTTCCTCAGTTGCAATCGAGTTCGTTTCTTCAGGTTTCTTATCATCTGGTGATTTTCCTAGAAACTCTTCCCTATTCTCTGTGACTATTACCTTTTCGGTCACTTTCTCCTTTCTTTGCCTACGCCAAGGTTTCGTTTCTGGACTTTCGACTTCAGGAATGGTAGTTGTTTTTTCAGTTTCATCTGGTTTTTCACTTTCCAAATCTTGTGGCTGTTGCTTATCCTCTGACGGTCTTCTCACAGGTTTCAGTTCAACTTTCTCAGTCACTTCCTTGACTTCTTTTCTATCCTTCTGAGCCCTTCTGAGAGTAATTTTCTGTTTGTTCCAAGGAATGGGTTCCTCAGTTGCACTCAAGATCGTATCTTTATCCGTTTCTTCAGGTTTCTTATCATCTGGTGATTCTCCTAGAAGCCCTTCTTTTTTGTCTGTGATTATTTTCTTGTCTGTCACCACTTTCTCCCTTCTTTGCCTACGCCAAGATTTCGTTTCTGGACTTTCGACTTCAGAAATGGAAGTTGTTTTTTCAGTTTCATCTGGTTTTTCACTTTCCAATTCTTGTGGTTGTTGCTCATCATCTGATGGCCTTTTCACAGGTTTTAGTTCAACTTTCTCAACCACTTCTTCGACTTCTCTCCTATCCTTCTGAGCCCTTCTGAGAGTAATTTTTTGTTTGTTCCAAGGGATGGGTTCCTCAGTTGCACTCAAGATCGTATCTTTATCCGTTTCTTCAGGTTTCTTATCGTCTGGTGATTTTCCTAGACGCTCTTCTTCTTTGTCTGTGATTATTTTCTTGTCTGTCACCACTTTATCCCTTCTTTGCCTACGCCAAGATTTCGTTTCTGGACTTTCGACTTCAGAAATGGAAGTTGTTTTTTCAGTTTCATCTGGTTTTTCACTTTCCAATTCTTGTGGTTGTTGCTCATCATCTGATGGCCTTCTCACAGGTTTCAGTTCAGTTTTCTCAACCACTTCTTTGACTTCTTTTCTATCCTTATGAGCTCTTTTGAGAGTAATTTTCTGTTTGTTCCAAGGAATGGGTTCCTCAGTTGCACTCAAGATCGTATCTTTATCCGTTTCTTCAGGTTTCTTATCATCTGGTGATTCTCCTAGAAGCTCTTCTTTTTTGTCTGTGATTATTTTCTTGTCTGTCACCACTTTCTCCCTTCTTTGCCTACGCCAAGATTTCGTTTCTGGACTTTCGACTTCAGAAATGGAAGTTGTTTTTTCAGTTTCATCTGGTTTTTCACTTTCCAATTCTTGTGGTTGTTGCTCATCATCTGATGGCCTTTTCACAGGTTTCAGTTCAATTTTCTCAACCACTTCTTTGACTTCTTTTCTATCCTTATGAGCTCTTTTGAGAGTAATTTTCTGTTTGTTCCAAGGAATGGGTTCCTCAGTTGCAATCAAGATCGTATCTTTATCTGTTTCTTCAGGTTTCTCATCATCCGGTGATTCTTCTAGAATCTCTTCTTCCTTGTCTGTGATTATTTTCTTGTCTGTCAATTTCTCCTTTCTTTGCCCACGCCATGATTTTGTTTCTGGATTTTCGACTTCAGGAATGGAAGTTGTTTCTTCAGTTTCATTTGGATTTTCACTTTCCAATCCTTGTGGCTGTTGCTCATCAGCTGATGGCCTTCTCACAGGTTTCAGTTCAACTTTCTCAATGACTTCTCTCATTTCTTTTTTATTCTTCTGAGCACTTCTGAGAGTTATTTTCTGTTTGTTCCAAGGGACTTGTCCGTCAGTAGCTAACAAGTTTGTATCTTTCCCTGTTTCTTCAGGTCTCTTTCCATCAGTTATTACTTCTGGAAGTTTACTTTTCTCGTCTGTGATTATCTTTTTGTCTGTCACTTCCTCTTTTCTTTGTTTACGCCAAGATTTTATTTCTGGACTTTCGACTTCCGGAATGGTAGTTGTTTCTTCAGTATCATCTGGCATCACACTCGCCAAAATTTCTGATTGTTCCCCATCAACTGGCAACTTTCTCACAGGTTTGAGTTGAACTTTCTCAACTACTTCTTTGATTTCTTTTATATCCTTCCGACCGGTCTTGAGTGTTATTTCTTGTTTGTTCCAAGGAATTGGTTCCTCTGGAGCAATCGAAATTGTATCCATCTTCATTTCTTCAGGTTTCGTTTCATCTGATAATTTTTCTGAAAGCTCTTGGTATTTGTCCGTAATTATCTCCTGGTCTGAAATGGAAGTTGTTTCTCCTGTTCGATCTGGTTTTTCATGTTTCAATTCTCTCGGCTGTTTCTCATCGACTGATAACCTCTCCACAGGTTTGGGCTTAACTATCTGAACCACTTCTTCGATTTTATCCTCCTTCTGAATCCTTTCAGATGTTATTTTCTGTTTGCCCCAAGGAATTGTTTCTTCAGTAGCTGTTGATGTCTCAATAGGTAAGGTTTCTTGTTCAGAGGTAGCCGTTATCGGTTTCAGAATAACATCTTTATATTCAGACTCTTGTTCACTCGAACGCCTTGTTGCTTTGAGAGTAACTTTCTCGAGAGTTTCTTTTTGGATCTCTTTCGACTCTCTGCGAGTTTTTTTCAATGAAATCATCTGTTTGTTCCAAGGAATAGGCTCTTCCGTAAGAGCTTGTGTTTTTATAGGCATTTCTTCATCTGCTTCACTTTTATCTATTTTAGGTTTTCGCCAACCTGTCATGTCAGGTTGTTCGACTTGGATGGGTTTTTCTTTTGTTGTCTTGGTTGTGATTTTTTCAATCTCATCGGTTTTCGGTTTTATCCATCTCTTGCTTTCAACTAGTTCTTCTTTTTCATCTAATTCAATCATTGTGCTATTATCAATATGCTCCCGTTTGGTTAGATCTTCGGTGATTTTCTTTGCCTTGGTAACTGAAATAACTGTAGATTCTTCCTTATTTGATACCAGCTGTTCAACTGGACCTTTTTGAGTTTGTCTTAGACGAATATCCTGTTTGTTCCAGGGAAGAGGTTTTAATTCTGCAACTTCAATTCCGTGCGGTTTTTGTTTTGTTTCAGGAGATTCAGTTCTTGCCTCTGTATCTTCTATTGGAAGAACTTCCATAGTGGAGGAGGGCTGCTTCTCTACGCCTTTCGGTTTGCGCCACTTTTCTTGTAATAACTTTCCTTCGCCAAGTTCTTTAGTTTCTTTCGACTGTTCATCAACAACGAGAATAGCTGAATCTTCTTCATGAACAAATGGTTTGGAACTGATTTGTTCTGGTACTTTCTTGCCAATAGTTGTGGGTTTGAGCAATACTTCCTCAAGTTCTTGTTTTTGGGTTTGTTTGACCACTCTTTGAGTTTTTCTCAAAGTTATATCTTGTTTGTTCCAAGGTACAGGTTCTGATTTAGGAACTTCCACTTCTCGAGGTTTTTGATGAGTCGGGCGAAGTTCAGTCGATTCTTCTTCTTTTTCTTCGAGTAAAAGATTTGCTGAGTCTTCTGTATGTGTTATTGGCTGTTCTGTTGTAGCTCTCGGTTTGCGCCAATCTTTTTGAACAAGTTTCTCATCCCCAATTCTTGTGATTTCATCCTCTCTCTCATCCACCGAAAGAATAGTAGAATCTACCGTATGAGATATTGGTTGTTGAGCCAATCCCCTAGGTCTGCGCCAATCATTCTGAAATAACTTTTCCTCTTCACGATTTCCAGTTTCCTCAAGTTCGTCCTTGACAGAAAGAATTGAAGAATCTTCCGTGTGCACCACAGGCATTATACCACCAACATTTTCATGCACCTCTTTCTTGGTTTCTCTTGCCGATTTCTGTATTTTTTTCAAATGTATTTCCTGTTTAACCCAGGGTACAGGTTCTGATTTCGGAACTTCGACTTCGCGAGGCTTTTGCTTCTTTGGGTGAAGTTCAGTCAGTTCTTTCGATTCTTCAATCAATGTGATGTCTTCCGTATGAGACAAAGGTTGTTGACCTGGTCCTCTGGGTCTACGCCAATCCTTTTGCAATAACTTTTCCTCTTCACGTTTCATTGTTTCCTCAGATTTTTCGTCAACGGAAAGGGAAGTTGAGTCTTCTGTATGAGATAGAGGTTGTTGTCCAGTACTTGGCTTACGCCAGTCTTTCTTCAAAAGATCCCCTTTGCGTTTCATTTCTAGTGTTTCTCTTTCATTCAGGGATAACAACGTGCTATCTTCCGTATGAGAAAGTGGTTGCTTCATTGTTTCTGTTCCAGTGACTTCTTCAATTTCCTGTTTCAAGGACTTCAAGTTGACCTTCTCCATTCTCTTTTTAACGATTTCTTTTTCCTGTTTGGTTTTCTTCAAGGTGATCTGTTCCTGTGTCCAGGGTTGAACCTGTTGAAATTTAGGTCCTTCTGCACCAATAGAGCCTTTTCGCAACGGTTCCTTTCGTGGTCCTGTCTTTTGTCTCCATGGCAACGATTCATCGCCAACGGGTAATTCATTTTCGTCAAGAGGTTGACTGCCACCTTTTGAGCCTGATGAAGCTATCGAAGTGGTTTTTCCTGGTCCAGCTGGACCATATCCAGGTTGGTCTTTGGTGTATGTTATTTTGTCACCGTTTTCGGTTACGTCAATTGCTGAACTTTTACGGTATGAGCCTGGACGTCCTGTAATTCATAAATAATTTGCTGATGGCCTCGAACATTATTGGACATAGTCTCCAAGACTTATTTTGCAGAAAGAATAGGAACACATTATTATCCATTTCGTGTTGAATACTACCAGATTGAATCAAATTTGTCAATGGTTTTTGGATGTATGACAATTTGATATTCACCATACAGGATTCATGTACAAAATGAGATACATATCACGAATGGTTCATAACTGTTTCATAACTCCACAAGTTTTTGAATGAATTTTAGTAGAAAAAGTATTAACAGAAGAGGCATATGCCCTACCATTTCAAAAATTATACCTGTATTCAGAAAATATTGAGTGTTTGTGAAAAACTGCAAAAATGATTCCCAACATGAATATTTACAGCACACATGACATATGAGCACATTAGTTTGAATACCTATATGAAATTTTTAACCATTTCTCAACCATAATTTGGAGTTGAAAAGTCAATAACTCGAAAATTATCATCACTTGGATATAATATATAAAGTTGAACGTGAAATCACATGTGGAAATTACGCATGATACGGCAATGTCCTCAATATAACCTAAAAAACAACATATTTCAGAAATCTAGTGTTTATCCCCAGAAATGAATGAAGATGGAACTATACAACTGTTTAACAAACACTTTAGAGTGAGAGGAGACGAATATCTGTCCGTACTCTGTTAAGATGACAAATACGTCAATTTACATCAAGGGACCCTAGTTTATCGCGATAAGCACACGTTTTCTCTGGCCTGTGATTGGTCAGATTACGTGATGAGTGGAATAGTCACGTAAAAATCACCTTGCTCGTTTCATCACCTTTGCCTCCATTGCCACTTCATCAAAAATTTCAAAGGCATTGTAAGTTTTGTGGCACCATATCGGAAAGACTTTTCAATCCTCCAAACGCAAGTATTTTTATTTTGAAATCGAAAGATGAGTTTGCAAAATATCTAAGGAAACGTTTGGAAATATCTGGAAATATCGTCCCTAGGTGGATAGTTCAACGTAAAATTCAGCTCGTTGCATCAATCTTGCACCCAATGCCCACCCCCATGATTGTTGGGATCCTGGGACATTGGTGTCTAAACTGTTGCATTTTTTTGTTGAAATCAAGCTACTTACCATATTTTTGAAGACATCTAGAAAATGAGAAAAACTACTGAATATGGATGTTTCAACAAAAAACTAGAATATTGTACACATATTGGAGTCGTGCAAAATGCTCACAAAAAATTGTTGTTGTATTTTCTCCATCTCTCCAAAACTAGTCGCTTGAATTCAACAAAAAAAAAAACAGTTTGGACACGGGCATATCGTACGTTTTCAATGACCCACGACACTCACGACCCACGACCCTAACAAACTGTTCACGTGTCTTGAAGATTTTCACTCGTAATACCACTAGAGGTCAAATTAGTTCCTGATTTTTTTTCTAGTTCATGGATATTTGGAAATTATTCGGAGTCGAAGACGAGGGATGATTTTCGAAATATTCATGAGCGAGAAAAAATTCCCGGAAAGTAATTCGACCTCGTGTGGTATTCGGTGAGAAAATTTCACACCAGATAGTGTTTGGAAATTAATTAATTTTAGAATATATTTGTTCATTTGATTTTCATACAGATTCATGAATAAATTAATATGTAACATATTATATTCTTCCATTTTTTATTAACTTCGGGATACTACAAGTGATAAGAAATAATAATTTTGTCGATTAATTTTTCATAGTTATAGGTACACTCGTCTTCAGCAAACATGTCGCAGTTGGGAGCTGACACCGTCCATGTGCGACATGATCACTGAAGACGAGTGTACAGGGTGGCCAACTAAGAATCCAGAGTTCGATAACTCTGTTGTCTTAAGAGATACAAAAAAAAGTTTTGCATTCAAATTAAAGTGATAACCGAGCTTCACATTTCAAAATTTCTTTGAAATACACAGGGTGTTCCGTAAGGTCACAACACATCAAAGCTATGTGTTTTTCATTGGAACACCCTATATTTCATTTCATTTTTGAATTCTCCCTGAAGATCTGATTTCAACGATGTATCATACTTAGAGTCTAGAAGTGAAAGTTACTGACATATAGGGTGAGCAAAATCGAGATTTTCCAAGTTCAGGATTTTTTTCTGTCGAAACTGTTATTCGTCAAAACGGATTACATGTCCCTATCTCAACTTTTCACTCACTATCAATTGGTGTTCAATTGACATTTAATTGAAACAAATTATAAATTTAGATTTTTGACCACCTTGTATCAATTCAAATTGAACACCAATTGATAGTGAGTGGAAAGTTGAGATAGGGACATGTAAACCGTTTTGACGAATAATGAACAGTTTCGACAGAAAAAAATCCTGAAATTGGAAAATCTCGATTTTGCACACCCTATATGTCAGTAACTTTCACTGCTAGATCCTAAGTATGATACATCGGTGAAATCAGATGTTCAGGGAGAATTCAAAAATGAAATAAAATATAGGGTGTTCTGATGAAAAAATCATAGCTTTGATGTGCTGTGACCTTACGGAACACCCTGTGTATTTCAAAGAAATTTTAAAATGTGGAGCTCGGTTATTACTCCAATTTTGATCCATGAATGTTTTTTGTATCTCTCAAGACAACAGAGAAATCGAACTCTGGAGTCTTAGTTGGCCACCCTGTACATACTGGTAGTAGTAGAGAAAGGGGAGGCGGTCGCCTAGCAAGTAGGCCCCAATGAGCTTTTTTGCCGACCCCTGCTGCACACGTCATGTGCACATAATATCTACTATTCATTCTCCTAATTCTCCTTTTCGAACCTCTGTCGATTTCTGATGAAGGTCAGTATGTCCGTCCACCTTAGTAAATTGATCTACCTGTTGAAGTGTATCAGTATATCATTTCGAATTTTAGTCTTCCATAACGCCTTACACTGGCCCAGGTAGTGGTATGACATTCAATGTAATAGATGTGGTTAGGGCATCAATGGATTCTTAGCCTATTATCAATTGTTTATTTCTACCCAATTGAAGTGGCGTCAAAATATCATTCTATCATTGAAACGTCATAAAAAAATTAAGATTTCATACGCTGGTGGGTACTCAAGACAAAAAATTGCCATTAAAATACATACGTTGCTTTGGTCATAAAAACCCAATTCAACTATATCAAAATCACTGGTGTGCAATTTTATAAACAACTTTTCAGGGACGATATTTTCAAACGTTTGCTTCGATATTTCGTAAAACTCATCATTCGATATCAAAATTGAAATACACAGGCGTTTAAAGGATTCAAAAGTTTTTTGAAATATTTGATAGGGTGGCAGTGGAGGCAGAGAGGATGAAAAGAGCAAGGTGATTTCCACGTGAGATCAAGTTCGCCTCCAAATTATTCCTTACGTGTCTCGGCGATTTTCAAACGAGATATTGCGCGTGAGAATTTTTCAAATGAACACCCAGCATAAAGAATGGCATAAGTAGTGGAATAATGATTGGATCAAGAAATATAAGAAGAAAAAACATTCGCTTGGAGGTTTGACAATCAGTTTCTATTCGAAATAAGGTCAGTTGATGATTATATTTCTTGCTGCAATAATATTGCTTAAAGTTCAAGACGCGAGCACTAATACCCCTAATAGTCTTCAAGGAAGATACTTAGTTTGAATTATTCATGAGTAATCTGGTTATACATATTTCGGTAAGACTGAAACAATTTACTAGTACTCGAAAACATCTTTGGCTCATAGTAACCTATTAGTTGAACAGCCGCTAGAATGAGGTGTGGCCAAGTTTATTTTCAGCCAAACTCTCATTACGAGTATGAAAATCAGAAATAGCGAGACCCCCGCTTATGCATTCGATGATGATAAAACAACTATATCACTGAGAAGCATTGAATCACAGCATTGGTAATGATATACTATTTTTGGCATACACAGTTTACATATTTCAGGAGCGTGACTCATAAGGAGACCACACGCATCGTTGGACCATTTTTACGGCGGTCTTTCCTTCCCCACTACTGCAACGGTGAGTTTTACAAGACAACGCTCAGTTGAGTTTTGGGTACCTGTGAGTGTGTCATGTGCTAGTGAGGTGCTAGTGTTGTGGACACTTTTCGTGTTTTTTCATGGGTATTCATTTTATGAGCCACATAATATTATGGGGGATGATTATCGAATACACAATATTGTGAAAAACAGTTCGGGACCTGCAAGATTTCAAAAAGGAGAACGAATAATTAGTTTCAAAGTTTAACCGATTCAGTTTCATTATAACACTTCACTTCGTAATCTTATGTGGCTGGTATTAAACAGAATAGACCATTTTCTAATTCAACATTTTTGTTCGAATCCCAAGTGATACATTTGGGTGTAGTGATTGTGTGTTCAAGGGATATGACTATCACCATTGTTTCAAAATGCTCCAATTGTTATTTCTAGATTTTAAGAATTCATAAATAGTTGTTGTTCAGGTGAATTATTGTTGATGTCTAGCTTAGTCACGTCTCAGGTGTGGATTTTTTGGTGACTTTCCAACTATCTGTGACCCTGTAATAGTTGAGTCACACAGGTATTTTCAAGAAAACTGATGAGAGAGATGCTAGCCATGTGGCAAACATATACCCCTGTTTATGATTTCTGTATTTTGATTGCTAATAAATCTTTTTCAACACTTGCTTCCTTGCCTTTTTATTACACATAAAACTCGGGTATTCATTAGAGGAAAGGTATATAAACTGACATCTGGATAGTTATCTATCTGGCAGAATAAATTTGTGCCTCCCAATATAGAATGGGTATAATGTTATACAGAAACATTTAGTTTAAAATAGTTTTCTGTGTGTCGCTTTGCACACGACTCCACAGTTTTACCCGAACTAAATGAGTTTTTTGTTTCCACAGAATTAGATTATTTGAAAATAAACCAACCGTCGTCAAAAACTAGAACGGAATATACACTGTTATTATTTCAGACAGGTGCAGGCAATGATCTTTTTTTGCCCTAGTATACCTACTTAGAGTTGATGAGGTATGATAACTGATGGGATTGTATACTTGAAAGTCATTGTTTTGTAAACAATAGCAGTTTATTAAATAAATATTTGCATTTATACATTTTTAATGGTAAAATATTTCATAAACTCAGCCAGCATTCAGCAAATTAGTGCCAAAGCTGAATATCTTCACTCCTACAAAAATATCACTTGGAACTTGAACCAATTGTTTTTCATTTCCACCACCGCTACCCTACACAAGAATCTATCCAGTGACGTAATGTTAGAATGTTTGAGAGAAAAATTGCAAGCAAAAGCTATTCTTTTCACTAAGAAATAACTATAATGAAACTGAATCAGTTGATATATGGGTTTTCGATTCTTCACATAAAACTTTTCCAAATTGTACAACTTATATGGGTTTATTTCTTACTTTTGACGATCAGCTTTGCTGATTGTTCAACTTGTCCTGCTGAGGAGGTTGCTCTACAACTGAACACGCCAGAATCTTCTTCATAAGTGGAGGAAATGAGTAAAATTGCATTGTTGCCCTCTTGAATCATCTGGAACAAAAACTTTGATTAGCTACAATGAAGATTTACTGAGGTGATCAAGATTCAAACAAGAAATATAATTTTTTCTGTGACGGGAAAAAAGTTTGCAATTCCATATCTGTTGAAAGGTTATAAAATGTCACTTCTCATAAATTACTTTTTTCTATAACGGGAAAAAAATTTGGCATTTTATCTCTGTTGGCAGGTTATAAAATGTCACTTTTCATTAATTACTGTTTTTCCGTGGGAAAAAAGTGAGTACTTCTTTCCCGGATATTTATCACATATATATACACTGTTGATGACTTCTGTTGTGCTATAGTTTTGAAAAATGAGTCAATATTACCGTGTCCGAGAAAGAACTGCAAGTCCTTTTATCTTCCATTCGACTTCGCGGTCACATATATTTCTAAACAACCACTACATTCGCAGTTTTTTGAAATCGAATCACAGAATCAGACTGACAGAAGTGATATCAGATATTTGATGACTTCAAAAGAATGATAAAGATGCCTACAACGCAGGTGTTCCTACTGTTACAAACTTCATCGATAATTTTCAGATTTCAAAATAATGTAATATCTTCTCAATATTGATTCGTCCTTTCTTCTGTCACAGAAAAAAATAGTGTATTATACACGGGAAAAATACTAGATATTAGCTCACGGTTTTTTGTCTCCCTCCGCTACGCGCCGGGAGACAACATATCCTGGAACTTAAATCTACTACTTTTTTCCCCTGTATGATAGATAACTATTCTTTCCGTTGGTAAAAAGGTGACCCCTTTTTTCCTGGATATATATAACATATATATCCACTGTTGATGGTTTTTGTTGTTCTATAGTTCCGGAAAATAAGCCAATAACACCGTCTCCGAGAAAGAACTGCAAGTCCTTTTATCTTCCATTCGACTTCGCGGTTCCGTAAATTACCAAAGAACCATTAAATTCACTATTTCTGAGAATCAAATCACAGAATTAGACTGACAGATATTTTATTACTTGAAAAGAATGATAAAGATGTCTGCAAAAGTATGCCTGGTGTAATGCCTTCAAGTTTCACGCCGATAATTTTCTGATTTTAATATAATGTCAATATTAATTCGTCCTTCTTCCTGTCACAAAAAAAATAGTGTATTATACACGGAAAAAATATGAGATTTTACCTCACGGTTTTCTGTCTCCTTCCGGTACTCGTCGGGAGACAACACAACCTGTAGCTAAAATCTTTCTTCCCTTGTATAATAAATAACTATTTTTGCCCATTGAAATTGAAAGAGCATAGCGATATTACTCACTCGTCCGGTAGCTACCTATTCCAAGAGTTCCATGAAAATTTAAATAGCCTCTGTCCGAAAGGAACGACATCAAAAACAATAATTGAGTAGATGACAATTAATTTGAAATTCCGAATAAAAGACAATCTCTTTCAACATTTTTGTCATGAAACCCTCATAATATTTGACGACTAAAATAGCTCACTTTATTCTTGCTCTTTCAAGAGAGGAAGTTCTATTCCCGAACGGAAAATATTACATTAAATACATAACGATATTAAAGTTTTTCATTTTCATTGATTCCACCTGTCCTCATTATTCAATTCGTCAGATAGTGACAGTTGGTTTCAAACTCAACATAGAATTGAAAAATGATACGTTATTATACCAGGGAGAAATTGATACTTGTATAAATATTTTCATTACTCTATTGATTTGATTGGATTTGATTTTTTATTGGTCAAATTATTACACCTTAGTGCTACGTGTGGATAACAAATTGAAAATGCCACGATTACAGAGAAACAGCAAACGATCGTTGATGAAAATTGTAATTGTACATGGTACGATCACAAAAACAGAAGTCTGAAGTCAGACGCATCATAGTCATTCTCTGGGAGGTGATTTTTCAGTTCCCTTTTGAAATTAGTGAGGGTTGCATTTTTCATTTATTGGACAGTGAATTGTACAATGATATAAATGAGTTACATCTCCTCGTCATTTTTATTATTTGCTTTGGTGCTCCAATATTATCCTTGTTCCTAATATTTTATGAATGGTTAATCTCATTTGTAGTGAACTCATGTAAATTTTCTCGAATGTGTATTAAATTGCAGTATTTTACACAAGATGGCAGAGTTAATATATTGAACTTTATAAACCAACTCTTTCATATCTCCATTTAAACTATTCCAGCTGAAGCTCTGATTGCTCTTTTTTGAATAATTTATATTCTCGAAGTATGAAAAGACGTGCCCCAGTGGGCAGCTTCATTACCGACATTTTTGTTCTGCCTGATTGCATAGTCCTCGCATGATAGATTTTTTGATAGTTTGTCAATTTGGGGTTCCCAAGCTAACTTTGAATCAATAGTTGAACCAAGACATTTCACATTACTTGGGGGATTATGAGGTAGCGAAAACATAACTGTCTGGTTCTTGCTTTCATTCAAACCTAGGCTATTGGCATTGAACCACTCCGTAGCTTACACACAGCCACCCCCATGGAAATTTTCAATATCAAGAGAATCGACTCTTCGAATTCTCTATACATTCACTCAACTGAAAACTACTCAACTTATTTGTTACTCATCGTGAATCGTAGAGAAACTTGCAATTTGAAAATTCCCTGAGGATGCTTGTTCAGGTTAGAAGAATAACGATTAGTATGCAAGTGAAAACAGAAAACTCTTGATGGTGAGATGAAAAAAAAAACCATTGTTAAGATTTTGTCTTCAGAACAATGAAACTAGATATATCTTTTTAAGATATCTGTTCAACAGCACTGACGTCCTGACATTGAAATTGGTTTATCAAAAAGTCTGAAAATATTTGACCAGAATCGAGTGTGCTCAGGGGCGGCGAGTGCATGGGGGCATCGGGGCCAATGCACCCATGTAGACCATAGGTATGGGTGCAATGCACCCATTGGCCGAAACGAAGATGTACCTTTGTTTATGTTGATATTAACAACAGACCCGAAACCCGATTAGTCAAAAAACATTATATTCTAGTAGGGGTGTTTCACACGTAATGCAGAATCAATATTGCATCAAGCTATCTTCAAATTTGAAGGCATTTGACCTTGAGCCATAAAAATTTTTCGCCTGCGGCGCATTTTTTTTTTGCTTGCCCTAACCCCTCCATTTTGGCACCCATTGGGCAAAACAAAACTCGCCGCCCCTGAGTGTGCTAGATTATCGTCAACCTTGGCAATAAAGAGAGCTACATATATATTTTTTTATTTTAATGGAACTGATCTTGACATTGAACTACTGCCAGATGAAGTTTGATATGCATATACCTATAAATCGAGAAGAATTCATATGCTTTGCCAAAACCCTATCAATATCTCATTTTATTTTCGGCTGAAACATCTACATGTAGGTCGACTAAAATTTTAACGATAAGGGTAAACATTGTTTCCCAGGGCAGATTTATTCCTTCATAAACTATAAATTGTTGATCAAATTTATTGAAACATTCATATAATTATTTCGTATAAAATTGACTTTGTATAAAAAGAAAACTATTCTTTGCTACAGTGAAATTCTTGGAATATTATTATTTGGAGTTGTCTTCAGATTTCAAAACAATCAATTCCAATTTGATAATTGTGTCTCTATAAAGATATGAACGAGATAGTATTCTGAAGGAAAATAACATAACTCGTTGATAATTACCTGAAAATCTGGTGATTCTGGAATCAAGAATCCTTCTCTTAGCCATTGAACAGTCGGCTTGGGCTTTCCAGAAATAGTAGTCTTGAACTGTGCTGGACTGCCCTCCACTACAACAACATCCTTCATCGGTGTCATCGATGGGGCAACTTCCTGAGTCTCGGGCGCCAGAACCTTCAACCTCGCCTGGGTAGATACAGTACCAGCAGGATTTTCAGCAGTACATTTGTACACACCTTCGTCCTCCGGAAACGCCTCCGAGATCTTCAAGGTACAGAAATCACCTTCTTTGCTCATTTGGAAATACCTGGATGGTTTGATAATCTTATCAGCTTTCTGCCATTTTATAGTGGGAGTTGGTTTTGCAGAAATTTTGCATCTGAATACTACAGCTTGTCCTTCTTTGATAGATTGCTCCTTCAGAGGCTCGACAATGGTTGGTGCTTTCTCGGCACCTGGAGTAGATGGTTTGGATTGCTTCTGTGGAGTTGCTGGAGCTTTGACTGTACACTCTGCTTCACACCTTGCTTCACCAGAGCTGTTCATAGCGACGCATTCGTATTTTCCTGAATCCTCAGGTACAACCTCTATTATGAGCAAGGTATACAGCTCGTCTTCTTCCAAGGTCTTGTACCTAATATCAGAAGTGATTTTTTTGCCATTCTTAAGCCAGTAAATATCTAGGGGTTTGGTTCCATTTATCCTGGCGTCGAACCTCACCAGTTGCCCTACGTTAGCTGCCGTACTTTGGATTGTGGTTGTGAAGCTAGGTGGGACAACCCCACCGCTCCTACCTTGTCTTCTTCTCTCTTGGACAACAAGGTTTGCACTGCATTTAGCAGTACCACCACGGTTTTCAGCTACTACCCGGAATACTCCCGAGTCTTCCATGAATACTTGTCTCAGTTGCAGAATTGACTTGGTGCTGAATGTATATACCTTCAGGTCAGGTGAGCTAGTTATCGGGAAGTCCTCTCTGTACCAAGTGATCTTTGGTAACGGATCACCGTCAAACTCTACTTCGAAGCGAGCAGAATCATTCTCGAAAGCTCGGACTGGTTGGATTTTTTTCGTGAAGACCGGTGGATTCGAAGGTAATACTTGCCCTTGTACAAGCCTCTCTTGTGTCTTAGCTTTGTGTTCCACATCGGTAGTCTCGGTAGCAGTGATGTTGCGGGTGATTTCGAGGTCACCCTTCTGTTCTTTCTGTACCTGCTTCTGCTTGGTAACATAGATTTCCCTGCCATGTACGCCGGATTCAGTGGGCTCTGGTGGATAAGCTGCTTGCTTGGAATCGATTTCAACTTGCTGCTGTTGGATAGTTTCTTTGCTCTTATCGGTTTTCCTCAACTTGACTTGTTCCTTGTGTGGAACAGGCTTTGGAGCCTCCGGTTTCGGGATTCGAGGAATTGGAGCGAGATCTTTCTCGAACGGTTTTTCCTCCCTGTAACAACAGAAATAGTAAGAAAACGAAGTTTTTTAAACTATGTGCAATGAACTCACAAACTGGTTTCGTATTGTTGTGCCATTCCTCGAGCAACAGAACTGCTCACAACTTTTTCTCCAGGAATAGCGAACTGATGAGACTGTTCACGAAGCCTGATCTCTTTGATAACTTGCTCGCTTTCGAGTTCTTGTAACTTGTTGTAATACTCTTCGCCCTTCTTGTTCTTGATACTCTTTTGCCACTCGGTTTCGGGTTGCCTGAATTCTTTTGGTTGAACGTGTACTCCTGTGACGTGGATACCACTGTCTCTTTGAGTGGTATTGCGTTCGTCGAAAATTCGTTCGAGTTCGGTTTCACCGCGTTCTTTCTGGTATTCAGCTAGCTCAAGGTCATACCAAGCTGAAGAATATAATGTATGATAATTTCATGATGCAGCAATGAGAAATGTACACATAATTTATATTTCAATAAAAAAATATATTTTCATACAATAAAATGCACAGTTTGGGAGCATGCAATACTACTTAGAGGGTAAAAAATAGGCATACCTGTTCAAAAAAATTCCTCGAGCAGTAAGCTATAGAGTTATCCCTTGAAGAATGCCCCAAAGCGGTGAAAATCTTGCTAGGTAGTGGGCAAAAAGGCTAGGAAATAGGGATATTGGGTTTTCTTGGTGATGTGCAGTGTTAATGTTATAGTACTGTGCTGGATTGCAATCTATGCTTGTAGTTAATTGTGGATAAATGTGCATCGTGTGAGGTATAATGAAAAAATGTGCTGTTGTTCGTAATGAACACTTACGTCTAGGTGAATTTTTGAGTACCCCTCTATAATCGTCGTGCCTAGGAATAATTTTCAGTTCCGTTTCTGATACAGCTTCTCCAACGGAGCTACGCGCAATTACTTCAACTTTACCAGTATCGTATTGGCGAGTCTTTGGTATATCAAGATGGTACATTCCATCATAGGTTAATTTGTAGCGAGCTCCGCTCACTACAGTGTGTCCATTGATGAGCCACATCACACGTGGCCTTGGGTGACCGGTTACGCGACAACAGAATCTCGCCCATTCTCCTTCTTCAACTGTTACTGGTTCTGGTCTGCTCACGAAAATAGGAGCAGATCTCGGTTTGGATTCTTCTTCTACTTCTTCTGGTACTCTGAAATACAACAGAATCATCACAGGTTTATAGTTCATGGAAGGCAAATTTTCATTAGTATATTTGAATTCGAATCTATACTCACACTTGCCATGCGGCTTCAAGTTCACGAATTCGTTCGATACTCTTCATGCCTTTTGGTAATTGAGAATCATATATAATTCCTGGTTTACCAGTGGTCTTGATGATAGCTCTGGTCTCATCCATACCATACAAGTTGGTGGCTCTACATAGATATTCGCCACTATCTTCTGGGTATACCCATCCGAAATTCATAGCCACATAACCAAAATCGTATATTGGCGTGAAGCGATTTTCTGAGAAAAAAATTAATTGATGATATTTTACGTAATTTAGTTATATTCATGTTATAAATTTGATTTTCTTGAGGTTTATGGATTAAGCGTTTCATTTATGATTGAGAACTATGTGATAACATATGGACAGTATTTTGAGATGACATTAGTATTGAGAGAAAATTTGATTATTCATAATATACTCACTGTGAGGAAGAGGCTTTCCATTGAGGAACCATTCAACTTTCATGTTAGGATCACCTACAGGAGCTAATTGACATTCGAACTTGGTTGTTTGCATTTCGATAAGCTCAGTTTGGCTTTGGATTTGGGTGACGAATCGTGGAGGTTGCTTTTTCTCTATATCATAGAGATCATCTTCGGTGAGATATACTTCAGATGTGTATTTCTTGATTGCAGCTTCCATTTGCATCAGAGTTTCCGATCTCTTCATTCCTTTGGGCACTTGGTTTTGTAGAATGATATTGGGCAGTTTCTTACATGTGATATTTGCCCTAGTGAAATCTTCACCATAATCATTGACAGCTCTGCAGACATACTCCCCAGAATCTTCAGCATAGACATACAATATATCAAGAGACACATATCCGAGATCGTATACTGTCCTGTAACGATGTCCAGAAGGTAATAGCTTTCCGTTTCTATACCATTCGATACGAAGTTTAGGGTCATCTTTGGGTTCTACTCGACAATCGAAATGTACAGATTCAGCCTCTTCTACAGTAGATGACTCGATTTGTGTTATGAATTTGGGAGGTGAATAAGTTTTATCTTTTTCTGGAGCTTGTGAAACTGGTCCTTTTTCCAACTCTTTCAGCTTTTCAGCACTCATTCCAGATGGAAGCTGGCTATCAGTATCTATATTCCTCTTAGTCTTTGAGGTCACTGTTGCTTTTGTTGTAGCTGACCCCCATTTGTTCGTTGCTCTGCAAATATATTCTCCAGCATCTCTGTTATAGATGTAGTCGATATCGAGGGAGATGAATCCAAAATCGAAGATTTGGTGGACACGTGATCCAGTTGCAAATGGTCTGCCATTATGGAACCAATCGATTCGCATAGTTGGATCATTAGTTGGTTCGACCCTACAATCGAAGTGAATGGGACTGCCTTCTGAGATATCGAGATTATCTTTAATCTCTACGATGAATCTTGGTGGATTCGGTTTTTCATCCTCAGCTAGTATCTCATCTCTCTTATGCAGTTGCTCCTCGAGTTTTTGTATACTCTCAGTACCACTGCGGAAGTTTGATGGCAACTGAGGTTCCATCACAATTCCTTGTCTACCTTTCACTTGTAGTTGACATGATACTGTTGCCTCACCATGACGATTCGTAGCCTTACACGTATACATCCCAGAATCTCTCTGATATACGCCGGCTACTTCCAATATGACAAATCCGAAATCATTGATGGTTTTGATTCTGGATCCAGACCATAGAGGCTTACCGTTATGGAACCATTCAACTCTCATACTCTGATCGTTGACTGGTATCAGTCGACATTCGAAGTGGGCGAGTCCATTTTCATTCAGTATCAAATCTGATGGAGATGTTATGAATTCAGGTGGTTTGCCTGAATCGTCATCAGGAGTGAGTTGAGATGGTGCAGCTCCCAAACCTTCGAGCTCAGCAATTTTGTCGATGGTTCCCTCCATTCCCTTCGGCAATTGGGATTCGAGAATTATACTTCTCTTTCCTGATACCTTCATTGAGGCAGTAGTGACTGCTTCACCATACTCATTGAAAGCTCTGCAAGAATATTCTCCTGAATCTTCTGGATATACAGGCGAAATTTCGAGGATAACAAAACCGAAGTCGCAGAATGTTCGGAATCTAGATCCGGTTCTGAGTGGTTTTCCATTCCAGAACCATTCCACTTTGAGTTTTGGATCATCGGTTGGAATGAGTCGTGCTTCAAAGTGAGCATTTTCACCCTCGCGTAGGCTGTCAATATTTGATAGTGGTACCGTGAACACAGGAGCTCTTCCTTTTTCTGTCTCCTCTTTTTCATCTCTAGTTCGGATCAGAGAATCTTCCAAAGTTTGAATTTTCTCTAGTCCACCTTCCATGCCCTAGAAAAAACCTCATTATTTATGTTGTGATTGTAGAAATTACAATTAAACTTACCCGCGGGAGTTGCGAGTCCAGAATCAAATTCGTTTTCGAGATGCATTTCAGTGTAGCCTTAGTTGAATCTTCCCCATGTTTATTACGGGCTCTGCATTCATATTCTCCTGAATTTTCTTCGTAACAATACAGTATGTCGAGAATGACAATACCAAAATCATGGAAGGTGCGGTACCTATGACCGTGAGGCAACTTTTTACCATTGTAATACCATTCTACTACCAAATCTGGATCGGTAACTGGGGTGAGTCTTGCTTCGAAGTGAGCACTTTGGCCTTCGGCAAGTTTAGTTGCATCCTGAATCTGAGTAATGAATTTTGGTGGTTCTGTTACAGGAGTAGACGGTGCTTGAGCATGTTGCCCTTGGAGACTCTCTAGCTCTCTGATTTTAGCAAGAGATTCAGGTTGTAAACTGTCACTGAAAACACCTCCTCGGCCATGAGCTGAAATGGTTGCTTTCGTGAAATCCTCACCAAATTTGTTGTATGCTCTGCAGACGTATTCACCAGAGTCGTGACTTTGGATATAGGAAATATCCATGACAACAAAACCAAAGTCGGATACAGTCTTGATACGAGATGACTGCAAAATAGGTTGTCCATTGTGGTACCATTCAACTTTCAGATTGGGATCATTCACAGGAACTAGATTGCATTCGAAATGAGCTGCTTGACCATCCTTCAAACCAACAATGTCCTTTATTTGGGTGGTAAATCTCGGTTTCTGTCCAGCTGACTTTTCTACACATTCCAGAGTTACGCTTTGTTCTGCTACTCCCCATTTATTAACTGCTTTACAAGTATAGGTGCCTGAATCTTCGATTTTGGTTCCAAGAACCTCTAGAACAACCATTCCGAAGGCATGCACTGTTCTGAATCTGTGAGATGCCTCGATGGTTTTTCCGTTATAGAACCATTCAACGGACATGGTTTGATCGCCGATTGGTGTCAAACCAGCTTCGAAGTGTGCGATTTCTCCTTCGCTCAAGTTGTTCAAGTTCGTGAATTCTGATGTAAAGACTGGTGCATGACCTTCGTCAGATTCTGCCAAAGGCATTTCAGGTCTGTGCAGAGAATCTTCGAGGTCTTGTATTTTCTCCAGACCTTCCTGACCCTTAGGATGTTGCGTTCGTTCGATGAGGTTGGATTTGCTCGTACAATATATTGTGGTGGAGGTGAATGCTTCTCCAGATTTATTGTAAGCCTTACAGGTATAAATACCTTGATCTCTCTCGTAGATATCGGTAACGTCTAATGTGACAAAGCCAAAATCTTTGGTCAGTTTGAATCTGCTACCATGATCTAATGATTTTCCATTGAAGAACCACTCAATTTTCAGATTCGGATCTTCTTTTGGTTCTACAGTACCTTCTAGATGCAATGGTTGACCTTCGACCAACTTGAACTCGGGATTGAGAGGTACAGTCCAGATAGGTTTGCCGAATTCCTTCTCGGGTGCTGATAACTGGCGTTTGTATTTGTCTGCAATAGCACGTTCCACATCATCTACAGCATCCAAGCCAGCTCTACCCTGTGGATGTTGTGTATCCAGGTAAATATTTTGTTTGGCAGTACAACGTAATGAGCCAGAAGTTTCAGCAGAGCCTTTGCTGTTGGTAGCTTTGCAGGTGTAAATACCAGAATCTTCTTCGTACGAATGCGTGATGTCGAGTGCAACGTATCCAAAGTCGTATGTAGACTTATACTTAGCACCACTTGGTAATGGTTTTCCATTGACGAACCATTCGATTTTCAGAGTTGGATCTTTAGAGGGTTCAACGTTACACTCAAAGTGAACGTTGTCACCTTCCATACACTCAACGTTATTTAGATGAGTGATGAATATTGGAAGTTCGTATGTAGGCTCAGGAGCATCTGGTCTGGCTTCATGTGGTCTCTCAAGAGCTTCCAGTTTTGGAATAGCTTCAGGGTGCAAAGTTTGTCCAAGAAGCCAGTGTCGATCTTCAATCTTGAGAGAGCAGGTGGAAATTGCCTCACCCAACTTATTTGTAGCTTTGCAAGTGTAGATAGCTGAATCGTCATCTCTCAACCCGTTAATAGATAAAGTGACTAAACCAAAGTCGAATGTACTACGAAGTCTTGTACCAGTTGATAAAGATATACCATTTTTGAACCATTCGATGCGTAAGTTCGGGTCTGCTCTTGGCTCAACCTGAGCCTCTAAATAAACGTGTTGCCCTTCAACCAATTTATCGTAACTCTTCAAATGTGTGGTGAACACTGGTGGTTGCTGGGGAGTAGTGTCGACGAACATTTCTGGAACTCTATTCATTTCAGCTTCTTTCAGTTGAATTTTCTGCCAGGCATCAGGTTGTAGAGGTTCTCCAACTATGTTCGATCTGGGTTTCACTTTCATCGATATTGAAGAAACTGCTTCGCCTGCTTTATTTATCGCCTTGCACATGTATACTCCTGAGTCTTCTTTGACAGTAGACATGATGTCGAGGGTAACAAATCCGAAGTCGTGCGTCACCTTAAATCTTGATCCAAGTTTTAGCTCAACTCCATTGACGTACCATTCGAAACGAAGATTGCCATCTCCTACGGGTACAACCCTAGCTTCAAAGTGAGCATGTTGTCCTTCCCAGAGTTCTGAAGGTCCGGTCAGCAGTTGAGTGAAAATCGGTTTGTCGAATTCACGTTCAGGCTCATCAGATCTAGGAGCTAGTGGTTGTTCTAGTTGGGCAATCTTACGTTGAGCCTCTGGATGTTGTGTATCCAGTTGGATGCTGGCTTTGGCTGAAAATACAAATATTAGACATCGTTCGTGACACAATAATTATCTTTGAAACTTACTTCTAATTTTCATAGATGCAGTCGTGACAGCTTCTCCAAGGGGATTAGTAGCTCTACAGATATATACTCCTTCGTCTTCGTCTCTGACATGGGTTATATCTAATGACACGAAACCAAAATCATGTACTTTGGTGATTCGAGAGCTGTCCTCCAATGGTTTTTCATTTCTGAACCAATCAACCCTCAAGGTCGGATCGCCAACAGGTATCAAACGGCATTCAAAGTGAGCAGTTTGACCTTCGTTGATGGAGTCAATATTCTGCAGGGGTTGGGTGAAAACTGGTCTTTGTCTGGTAACTGGTTCGTCATGTTCTGGTCTCTTATAGGGCTGGTGTTCTTCTAGTTGCCTAATCTTTTCCAAACCTTCTGGTCTCTGCGACTCGAGAACAATGTTGCTTTTTGCAATAACATTCAGTTTTATAGAAGAAACACATTGTCCTAGGTTATTGATCGCTTTAACGGAATATTCTCCTGCATCTTCTGGTACTGCATGACCAATATCTAGTGCGATGTACCCAAAGTCGAATGTGATATGGAATCTTGCTGCTGAAGGTAGTGGCTTGCCATTATGATAGAATTCGATTCTCAAGTTTGGATCATGTATTGGTTGGACTTGCGCTTCAAAGTGAGCAGTCTGTCCTTCATATATCTCAGTAGTGCCTCGCAGTTCAGTGACGAATGTTGGAGGTGTTGGAACTGGTTCTTCGATTTCTAATCTTGCAGGATGCCCTTGGGACTCTAATTCCCTTATCTTTTCTAGACCTTCTGGATGATGAGTATCAAGTAAAATACTCTTCCTGCTACCTACCCTGATATTACAAGTATTGACTGCTTCACCAACAAGATTCGTAGCTTTGCACATGTAGGTACCACTGTCTTCTGCATATGCATAGAGAATATCGAGCGCAACGTAACCAAAGTCATGTGTTGTCCTGAATCTGTGACCAGCCTTGAGTTTCACTCCGTTAACAAACCATTCAATTTTGAGGTTAGGATCATTGATGGGCTCAACTCTACACTCTAAGTGAGCATGTTCACTCTCTTTGAGATTTTCCAAACTTACTAGTGGTGTTAGGAATACTGGTTTTTGTGGTTGAGCTTCAATTTCTTCTTTCTTGGGCCTTTCATAGTTCTCTAGTTGGCGAATCTTGGTAAGACGCTGTTCGTCAAGTGTATCCAAATAAAGACCCGATTTAGCGACCACTGAAACTGCAGCTGTAGTGACAGCTTCACCGACTGCGTTTCTTGCTCTGCACATGTAAGTTCCGGTATCTTCAGCATATGCATATAGAATATCTAGTGCGACATATCCGAAATCATAAGTTGTTTTGAATCTATGACCAGTTTGAATTGGTCTGCCATTACAGAACCATTCCACTCTCATCGTAGGATCATTTACTGGGGTCAGAGTGGCCTCTAAGTGAGCGCTAGAGCCTTCAGGCAGATTCTCAATCATCTTCAGTCCTCTTCCGAACTGTGGCTTCTCCAAGATAACAGCATCTTCAGAAGATACTCGTTTGTATTTTGAGTCATCTTCGAGATGTTGGATTTTCTGTAGAGCTCCTTCATGTTGAGTGTCTCTTATGATGGAAGCTCTCGCTAAAAATTAAATACAAATGAATGTTTTTTCATGTAGTTGATCTAGAAACTTACATTTTACATTAGTGACAACGGAAGATGTTGCTTGTCCTATCCTGTTGGTTGCTCTACAGCTGTATTCACCAGAATCTTCTGCATAAGCAGTAAGGACATCTAGACTAGCGAAACCAAAGTCATAAGCTGTTCTGAAACGATGTCCAGTTGTTAATGGTTTGCCATTATGGAACCATTCAACTTTGAGGTTCGAATCAGGATATGGTTCAATTCGGCACTCATAATGAGCACTTTGTCCCTCAACTAATTCTGAAGGACCGTTCAGCTTCGTTGTGAAAACAGGTGCTTGTGTCACAGTCACGTCCTCTTCCTCACGGCGTGTGTATTTGGTTGAATCTTCTAACTGCCGTAGTTTCTGAAGGGCACCTTCATGTTGTGATTCCAGTTGAAGTGATGCCTTAGCTATAATGTAAAATATCATAAAATATCGATACTTTTTTATGTTCGGAATACTTACATTGGACAAATAATGTTGCTGAAGTAACAGCTTCTCCTAAGTCATTTACAGCTCGGCAAGTGTATGTACCAGAATCTTCTGGGTTGACATATTTCATATTGAGTGCAACGTATCCAAAGTCATGCATTGTAGTCAGACGATTTGCTATAAAAAAACATATTATATTGGGACTAGGTGTGAAAAACAAAATACTCACATGCTTCAATTGGCACTCCATTACGTAGCCATTCAACTTTCAATCGAGAATCTCCTACAGGTATAAGTCTTGCTTCGAAATGAGCAGCTTGATTTTCAGCGACTCTCAGATCCTTGATAGGCATCGTGAAGCAAGGTGCTTGACTTATAGTCTCTTCTTGTACTGTCTTTTTCTGGTAGCGAGAAGAGTCTTCTAGTTCTGTGAGGCGTTCTAATGCTCCTTCGTGAACCGATTCAAGATAAATCGATTTCTTTGATTGCACATTGCAAACAGCTGAAGTTACTGCTTCACCTAGGGCATTCGTTGCCCTGCACGTATATGTTCCTGAATCTTCAGGGTAAGTATAGAGAATATCCAGCGCAACGAAGCCGAAGTTATTTGTTTCGGTGAATCTGGATCCTGATTTCAGGGACAGTCCATTGTGGAACCACTCAACTTTCATGGTAGCATCTGATACGGGGATCAGTCTGCATTCAAAGTGAGCCCTTTGGCCTTCCTTGATGTCGATGTTTTTCAAGGATGTGGTGAAAATTGGGGCCTGAGTGGTCACTTCTTCCACATCTTCACGTCTGTGATACCTCGAACGATCTTCCAAGTGCTGAATCTGTTGGAGTCCAGTCTCGTTCTGGGTAGAAGTGATGATTTGTCCAGATTGTCTGCATCGCAGGTTACAGTTTATTTCATCTGTTCCGACGAGATTTGTAGCACGGCAAGTATATGTTCCGGAATCTTCAGCGATTAAGTCGACGATATCTAGAGCTACATATCCGAAATCGTGAATTGGACGGAATCTATGTCCAACAGTAACAGGTCTTCCGTTTTTGAACCATTCTACTTTCAGGTTTGGATCAGTGACTGGTTCTATCTTGCATTCAAAGTGAGCATGCTTCCCTTCGGTCATATTTTCCAAATTCTTTGGTTTGGTAACGAATTTGGGTTTCACAGTTACTTGTTCATCTACGAATTCAGTACGTTTGTACCGAGATGAATCTTCTAGGTACTGTATTTTCTCAAGTCCAGCAGGATGTTGACTCTCGAAAAGCAGATCTTTCTTGGCAATCACTTTAACAGAACAAGAAGTCACTGCTTCACCCAGCTGGTTTCTAGCTTGACAAGTATAAACTCCAGAATCTACCGGATATACACTGAGTAAATCGAGGGCCACATAGTCAAAATCGTAGGCTGGCCTGAAACGATGGCCAGTTTTGACCGGTACTCCGTTAACAAACCATTCGACTCTCATAGATGGGTCACCCACTGGTTGTAGACGACATTCCATATGCACATTAGTTCCTTCTACGGTCTCAATATTATGTAGAGCTCTCGTGAACTGCGGAGCCTGCATCACCGTTACGTCTTCAGTTACATGCTTACGGTAACGTGAAGCATCTTCGAGATGTTGAATCTGTTCTAATGATTGTTCATGCTGGGTATCGGTGATAATGTCCGAACGACCGATGACTCTAACGCATGAAGACGTATGGGCTGAACCAAGTTGGTTCACAGCACGTACCGTGTATTCACCAGAATCCAGAGCGGTGGCATGAATGATATCTAAAGCAACGAATCCGAAGTCGTTGTATGTACGGAACCTTGAGCCTACGGTGACTGACCTGCCGTTGCAGAACCATTCCACTCTCATAGTTGGGTCGCCCATTGGCTCCAAGCGACATTCCAGGTGGATGTTCTTACCTTCAGACACCGGTTGTGGGTCGGAGAGCGGTACCACGAATATGGGTTTGGACTTGCAAAGCTCCTCGATGTCGTATTGAGGTTCCACGAATTTGGATTCTTCCAAGTGTTTGGTTTTGTCGAAAGCGTTGCGGTGCATGCTCCTTGTATCTATACTTGCCCGAGCTATAGCATAAAAAATTTCATATATTCAGGGACGAACCAAAAAAAGAATTTGAAGGGGGGGGGGGCTGAAGTTTGCCAACTCATTATAACATTTTCCAATTTTCGTTTCAGAAGTTTGTTGCTATGCAACGTTCCAAATGGTTTGAATCAAATTGGTAATCAAAATTGACAATGACTTTGGGTGAACACAAAATGATGGATTATTTGGGCTTGCGTGAAATTGAAACGAATTTGGAGGAAAAATTCAATGTTTCACATGGCAGAAAATAAGATTTGCCTAGTCTTACTTCCTAAGCAAATAACTATTTGTCATCAGTGGTAAATTTCGAAATTCTGAGTTTGAACTGGGACTACTGAGACACAATAAAATCCCTTTTCCATTAGCTCCAATGAGTCGAAAATTCAGAGTGCTGAGGTGGAAATCTTGGAATTGAAACTTGAAATTTCAAACTCAAAATTCGGAATTTAATATTTTCGACATCCAGTTCAAATTCTCTACTCATCATTCGGGAAGTTCGAGTTTGCAGTTGGAAGTTCCTATTTTGAACTGAAAATTTGATTTTCCTTCATGTATAAACTTGGAAATTCAGACTACAAAATCGAAATTGTATGTTTTCGATGTTGACATTTCCTAGTTTGAAGTCAGAAAAATCAAATATTTACCATGAAACGTTCATTTTGTGAAACTCATTTTGCCAACTCGCCTAAAATTGAGTGCTGCTGTTGCTTCTGGTTCATCCAAAAGATACTTCAACATTTGTTTTTCCAAAATAATCACTTTGTATATTATTGCATTTTTGAATTATTCGTTAAATTAATCAGCATTTGCATTCTGAATTATCTTCTCATCATCTTCATTTGATCTTTATTTGTTCGTGTCATACTCAATTTTTATCGACTAGCGACCGGGTCAATTAAAAATTTTCTTGTTAGTTTGAATTTGTAAATTTTTTGAAATTGTTGATACCTCGTATGGAAGTTTCGAAAAAATGGAGTAATTATAGATACCTCTCATTCCATACATATTATCCATTTTATTTGTCGAGTATGAAATTGGAAATCACAACAATCGAATGATAATTTCTTCAAACTTTCGGTTATATATCTGTGAATGTTTATTCACTCTTTTTAGTTTTTAGGTTGCTTCAACTCATCATTTGAAAATGAAATTGTGCTTCAAGTGGTGTGGTAATACCGAACACCCTGTCTAACATTCTAGAAAAATATTGTGGGATCCTGATAGGATACTCCTTTGTTTACTTTTAAACCAAAAATTGACTCTACATCAATACAGTTGTTGGTGATACAGACATTTTAGTTAGTCACACCATAATATATGTTAAATATTCTGAAAGAAACAATTGATACATCTGACATCATTCTTGTCAGGCGACACGAAAGAGTTCAATACATTTTTTTTTTGTTCGAACAATATTTTTCATGATAAACGCCGTTCAAAGTTTTGAAAAAATAAAGAAAAAATTATACATTTTTAGATATTAGAATCGGAACAATTCTTTCCCTCAAAGTCATGGATGAGAATTTAATACCTAATTATACAATCTTTGGAAGAAGTCCATGTATGATAACTCAAAGTGGAGTGGTTAGTTCATAGAACATTATAGGAATTTTTTTCCGTGCGCTTCAAGAGTTAAAAAAATATTATGACCGAAAACACACAATAAACTTTTGTATGAATTATTCCGTATCAAAATTCCAATTCCAGTGGACCCCGGAAAATAATGAGGAATTTAAGTCACGTCCGATCTTCAACTCCATCAGGTTAATATAAGTGAGTGACCAATTTGATAACGAATAGTAACTGGGCTTATTCTCTTCAATTAGGAATGTGGGGTCAAGTCTTAAAAAGATCTATAAATAACTTGTGGAAAGATAACTTACTTTCTACGACCATACTGGCCGATAATTGGGCTTCTCCTAGAGCATTTCTTGCGACGACAGTATAAGTACCTGCGTCCTCTTCACGTACATTCAGTATATCAAGGGCAACGTATCCAAAGTCATGGTAAGTCTGTATCCTATTGGCAGTCTGAATGGGTTTGCCGTTGAAATACCATTCAGTCTTCAAGGTCATGTCACTCTGAGGTTCTACTCTAGCCTCAAAGTGAGCACGTTGCCCCTCTACAATTTTATTCGTTCCTTTCAGTGGTCCCAAAAACCTTGGTTTTTGTGTAACAGTAACTTCCTCTTTGGAAGTTTTGTTATAGCGAGTAGAGTCTTCCAAGTGTTGGATCTTCTCCAAACCACCTGGGTGTTGTGAATCGAAAACAATATCTTTTTTGCTGACAACACTGAGTTGTGCAGTGGTAGTGGCTTGTCCTATTGCGTTGTATGCACGACATGTGTAGTGTCCGACGTCGTGGATGGTGACATCCTTGATAGTGAGGGCGACGTAACCGAAGTTGAAGAAACTGGTGATTCTAGAGCTGGCCTCCACTGGACGACCATCCTTGTGCCATTCTACTCTGAGGGTAGAATCTCCCACTGGTTCCAATCTAGCTTCGAAGTGCGCGAACCCACCTTCTCTGATTTGGTTCTGGTCCTTGATAGGCGTCTTGAACTCTGGTGGCTGCGTGCTTTCGGGAGAATCTGACACGTACGTCTGGTGTTGCTGCCTCTGGTAGGCTTCCAGCCTTTCAACTTCTTCGATGTATTTCTGCTGTTCGGGTATCCCTAGGTCCCCAGTAACGGTAGACCGCGAGAACACTCTAATGCTTGCCGTGCTGATAGCTTCTCCCAAGTGATTAACCGCCCGCACAGTGTACGATCCAGCATCTTCGGTCCGTAGGTGCATGATGTTAAGAGAGACGTAACCGAAGTTGAAGATGGTTGTGATTCGCGAACTGGCGGTGATTGGTCGGCCATCTTTGTACCACTCCACTTTCATCGTTGGATCACTCACTGGGGTGAGTTGCGCCTCGAAGTGGGCGTTTCTTCCCTCTTCGAGCTCTCCAAGCTCCTGGAGTGGTCGGATGAAGTGCGGTTTCTGATTGGTTTTCTCTTCGATACTATCGTTTCTTTGGTATCTCGAGTAGTCCTCGAGGTGTTGGATGTATTGCAAGCTATCTGGGTGTTGGCTGGATTGTTCGATCGAAGCTCGAGGGTTTACGGAGAGTAGTGATCGAGATTCGACGCAGCCAGTGGCGCTGGTGACACGGCAAACATATTCACCGCTATCGTTCATGATGAGACTAATCAAATCTAATGCTATGAATCCAAAGCGGAAAATGGAAGTTGCTCTAGAACCTGAAACAGAACAAGAATTCTTCATTATTGGTGGGTACATGGATGAGACACACTATTCACCAAAGTATTTTGGTTTTCATTATCAAGCTTGTATGTCATTTTACCTATTTAGGTACAATAGTACTCACTTGCTGCTAGAGGCCTTCCATTCAAAAACCATTCTACAAGCATGGTAGGATCGCCAACTGGTTCAATTCTGGCTTCGAAGTGAACTTTTCCTCCCTCAAATTGAACAGCATCGCGAAGAGGAATGATGAACTGAGGTGGTGGGTAAACACGGTCCTCTTCTCCTGCTGGTGCATGAGGTCTGGCTCGTTCAACGTGGCGGAGGTAAATGACTTCTGGGCCAGGTTCGGGTCTACAAAATATTTGAAATGGATATCAAACAAGGCATTTCTAAAAAAAAATATTTTTAAATATATGGCTCTAGAGTAACCTCAAATAATCTTTGGAGATTCATTCCTATCCATTCATCCAAAATAGTTATCTATTATGGAAGGAAAAAATTTGTAGATTCTAGCTCGAGGTTGTATTGTCTCTCGATGCGTAGCAGAGAGGGACGAAAAACCGTGAGCTGAAATCTAATATTTTTTACCGTGTATGATTATTTTTTTCTGTGACAGGAGAAAGGACTTTTTTTTAATTGAAAACCATAGTTCTGATGATAATTTCGAAATTCTACATTTAGAAAATGAAGGAATGGAACTCAATCATTTTGAATCATTAGAAATCAACAAACTCGAAAATTTTGACATTTTACTTAACGATCAATTAGACTTCAATAGTTCACCACTGTTGAATTTGTTTTCTTAGTAGGTGATAATATTTATTTGCTATCAACCCTTTCAAGTTAATCCAGTATACCGTAATTTAATGTAGATATTGTGCCTTATTTCCGAAAATTGAGGTTTATCGATCCTGTCCACAGGTAATTAATTCTTCAAGTTGGGAAAGTAGTATATATAAAAGTTAAGCAAGCCAACGTTGGTTCAGTTCATTGTACCAGTCAGTATATCACCTGACGAAGCTACTGTGTTAGCGAAACATGTTGTGTGTTTGAGAATTTTGTGGAAATCTTATCGTTTCTGAAGTTTTTACAGTAGAAAAGACGAATCAATATTGAGAAGATATTACATTAAGTAAAAACAAAAAAGGCTTGAAGTCATCTCCACAAATATTCATGAGATGAACAACAATGGTAGATGACGAGAGAAAAACAACTACTTTCCTGGCTAGTGCCACGCAGATCATTGAATTACATCCTCCCAAAAGCTATGCATTGATAACCATGAGCGAATACTAATGCTATCGTTTCTTTTCCTAGTGCCGATTGATTTAGATTTAGCCAGGCTAACGCAACGACACCTACAGACCGATTTCGAGCTCCTTGACTCTAATCAGTGTAGGGTAGTCTCCAGCTAGCAGTCCGAAGACCGCCGGCTAAGCGTAATCTAGCCCAACAAATTCCAATGGGCCAGGTTGAATCCAGTACCTAACTCTTACCCATATCCTCCCTAAGTCCGTACGATGTTCTTCGTACATTATAGGAATTTTCATTCGATCGCCCCAAGATATGAGAAAAATATACTAAGCCCATTGTTTTCTATCCGTCGTTCATACTTACTCTGGTTCGATGACTTTCGTAGGCCTAGGTAGATGTAGGCGTCTTGGTTCAGGGGTGGGCCCATGGGGAGTCTGTACGAAGAGACGAGCGCGGGTAGCGGTGGAGCCGGCGACATTCTGTGCCGTGCATTGGTACCAAGCGGCGTCCGAGGCTTTAGCCCTCGGTATATCCAGAGTCGAAGCCCCACCGTCAATCGCGATTCGAACATCGGGACCGCTGACGAGTGGTGCGCCGTCCTTCTGCCAAGTGATGCGCGGAATTGGAGTACCAACTGCTCTGGCGTTCAGCACCACAGGTTCTCCTTCTGCAACGTTGACGGTGGTGAAGCGTTCCACGAACTTCGGTGCGACCACCTGTTCCTTCTCGATAACGTTCAAGTTGCATTGGAAAGAGGTCTCTCCGGTCTTATTCTTAGCCACGCAGGTGACGACGCCAGAGTCGTTTCGGTGCACTGTGGTGATCATGAGAGCGTGGTTGCCTGACTCGTTGACCAGTATCTTGTGGTTGTGATCGTCGGTGACCTGGCGACCGTTGATGTACCAGGTTACGTCCGGGTATGGTCGACCAGTTACGCGACAATCGAACCTCGTCATCTTACCCTCGGTCACATCTCTGTCGCCGCAAACTCTCACGAAGTTCGGTGCTAAGGTCTTTCCGCTATCATTTTGCTCGGTTTCGGTTTGTTGTCTGAACGTTGATTCGTGGATAAGCCCTTCTTGGGTAGTGACAGGTTCTATAGCTAGGTAAGCGGATGACACAACGCAGCCTTGTGGATTCTCAGCTAACAAAGTGTAATGCCCGGAGTCCTCTGACTTCGCTTGTTTCACCCTCAGATTGGCCTGGTTGTTCGTGAAAGTAGTTTCATACTTCTGGGACTCAGTTACTCTCTGGCCGTTTTTGAACCATGTGAGTCTGGGTCTTGGGTTAGCAGACAATTTTGCGGTGAACACGGCATCAGAACCCTCAAGCAGTTTGGAGTTGCGGGGCTTCTGTGAAATTTGTGGCGGAGCAGCAGGACCCAATGATCTCTCGATGGTTGTAGAAATCTGTGAGTCGGTTTCATACGTAGATCGTCGCGTGATAGATTCTCTGAAGGAAACTTCCCTCAGTAACCTATACTCGAATGTGTCTATCTTGAAATCCTCCGTAGTGGTTGTAGTGCCATTTGAGTAGTTTGTCGTTTGCTCGAATTTCGAGAATGCTTGCCTTTGAGGCACCTGCATACCCTCGGGTGAAATATATACCGAGCATATTGCCGCCCCGTATTGATTCTTTGCATTACACACGTACTCCCCTTCATCGCCAGGTCCGATTTGATGGATCTGGAAGGTTATGTCACCTGTGGATTCGTTATATGACAGGCGGTGTTTCTGGGAGTTGGGCAGCGGGGCTCCATTTCTAGTCCAAGTTACTGTCGGTTGAGGTTTTCCGGATATGCGGCCCTCGAAAGTTGCTACGCCACCTTGGGCGAATCGAGCATTGCTGAATACCTTATCGAATACTGGCGGTTGGGCATTGGGGCCGAAGCCAGGGATTTGCTGGATTTGTTGTTGAGTCATCTGACCACCTGTAACAAAGACGAAATGTTTAGAAAGGCGTGCATGATTCAATTAGAGGGAATGAGATCGAATACTACGTAGGGCCTTGGTAGTGAATTATTGAATATGAAATATTGTCGAAGAAAATCAAAAACTCAAAGTCGGTCGATTTCGATTTTTGATTTTCTTTGAAAACACATTGGACCACTGAGTAGGGATACTTTTTACGATTCATTAAATATTGTTATGGAGATGAATTCGTGTTTATTTTTACTGTAAGTATTCTATGGTTATCATACAACTTCTTCCCAGACAGCACCAGATATTCCATGAATATCCCTATCATATTCCTTTCGGAATATTGGAATATCCTGGAAATAATCTGGAATATTCCGGAATATCTGTGGAATATTCTCTAAATATGCGAATGGGAATTCCTCAGATAATCATAGAATATACCCAAAAGAATATTCTATGTGAATGTTCCTGGAATATTCCAATAAACATATTCTGAAATAAAAAAAGTGACCCAAGTAGGGATCGAACTCGTGACCCCAAGACTATCAGAGCAACGCCTTGACCACTAGGCCAGTAATCGAAGTGAATAATTTTATACATATCAAGTTCTTGTGAGAGCATTGTTCGAAATCCGATCATAAACACTTTTTGTTTCAAAATCTCCTTACATCTAATTGATGTTCGATACTCACATCTCTGAAATAATAAATGGTATTTATGTGTTGAGAAACATATAGGAATATTCATGGAATATTCAATGAATATACACCACAGAATATTCAGTTGAGAATATTTCATGAATATACCGCACAGAATATTCAGTTGGGTATATTTCATGAATATACCTCACAGAATATTCAGTTGGGTATATTTCATGAATATACAACAGAGAATATTCAGTTGGGAATATTCCTGGAAGATTCATACCTGAATATTCTCTGAACATGTCCGACTATTCACTTTGTAATATTCCTTTTAGATGTTCCAGAGGCATGTATATATTCTAGGAATGATCGATGAATATTCGGAATATATTCCTCCTTTTTAGCATACTTAGAGAATATTCTATGAATATCCAGTGCTGTCTGGGTTCTTGGAATGATTTGCTATGGTTGATATTCACTACGGGAAGCATTGGCCGAAGCAAAAGCATGAGTATATATCTGATATTTGTAATTTGAAGTGTTAGTTTTTGGTCGAATAGGTATTATATGGATAAGATTATTCATATTGAAAATCAGTCCAGCTATCGAAAGATAAAGTGATATATTCATAGACGATATAGAACATAGTATGGGACAATTAGGTATCGATATTGATTACTGTAATTCTTCTATTGTCGCCATGCAATATCATTCAATTCTTCGAGAGATAAAATTTATTATATCTAGTTCTGATACCCATTAGCAGAAAACCAGTCAATGTGAATGTACAGTCAGATGCAAAGAACATGTTGCGGTTGGATAGTGTTAGCGCTCTCATTGCAGAAGTGACCAGTGAGCCGCTGACCCAAGACAAAAAACATGACAAAGTTGCATGTTGTTAGGATATGTCAATAGTATTCATAGAACTTCATTAAAACTTTATATCTAATAACTTCCCTCGTCAAATGCAATTTCCTACCATTGGGAAAAAGGCCAATTTTTGAGGTCCAGTATCTTGAGCTGAAATAGACCTGAAGGAATGAAATTGAAATCAGATTTGAGGGAATTTATCCAGATCAGAAAAAGGCGGGATAGACTATTTTTTAAGAAGCCACCTTATAGAACGTTTGCGCTAAAAGCTGAATTCAGTCGAAACATTTCGAGGTTTTTCGAGCACCACACTGATGTTAGCACAGGTCTTTCGAATCTGCAAACTTTGGGATGAAGCCTAACACTATGCAAAACAAACTGAAATGTGCAAATTTATGCGAATTAGGGTTTCTACGATATGTTTATTGCATCTGACTGTATTTTATAGTAGGAGAGGCGGCTGATCTAATGACGAAATGTTATATGTTTTGAAGGCATGTAAAACATTGTATTTTATCAAACGGCAACTGTGCTAATCACTTTTACTGTATGGAAATTTACACCAAATTTGGCGATTCAATAACAAGATGAAAAATATACCATCCGATACCAGTTGAATGGTAGATATGAAAAACCTACCTGAGCCACTGCTCAATCTGAGTCAAATCCACGACACAGCGATTCATTTGCTGCCTTTATTCCAGACATACTTCCGTCATGTGATAACAGGTTGAAACAAAAAACAAATGAATTGAGATAATGTCCCCTTAGCGAATATCCAAACGTACTACGATTCAAACTGATCTAAGTTAGTGGCAGAGCTTCAATATTTCCGAAAATATTTCGCCCCTGCCAAAAGATAATATCAGCTGAACCAGTTCGATACTCTTGTAGTACTCGCACTAGAATTATTCAATTTCACATTTTGAGATTCTCACTGGTCCATCGGATATTATCTCTCGAGATGGGCGAAATAATATTCTCGAACATATTGACCCTCTTCTCCTTACTTAGATCCGTTTGAATCGCGCATGTTTGGATATTCTACTTTCATTCGCATTCGCTGGCCGGTCGTGGGTTTAATTCCCCGCCACTGCAGAAATTTTCTGATGGCCCAAGAAAGTGTTTGAGATCACACGTTGAAAGGTAAGGCCTCCGTCATTCCTTGCCCGCACAAGACTCTCGAAGACTTGTGAGGGTTGCTGGTAAGGAGGCATTCGAATGACGGATAGAACAATTTTAGAACAATTTAAAAAAAATTTGCCTCTTGTTTCAACTCGTTATCGCACGAGGAAAATATTTCCGGAATAATAGCAGCAAATGAATCGCTGTGCTGTGGATTTGACTCAGATTGAGATGTGTCACAGGTAGGTTTTTGAGATCTATCATGTAATTGTTATCGGATGGCATAATTTTTATCTTACCACCGAATCGCGAAATTGAGCGCTAATTACCGCACAGGAAAGTGCAATTTTTTCATCATTTTGCTCAGGAAAGTGATTGGCATAGGTGCCGTTCGATAAAATACAACATTTCAACATGTCTTCGGAATATATAGCATTTCGTTATTAGATGACGGTCGGAATTTCCTGCCGGCTCTTGGACTATTAGTATATGGGCCCAAGATTAGTGAAAATTGTGGAGACGACTTTGAGTTTTTCTCTCTTGATCAGTTGATATTATTGTCGTATTGAGGTAGGGCAGAGATGCCCACTATGGTACGTGTGGATGAGGTTATTACTATTAATGACCTATCAGAGTATCGAAGCTCTGAATTCCACTTTTAACAGGTGAAATATCGTTTTGAAATCTGTCGTCACTTTCGACACGTCGTAACTATAATTATAATCAACTACGAAATAGCCACAATGGTCAAAGTAGTGAAATGTTAAATAAATGCAAAAAGTTCAAAGTCATTTCCACACAGTGTTCATAAAATGAACAACAATGGTAGATTTCGGGAGAAAAACAACTGCTTCCCTGGCTAATGCCACGCAGGACATTGAATTACATCCTCCCGAAATCTATGCATCGACTCGTATAAACGAATACTGATACAAGTGATTCTTTCCTGAATGCCTATTGATTTAGATTAAGCCAGGCTGCTAGACAACCACAAACCGGTTCCGAGCTCTTTGACTCTCATCAGTGCAGTGTAGTCTCCAGCCAGCAGTCCTAAGACCTGTTCTACTCAGATGGCGTTACTTTCATTTTGTCGATGAAAGACGCATCGGGGTGAATATAATGCCAACTTGATTTTTGTTTGGCTAGGCTTCGCTGAGTCGGCGGTCTTAGGACTGCTGGCTGGAGACTACACTGCACTGATGAGAGTCAAAGAGCTCGAAACCGGTCTGTGGTTGTCTAGCAGCCTGGCTTAATCGAAGTCAATAGGCATTCAGGAAAGAATCACTTGTATCAGTATTCGTTTATACGAGTCGATGCATAGATTTCGGGAGGATATAATTCAATGTCCTGCGTGGCATTAGCCAGGGAAGCAGTTGTTTTTCTCCCGGAATCTACCATTGTTGTTCATTTTATGAACACTGTGTGGAAATGACTTTGAGCTCTTTGCATTTATTTAACATTTCATTTCACTTTGAGCATTGTGGCTATTTCGTAGTTGATTATAATTATAGTTACGACGTGTCGAAAGTGACGACAGATTTCAAAACGATATTTCACCTGTAAAAAATCTCATATATGACGTCACGGTAACTTTATTGTGACGTCACAGTTTACTTGTTTGGCAGATGTCGGTTGTTATCATTTTGGTTATTCTCCCTGTTTAGGTTAAGTAATCGACTCAACTACTTCAGATCCAAGAAAATTATATCAATCAACTATACAGGGAGGCATTGAAATAAGTGCAAATATTTCAAACACTGATGAGAAAGCTCGACGTGTACTATCGATTGGCACTAATGAAAAAAATTTAGGGATCAAAATAAAATTTGGGGTTAGACCCATGTTTCCACCCAAAGTTCAACACTGTAGCAAATCTGACGTCACCTCTGTTCAAATTTCCATGCGGTAGGCACAATCATTTAAATTGTGTTAAAATGGGGTACTTGATTTTTTTCTCGTATTCTGTTCAATTTTTGAGATGAAATTTCTCACACTGTATCATTGTGTGGTTGGATAACACGTCATAGTTCGGAAAACATTTCAGGATAATTGACTGGTTAACTGATTGTTGATCTGGTTTTTATAGTTAACTTCGACGAAAAATGGCTTATGTGTAATACTGAATCTCAGATATCCTTTATACGCATTAAATGCAACAGAACTTTTGTTTTAAATTTCAACTGAATTCTTGATACCTCCAGCTATTGTTTTTGCTCCCATGTTTATTAAATAGCATCAATTCCAGTGATTGAAATGTCAGGCAGAATTCGACAAATGATCTGGTGGTCTAGATCACCTAGCGAAAATAGCAGGAAAATCTTTCGTTTTAACACATCAAGCAATTTCAATATGCCTCCGAATAGAATCGAGAG